TTATTTACATACCACTTAATAGTGAAGGTTCTCTAGGCTGTTTACAAGTAAAAAAATTCAAACCCTAAGACGCAGACATAAAACACAGACATGGAATCTAAAACAGAATAACAGAATAAAAGCAAGAGTAAAGCGAGCAACAGAGAATGACATGCAAAATACTGGGCAATTATGAATAATGCTGCTAATTTATTTGAGGTTTTGGACTAAATAGCATTCATTTTCATTAATCTTAGTTGTTAAGATTGTGGTATTCAAACTGAGATTACCAGAACGAGGGGCAGTGTTCATGTTTCATTCAACGGTGTTTTAGGGAAGCTAGTCTTTATCTCGCATGGAGATGGCTATCTAACAACATTTTCCATGTGCCTCCCTCTACATGTATTCCTCAACAGATGAAAAATTAGCATACAAAACTTGTGGATTTCACAAAATCTTTGCATGAATTTTGCAAAGTTACAGAAGTTGTTTGCAAAATTTGTGTGTGTGTGTGTGTGAGAATGAATATGAGTTTGTGGGTGCCAGAGTTTGTGGATGCAAGATACCCATTATTCCTGGATTTAGTGTTCAAAGCACATTCCTTCCTTCAAAGAATTTTGGCACAGTAGTTTAGTCCACACAGAATTACAATTGCCAGCAACTCCCTTTCTAATACTTTTATATTATTACTGAATTTTAAATATATCTCTTGCAACTTTTAACAACCACAGTGCCCAGAATTATTCGGGGGAGATTTTTATTTTTTTTAAAAAAGTGTTTAACAGCATAGTGTATATGTAGCTTTAGTCTCATGTTCAGCACAGAAAATAGGTACCCAGGAATACATTCCAGGGTAGCTGGTACAATGAGACTATTGCTTCAAAATCCATTTTAAATCATTACACACACACACACACACACACACACACACGGACTTCCAGTGTGAAAAACCGCAGAATTTGTGGGTTGTTGGTGTGTGTTCCATGGATCTTAATAAACTGATAGCAGCATATTCTGCCATCTGGATAACTGTATCGTGTATTACAAGCAGGTTTCCATAATCTAAGGTATAAATGTCTTTTAATGTTACTGGCTTTTTGGCTTATGACTGTTTGCATAGTAAAGATGAGGAAACACGAACAAAATAATATGTGGTTGATCAGAGTGAAAGATCTTAAAATTTGGGAGGGGTGGGCAATATAGATAGTCAACAACTTCAATGAAGTATAATGATTCGACTTCTAAGTCTGACTCTGGAAAGATACCTTTCAATCACTTATTCCACTTATCCCATAGCCCATTTTTAAAAAATAACAATTTTAGAAATGACCATTCAAGGCAGAGGATGGCTAAACTTTATGAGGATTCATTTCTGTATCTTCTGACTGAAAAGGGAGCAGACAAGTCAATCAAAATTCACTCTACTTAGAAAAGAGAGAATAATTAAATGCTTAATACCTCTTAAATGTATTGTAGTTTGAGCTTCTGTGTGAATCAGAAGTATTTTCAAAGCTTTATCATCTTGCCAAAGTAGGAACTTTAATGGCTGATACTTGAAAAAATTCTAGACAGTCCCCAAGGCTTAATTACGAAGGTCTTTAATACAGCAGCTGCTTTATACCCAGTATATCTAGCTCACTGTTGTGCACTCTGTCAGGCAGTGGCTATCCAGGATTCCAGACTGCGATCTCTCCCAGCCCTACCGGGAGATGCCAGGGATTATTCCCAGGACCTTCTGCATTCAAATCAGATACTCCACCACTGAGCTATGGCCCTTTCATTTCCAAACTACATACGCCGTGGAGAAAATGGACAGATAAGTTTATCTCCCTCTCTCATAATCATGACACCTGGGGTAAGCCCAATCAAGCTGTATGGTGGGATATTCAGGACAGAGAAAAGGAAGTCGTTATTTACACAGTGTATAAACTATGGAATTAACTTCTTGAAGAGGTAGAGAAGGCCACCAACTTTCTTTAAAAGGGGATTAGACATATTCATGGGCCTAACAGTCTGTAAGGATTACATTTCTTTCACTAGGAAAGCTTTCTGACACAGATCAGGATTGGGGGGGGGGGGAGAAATACTATAACTAATGTTGGGTCACAGGGAAAAATTGGGGATGCTGCTGGTATACCAACAAGCTGGAGTCCCTATAGATGCACGGGTCCTGGGTCTGGGAAATGGATCAGTTGCCTGTTCTGGATAGGGTTACGCTCCTTCTGAATGAATAGATGTGCAGCTTGGGGGTGCTTTTTGATCCAGCAGTGTAACTGGATGCTCTCACATCTTCAGTGTGTAGGAGTGCCTTTTACGAGCTTCAGATGGTATGCCAACAGCTACGACCACACCGGGATAGAGACACCTTGGCAACAGCTGTTCGTGCATCAGTAATCTCTAGACTTGAATTTTGTAATGTACTTTGCATGGAGCGCTGAATGATCTAGAAGCTGCAGCTAGCTTAAAACGCCATTGCTAAATTGCTCTCTGGGGAAACTAATGACAATGGAACACCTACGTTGAAAACATTGCACAGGCTACCAATTTGCTACCAAGCTAGGTTCAAGGTTTTAGTGATGTATAAACCATCACATGGTTCCAGATCTGAGAAGCTGCCTCTTTCCCTATATCCCACACCTGTTACTAAGATCTGTAGATGAATTTAAGTTGCTAATGCCACACGCCTCTGCAGTGAAATATGCTGCTGTTCAAGCATGTACTTTCAGCATGGTGTCACTTGTTCTCTTAAACTCCCTTTAGAAATGAAGCAAACCTCATTGTTGTTGTTTTCTACATCTGTTGAAAACCTTATTTTCCTCCCAAGTATTCCTTTCTAGTTTAGTCTATTTTATTTCTGCAGTAAATAGGAACTGATGTTTCTAACACTGCTTTATTATCATCAGTTTAATTATTTATATTTCATTTCTATATTCTGCTTGGGTGTTCCTTGATTATAAAGCAGTTTATAAATCTGAAATAAATGATGATGATGATAATAATAATAATAATGATAATGATAATAATAATAAACTGCAGAAGTATTTATAAGCTGTCTTATGGAACACAGCCCACCCAAGGCAACTCATTGGATCAAATGCAATACAATAACAGCCATAAAACTAAGAACCAACAACAGCAATATAAACAGCCATTTTAAAACATTTTGAAATGTAGGCTCACTAAAATAATTAAAAATAATGTAATACAACAGCAATATCAAAACTCATGAACTCTCCCTTCACAGTCAGCTCATAATAAAGGCCTCAGTTATTAAAGGCAATCTAGAAGAGTTGTGTTAGATATCCATTGCTATCTGAAATTTAATTAGTCTTGACAACACACTAGGCAACACACAGAATATAGAAATCACAGTCCCTGTCTGGCAGACTTACTCAGATAACTTTGTGTCTTAGTCATCGAGTTCAATGCCACTGAGCCAAAGGAAGCCGAATCAAAATAATGAGGTCTAGTAATTTGGGAGCATTAGAGAAGGCTGATTTCCCCAATTCATTCTGGTTTGTGGCCTTGCAATTCGTTTTTAGCCTGTTTTCATGTTGCGGTTTAACGTGCCCTAGGACCCTGCAGTGATAAATAAATAATCTTGTGCCCACTGTCAGAATCAGGTAATGAACGTACAGTGGGAACACTACAGAATAGCTTGGGAAAGTTTGTTTAAGCATTACCTGCCCTAGGATATCTGTTCCGAGCATAAGGCTTTATGAAATTCAAAGCATAGAAAGAAACAGTCACAAGCACCCAATAAGTCAGCAATTATCAGAATACATTCTAGCAACTTTTAGCTAGTAACAGCAGAAGTCAGCAGGTGAAGCATTAACACCACCTGTTAATTAAAAGATATGGAGATAGTCTAGGTGAAAGGCTGGGAATGCTTGTGCCACAGTTGTGAATGTACCCAAAGAACGTGTCTGAAGTCTAGTTACTGTCTTCTCAAGTCAGACAGTTAGGTCAGGGACATAGCGCTTCTCACACATATACCAATGCTAAGAACGTAGCATCATTAGGAAATTTTATACAAAAGCTTCATTTAAAAATTTGAGAGAATTTAAAATTGCAATTAAGAGTACAATCTGATTATTGATAGTAATCTGAAACATACCTGCTTGTTTAATAACAAAGCAAGATTAGCTCATCTCTTAAGAAAAGCTTCTAAGTGCCCCCACAAAGATGCTAATTTTTATTAATTATAAATGATTCATGAAGTTGCATGACAGAAGTGATGTTTAGCATAGTTTCTAAAGCCCAAGCCATGCTTAGCAGCAGTGTAAGCTTGGCATTTTTATGAATTTTTTTCAAGTGGTCTTGAATGTATACAATGAATGTATGATGCCATCTTATACCCTTAGTCCGTTTGGTCCATGCTCCAAGGTTTCAGGAAGAGGGGCTTTTCCCAGTCCTGCTTCTGGAGATCCTTTTAACCAGAAATATGAGAAACTGTTACTTGGGGTATTTCATGTACCAAGTGTGTGTTCTAAGCATTGAACCATGATTCCAGCAGGCGCAAGGTAATAGCCTCTATGCCATCCTAATCTGATTGCTTGGCAACCCTGTAAATACCACTGAGATCTTGGTTAACAAGCAGTAATAAAAAATAAGTATGTCAAGCATCCCACCATGAAAAGTCTGAATTACCTTTTTAAAATGAGAAAGGACAAGTCTGAGCTGAAGTCCTGTAAAAGCCACCTTTTGCACATCTGCTTTAAGCAAACCAGCCATGCATTTCCTTCCTAAACGTATGAAGCGCTTTCATGTGTCTCCACAAACACCACTCCATTCTGGGAGAAGAAGAAAGAAGTGCAGCAAGCTTTATCCATACCAGCTTTAGGAGAGTTGACAAAAAGGGAAAAGCAGCCTGTGAAACACAAGACCATGGTAAACCGTGTACCTTTAAGAATTTGGGGATGGAATATTCAAGAGCCAATTAAATCAAAGCACACTGCTCCACATTCAAAACATCCTGATTCAGATAAACAACCCACTGAAAGAAGAGGCTGAATCGATAATGACAAAAAATAAAAAAATGTTTTGTTTATTATTAAAAGATTTTGATAGTTGCAGTTAGCAAAAGACAGAACTTTAGCACCTTCCCCACCTTCCAATTCAGCATGGCAGTGTCCTTTTCTTTAATAGAAATTTGTTTATTTGGTTTTTCAGATTAAAAGTTTACAGTCAGATATCCAACATATATAAAAACAAGATTCCGCGGAATCTCTTGGACTTCCCCCCTCTCCTTTGTGGGTCCTACTGTTAATAATTTCCTCCTGCATCTTTTATAATGATTCAAATATTTTCTCTCTTCATTGCATCCAAAATTCACCATTAAACTACAAGTGATATTCCAATCCTACTAACAATTTTAGCTGTTCACAATTGTCTTTAAGGTAAGTTATAAATTTTCCCCATTCTTTATTAAAATGTTGGTCTTCCTGATTTCTGATTCTTCTGGTCATTTTAGTCATTTCAGCATAATCCATCAACTTGATCTGCCATTCTTCTCTGGTCAGCATGGCAGTATCCTTTCTTGGAGATCTAACAATATGTGATGGATCAGATTCCAGTCACCTGCCTTAGAAAACGGTCACCGCTGTAAGTCCTCCCATTCTTTCACACAAGCACTTAGTTTTTGCAAAGCTGATTATACTGCTGAGGGAACACACCCTGATCTTTCATGCATAGTTACAGGACAATATGCCACCAGTACATGCAAAGATCTCCAGATAAGGCCCCATGTGTTTCAATGCCTATGCTCTTCTATGCAACAGCCTTACCCAGAAGTAATACAAAAATATGTACAAGTGTCTTACTGATGTTTCTCATTAATAATAATAATAATACGCTTAAATACTCCACTCAATGAAAAAGCACGACTGAACTCAAGAAGATACAGAAGCCCAACATGTGTTGGCACCCATGTCCTATGTTATCATCAAAGCACTACCACACATTAACAATTGTGAAGCTACATTAATCAAGGCATGCCCCTTGCCAGCCACAAATCAGGGAGGGAGAATGGAATCTGCAAGAGGAAAATTTTTTAAAGCGTATTAAAATCCATGAAGTTAGAACAGCTGTTGTTCTGGGGACTTTTTATCAAAACCATGGAATGAAACAGACAAGCCATAGTAAGGGATCTGCACTGTGCAAGTCTATGAAATACTGTGGGGATTGGTCTCACTTGCAAAACATTACCTGTGTGCCCAGCAAGCCAGAGGTCAAAGAGTTGCAAAGAGTCATTTTTGCTATGTTTCATCTTCTTCCCAGAGGCATTTTAAATAAAAGCCCAAATGGGCTGATATTAGCTGGTTATGAGGATGAAGTCAGAGCCCACAATGCAAGCTGACATTTTAAACATGATTTATGCGGCAGTTTATAGTCTTTTCTTCAGCTCTAGTGCTCTTAGGATTCCTGAGGATTACAGACACAAGTCATGATGATAAACATAATGAATGGGTATCTCTAGAAATGTGATCTCCTCCTTTGTGTTCTGGTTCCTTTAACCCAGAGGTAGTCAAGGTAGTGCCTTGAGGTTGTTGTTGGGATGCCAGCTCCCATCAGCATGGTCAATGGTAGGGATGCTGTAAGTTGTAGTCCAACAACATCAGGCTGTCCTTGCTATAACTGGTTGGCTAATGGGGAAAAGATTCCAGAAGGCCTGAGCTTCAGATGACATGAGATTAATGGTAGCCAAAATATGGAGCTTGTTGCTTCATGGGTTCTTTTCTCCCTTTACTATTTATGTATTTCTAGCCTCAAGGTGCTTGCATGCTGACAATCTCTCTCAATCGATCCAGCTGGTCTTCTTTCAGAGCATCTCGCACAGAACAGAAGAAACCGAAATAGTGCTGAAAGTTATGCATCATAAGCAGCACACCAGCTAGCAACTCTTTGGTCTCAAGAAGGTGATGAACGTAGGCACGACTATGATTCTGGCAGCAGTAGCACAAGCATCCATTCACTAAAGGGCCAAAGTCATCCTGGTACCTAAGTAAGAAAATGAGAAGATATTAGCACTTAATAAAAATAAAGCAACCCTCCCACAATTAAAAAAACCCCTACACATTGGGCACAATGAGGCACCCACTAATCACTCATTGTGAGACGCTGTCTGATTGCAAAGCAAAAAGTATTCTATACACAGAGTACACTACAAAGAATAAGAGGACAGATTATTGTCCCAAGGGGCTAACAATCGAAAAAGCACCAGCATATTCTATGGAAACTAAGGATGGAGTTATCACCTGGGTGTCAAAGTATTTTTCTAATACCCGCTAGCAGATGAGTTATCAGGGTGGGTGTAGGGATTCTCAGCTGGAGCCTGACAATGAATACTGCCTTGCCCCACCCTAACCTTAAAACGTAATGGCTATGGTTTCAATTACTATGGCAGGATGAACTTTCAAGGTGAATGGCAGGCTCATGCTTTTCTTCATCAAGATAATGCTGCTATCTATCTGCTCTCTGCATTCCATTACAGGACACAGCAGGAGACCCATACACCACAATAATAAGGCAGAGCTACAGAAGCACCACCTTGGCAAGAGGCACCCTGGAGCTTTGCTGTCAACAAAAACTTAGAAGCCCAATAATTTCTGGTGTGGGTGGACAGCCAAGAGTTTTCAAGTTCCTTTACGGTTTGATAGTTTTCACAAAATATAAGTTAATCCCTCTAGCCTGTCCCAAGCACAGCATGAAAAATAAAGGCAATAATAATTTCTATTTAATTTTTAAAATGTTGACAAGAAACTAATTTTCCCTGCACTAAATGGAGCCAGGACGTGCATACAGATGTGTAAAGCATCAAAAGCATTTAGTAACATATCTGCTAAAAGAGATGTATTTTTTCAACATTTTTTCCAACTCAAGAGGGCGTAAGTTTACTATACAATGGTTGGTTTTAGAATGTATACATCCCTGGTATTCTGGATGTTTTCTAATCATTGGCCACCTGTAACATCATGTGCCAATCATGGCTCCCGTAATGCCTGTTCCTAAGCTCTTTGAATATGAGAAAAGGGAGCGAGAGTCAGTTAAGGAAATAAGGGCATGAAGGGGATAGGGGAAATAATCGACAAGGAGCACAAGAGAGTGATGAAAAGCTGAATACCTGGCAAAGAAGGAAAAGGAAAGAATAGAAGGAAGCGGTTAGAAAGTAAAGCAAACTCTGACAAGTTGAAAGATCAGACTCAGAAACTGCTACCCTAACAGCAGCACTGGCAGTTAAGCTAGCCCGTACTGTGGTGCTGAAATTTTAGCAGGGTGGGGTAGGACTTGTCCTTTTTGCTGTGTTCGTGGATGAGCATTTTAGGAATTTTATATTACGTACTTTTTGTTAATTTCTTAGCTTTTAATTAATTTTATCTGTTTGTATTTTATCTTGTGAAGTTGCTTTGATATGTTTTTATTAAGTGCATAACAAATGATAATGATAATTATCTTATCTGATACTGCTGACTCATCTACCCAGGAAACTGAGTAGTAATAATAATAATAATTTATTATATATACCCCGCCCATCTGGCTGGGCTTCCCCAGCCACTCTGGGCGGCTTCCAACAAAATATTAAAATACAGTAATGCATCAAACAATAAAAGCTTCCCTAAACAGGGCTGCCTTCAGATGTCTTCTAAAAGTCTGGTAGTAGTTGTTCTCTTTGACATCTGGTGGGAGGGCGTTCCACAGGGTGGGTGCCACTACCGAGAAGGCCCTCTGCCTGGTTCCCTGTAACCAGGATTAGTTTGGCGTTTGGACATTGTGGGGTGGTTATTTATTAATTGTTATAATTGTCCATTAATGGTTGAGATACAATAATACTAACATGTTCGTTTGACGCTTGAGTGATTTCAGTCTGCTGCTTCTCATTCCCAATAGCAAAACCTCCGAACAGTGGAATACTTGAGTTACTTATTGCATAAACTTAAATGGACTCAGAACTTTGCCAACAAGAGCATATTTACTTAGAACGAGCCCCACCATGTTCAGTAGGGTTTATTTCCAGGTAAATGCAGAACTTCTCCCTTAAGCAACAAGACAAGTAGTCCATGGCAGAAGCTGACATTTCAAACTAAACTCTTAAACCAACATACCTTTTTTCTTTCAAATTTATTTCAAATGAAGCAATTTCTTGAGATGTGTGGATTGTTTCATTGTCTGTTTTTTCATCCTCTTTTCTCCTCATATCTTTTTGCCCTTTCTCTTTTAAGACTGCAATGAAGTACAAAGTATTTCATTAATAAGGTTAAATAAATATTAAAAAATATCCCCTCTCAAACACTTCAAGATGACTCTCTCATTAAAACCCACATGGGCATTTAAAATGTTTAAAAGGTAATCATGATATAGTAGAGGTAGTAAAAAAAAAGTGACAAGACTCTAGAGGTAGAAGGGAGCCAACTAATCTGATGGGGACTTGAAGCTCAAATTGCTTTCATTTTAGTTGCTGTTGCTCAGCTGCCTTCCCTTTCCCATTCTTAAATAACCATAAAATTCAATCCTGCCTGAACTGCATTTTGCACACTGTGAAGTCACCAAATTCAATAGCTTGTTTTTATTTGGGTGGAGTTCACAAGTGACCTGCATCTGATCCACACTCCACATTTGACCTGACAGCCTGACAGCTTCTTGAAAGAATTTCAGTCAGAATGTTTAGACTGTCACAGTAGTAAAGAGAGACTCATAAGGATACCATCTGTAAGTTCTCAGCACACTGAAATGTTCATAAAATCACTGGGGTGGAGAAATGGTCTATGATGCATGTGAAGACTATTCATCCTTTGGAAATTCTGAAACGAGACTAGGTATTGTTGTGGGTTTATTTCTTTTATAAATAAAAGACTATCTTCTATTTCCAAACAAGTTACCAGGAAGCACAGAGAGACTCTAAAGCTTCTTATTCAATGAGAAAAAGGAGCAGAGTGTTTCCCCTTTGCACCTTTAATTCTATATGACTTGTCACATTGTAAGTAAGGTTTCTGGAAAATGTGATAAAAGATATACTTGTCTGCTCAAAGTTGCCAAAGCATGAAACAAACCCTCAACCCTGAACCCATTAAGAAAGCCATCTGCTGCTCCTTTTGGGGACTACATTTTCACACTTGCCCTGTCTGTGAATGACAGCCCTGTTTGAAATCTTTTGATTAAGAAAAAGTACAGTCCCTAAACGTCCTTCATAATCTAAGGAACTTCTGTTTTGATGGAAACAAAACAACACAACATACAAGCAAGTTTAATAACATATGCAACCTTTTAGGGAGGGCAGTACAGGATTCCTTTTGGTGTACCGACCTCCCCGTTGCACCAAGGATTCCCTGCCCGAGCTGCTTCAGGTTGTGGCGGATGTGCTCCTGGAGACACCTACTTTGGTTGTCCTGGGGGATTTTAACACCCATGCCGACACAAACTTACTAGGGGCCGCTCGGGACTTCGTGGAAAGCATGGACTCCAAGGGGCTGTCCCTGAATAAGTTTGGCCCAACTCATAACCACGGACATGCCTTAGACCTGGTGTTTACCTCTACGGATGTTGGTGATCTGACACTAAGTAAAAGCGAAACAAAAGAAGTGCCAGGGTCAGATCACTTCCTGGTGCAACTGGACTTCTCCATGACCCTTCCCCTCTGCAGAGAGGTGGGACCAATTCGGATGGTCCACTCCCACCACTTAATGGATCCATGGCTTCCAGAGAGTGGTAGGGGATGTTTTATCCCGTGTTGATGGCCTTTCAGCTGATTCCCTGGTGGCCCGCTGGAATGCGGAGTTAACCAGGGCTATTTACTGTCTGGGAAACCCAGCCAGATGGGCGGGGTATAAACAATAAATTTTATTATTATCATCATCATCATCCTATTTTTAAAAGACACCTGAAGGTAGCCCTGTTTAGGGAAGTTTTTAATATTTAATGCTGTATTGTTTTTAACACTCAATTGGGAGCCGCCCAGAGTGGCTGGGGAAACTCAGCCAGATGGGCAGGGTATAAATAATTATTAATAATAATAATAATTAGCAAGGTGAAGCGGAAAAAGAGCTCCTTAAAGTCATGGTTTGATTTCTTCATTACTAGCTGGATGAGACTGAAGAGAAGAATTACTGTAATTTTCCACTGCAAAACACTAACTATCCTAAGCCTCAGCAACATATATAGACCATAAGGAACGCTATACCTAATAAAAAATAGTCAAGCATCATCTGAAAATAGCATTTTTTGTGTTATAACCAGTTCATTGTTTTTCTGATGTCAAATGAGCTACAGATAATAAGGAGGTGATTAATAGTGTATATCTATTTCTAAGAACTAAAAAAGTAATGCAGCCACTATTCCAGTATTCACACAAAAGAAGTCCATAAAGACAAATACCTGCTGTTTCAGGATCTGGTTTATAATTATAACTGAAGGACAAAGCACTGCCCCGTTCTGTCACTTGGTAAGGGAAAGAACTCTCAAAAACATCTACGCCTCTCTCAATGCAGTCCAGCACCTCATCTGGCCTGCCAATTCCATGAATCAGTCTGCAGAAGACATAGTGGCAAAAGGTTATTTAGTTTATTGGAATCTATTAATTACACACACACACATACACCAATTTTACCTTAAAATTCCAAGAGGGTTCCCTTTAATATAACAAAATTCAGTTACAGTAAACAATAATACTTATAATAAATACAGCCTATTTCAAATAACCAGCTTTTGGGGTACTGAATAAAACACTTTCAAAAAAGGCTGTCAGAACATAAGAAGAGCCCTGCTGGATCAAGCCAAAGGGCCATCTGGCCCAGCATCCTGTTAACACAGTGGACAACTAGATGCTTATAGGAAGCCCAAAAGCAGGAGATGAGTACAATGGCACTTTCAGTGCCTTGCATGAACAGGCATATTGCTTCCAAATGCCTGTAGGGTTAGTTCGGTGAATTTCATTAGAGAGCTTCTTCCAAAATCCCTGGAGCCACCCTCAAAAAGCCATTGCCTTGAATTCAATAACAGATGTACAGAGGCCCAAGAGCTTTACCTCCCTGACATATCTTAATGATGAATTTTATTTATTTATAAAACATAAATGTAGAAGTCTCTCAGCGTTCCACATTAAAACTAAAAGACAAGCATTCAATAAAATTTCCTAGGCTACATAAAAAGGATACAAGACCAAAATGCAACTGTATATCACAAATAAAACTCAGCAGTGTACAAAGCAAACAATTAAAAATTAAAAGTCAGAATCCAGGTAAATAAGAGTATTCTGGAATGTGGATGCCGTCACCAAGAAGTCCTGCTTCCCCAATGCCACCAAGTGATTATCTGCTGGTTATTGAAGGACCAGCAGGGTTTCTGCATATCTTTAAGATTGGCTTAGTCTGTATCAGGGGAAGTAGTCTGCCGGGTATCCTGGTCCCAAGTTGTTTCAATGGGCTCTAAATGTCAGCAGCAAAACCTTGAACCTGGCTTGATAGCTAATAAGTCTGTGTGGAGGCTTTGGCTTTGCAAAATCATCACAGCAGGAAGAAGAAACATGGACAGACCTTTTTAAGCCATGCAAAACCCAAACTACTACTACTACTACTACTACTATTATTATTATTATTATTATTATTATTATTATTAATACCCCGCCCATCTGGCTGGGTTTCCCCAGCCACCTCTGGGCGGCTTCCAACAAAATATTAAAATACAATAGTCCTTCAGATATTAAAAGCTCCCCTAAACAGGGCTGCCTTCAGATGTCCTCTAAAAGTCTGGTAGTTGTTTTTTCCTTTGACATCTGGTGGCAGGGCGTTCCACAAGGCAGGAGCCATTACCAAGAAGGCCCTCTACCTGGTTCCCTGTAACTTCGCTTCTCGTGGTGAGGGAACCGCCAGAAGGCCTTTGGCGCTGGACCTCAGTGTCCAGGCAGAACGATGGGGGGGGGGGGAGATGCTCCTTCAGGTATACTGGACCTTCAGGTATACTGTATAGGCCTTTATAGATTGGCAGCAACATCCTGAACAGAGCAGCTAACACACTGGCTGAATATGCTAAATTGATTTATTGATATTTTTAATCCACACATTTTTTTAGAAGGGGGCAAGGTACAACATATATTATCTTCTGTTTGCAACACGTTCAATATATTAAAAGCGCATTTCAAATTAACTTGTACCCCAACAATTCAAAGGTACTTTTTCTTTGAGCAGTCGTTCATTTAATTCAAGACCAGCATTTAAAGTTTACAAAGTCACTTTCCCTAGACACACTTGGATTGATAAGAATTATCACGACTACTGTTTATCATTCTGCAGCACCTTTCATAGTCCAAAATGCTTTGCAATTTTTATCTTAATCATTTGAGTTCACATGCTAATATTTGAGCTGCGGGCTAGTATGCTTTGTCTTAGCTCAGGATACAGTTGGTTCTCCCTTTCAGGTGGAGATGGGGAAAACAGTCGCAAAGTGTAAACTTCAATTAGCACATAGCAGTTTGACTGATCTGTGAAATCTGTGAAGATTCTTTTTCACAGAGCTTTTCATTCAGTGCATATAGCACTGTAGGTGTTCCAATTAAAAAACCGGATCTTATATGAGGCAATCAGAGGGATACAGTGCACCAGCAGAGGAGTAAAAGAGCTTGCTCATTCTTTTTCAGAGTGATACCCATGTCCCCAGGTGTGGTTAATACAGGAATATGCCTGAAAATAGGACTGAAATCTATAACATGTATGGTTTGGGCACTGCTGTTTTCCAGAAGTAATAAAGTCTGCTTTGGCTTTCAGGAAGTCAGTAAGCACTCTGAGATCTGTCAAGATTTATACAGAAATACATGGCTGAAGGATGTTCTCTATAATATAATGGAACAGGGAATTTCTCCACTGGATCTTTTATCTTAAGGTGAAATGAAGGCAAAACCAGTATTGTTTCAAATAGTAATACAAATAGTCAAAATTTAATAAGTGAGAATCTAAATTATGTTCTCCTTCCTTTTCAGCATTAAATCCAATTGGGAGAAAAAGTAAAAACTATTTAAGAGTTCTAAATACCTATAAATATTGGATTCACATTAAGTTTGTTCATATGAGTGGGTTACCTTCTACCCAGTTATAGAGGAAATATAATAAAGAGCTTGCTGGCAGCTCTAGCGACCTGAAAATCATGTTACATCAGAGGAGATACTATTATTTGTTTCTCTATTTAGCTGATCTCTCCTGGATACTGAAAATGCTGCAATTTCCCACACATGCTGATTTAAGGGGACGCAGGTGACGTTGTGGGTTAAACCACAGAGCCTAAGGCTTGCTGATCAGCAGGTCGGTGGTTCGAATCCCTGCGATGGGGTGAGCGCCTGTTGCTTGGTCCCAGCTCCTGCCCACCTAGCAGTTCAAAAGCACGTCAAAGTGCAAGTAGATAAATAGGTACTGCTCTGGCGGGAAGGTAAACACCGTTTCCATGCGCTGCTCTGGTTCGCGAGAAGCGGCTTAGTCAGGGGTCCCTTTACCTTTACCTGGTTTAATTTCACATTGATTGATTGCTTTTGCTACAGTTGCCTCATGATTTAGGGCAGGGATGGGGGGATGTGTGTCTCTCCAGATGTGGTTGGACTCCAACTTCCACCAGCTCAAGCCAGGATAGGCAACAGTCAGGAATAATGGGAGCTGTAGTTCAACAATATCTGGAGGGCCACAAATTTCGCATCCCTGGTTTACAAAACATCATTGTGAGTTTTTGTTTGTGTAAACTGGTCAGCAAACACAAAACACACATTCACTGATCTAAACCAAAAACCATTAAGTTAAAGTCGCTTTAGTTGTGTGTAACCTTAACCCAGTTAGTTTTAGCACTGACTGCAGGATTGAATCCTTAGGGCCCTCTGTAGTAGGCAGTCCCAAACTGTTGTGAAATGGGAGCCAATAGTACTTCTTGGAGTCGAGGGTGCAAGTAAAATACACTTACTTTCCTTTTGGGACTTCTCTGGTTAAATAATATGCCTCCATCCCAAGAAAATATGAATTGCATTTCTGACATTTTGCACACATTCTCCTTCAAGCCATTCAGATCACATGAGCCTTCTTCACCAAAAGTAATTTTTTCCCTAAAAGCATTTTGCCATTAGCCAGAGCTATAATATCCCCTTGGGGCTCAAAAATGCAGATGGAGTCACCCATGCTTAATATGCTATTATTAGTAATAGCAATGCTAGACTCCACAAATTCAGCTGGCAGCTTTGTCAAAAACTGGGGAGGTGTAGAAACAGCAGTTTTTCTCTCCCTCAGGAATAATGGCTGTGCTGACAATTGTACAAGTCAATCTAGGTCAATAAATTTAGCAGATGACTAGAAAAATGCACAGTACCATAATAAATTGTCACTTTAGTAATGACTTTTTTGACCAGGCCATAGAAAACTTACAGCATGAGCTGAGTTTATTTTTATGCTCCCTGGAAAGGAAAATGCTATGCATTTAACATAGCTATTATACAAGCAATTAACATTTGAAGTTCCTTAACAACAATCTTTCTAACAGCAATCAAGGTTACTCCCAATTTAAAAACAACTTGATGTCTGTCAAAGTTTGACAGGCAGATTTTCTTCCTTTATCACTCCAGCCATCTCCATTCCAGGCTGAATGCAATAGTGAGAGGGGAGGGCAACTTTTGCAGAGAAAGTTGACGCAGCTGGCAGGTAGGCATGGAAGGAATGTAGGGCTTGGGTAAGAAGAGGTGACAGTTGCTCTCTTTGCCCATGGACGGAAGCTTCTTGTGAAGCTTCCCACTGATTAGGAGTGACATCACACCTCTGCTGATTCCCCTGCCATTTTGTGCCTTCCACATTGTTTTTCTACTCTTTTAAGGTCCAGTTCTTCCTTCAATACTACTCAAATGCAGCCCTTAAGGAGCAGAAAAATGCGGAACACAGCCACAAAATCTGTCTCCTCTCTTGCAGTATTTTGCCAGTAATTTATGAACTTTTTTTTAATCTCATTTGAAATCTCTGCCTGTTTTCCAGTGCTGAAAACAGTTATCTCCCAATGGAAGAAAGAAGTTTATTAAAAGAATATACTGCCAAGGGATAGTTTTTGCATTTTTAATGATTCTGATAAGCTCTTGGGGTGGTTTTCTTCCACAGCCAGCGGAGATAACAAAGTCGGTAGTACTCTGCTATTGCAATTCCTAATTGCAATGAAATGCTGATCTCCAAACCACAGGCAAACACAAAGCAACACTCCTCCACTTGCTTATTTTGAAAGCTTGAAACCAGAAAAAAAGACAGAAATTGTTCATTAGCAGTGGGGAGAGGTGCCCAAACTTCCTGCCATGAGACACTGAAAAGGGACACAATGTCTCTTGAATCATGATGAATTGTAGCCTAAATTTATGTCAATCGCCAAGTCCCCTCCGGCACTCAGAATTCCTCTCTCTGAAATATGCTAATTTCTATCTGCCTGCAAACCCCCTTTTGGCTCAGCTGTGACTTTATCTGCCTCACACCTGATATCAAAGGTTTCAATTTCCACTCTTTAAAATCAATATTCATGGTTGCTGCAATAATCTTACATAAACCGTTTTGTGAGATCCACCCAAAAAGTGGTACATAAACAAAAGATAACATGTACATCATAAGGTTCAGGGCAGGTAGGGAGGCCTGGAAGGCCTGATTAGATTCATGGCCTGAAGTGCCCCACCCTTCCCATAATTTATGAAAAATTCACTTTCAACAGCAAATAAAACAGTTGTGGTCTGGAGATATAATCAGCCAGGAACTTTCCAAGTATCTGTATTATGCGGCTTTTGATCAAATTTACACTGTGGTCTGACCTGGGTTTATCTTCCGGTAACTCTGCTGTAACCACGGACAAGAGTTCCAGTTTGGTCTTCCAGGCCATGGAATTTCCTTGGAAGCCATCCAGCAAGAAGCCAGCTACCGGTCTCTTGGCAGTCTCTTTAGCAGATCGGAGCCTCTCTTCCAACACATCTCCACCTTCAACAACTCCAATTATCAAGCTCTGTTGCAATTCCTAGTTTGGAAGGAAGTTATAAATGTAAGAAAAATACACCCTTTGGCTGGAGAAGGTAAGTTAAGCCTGCAATCCTAACCCCTACTTGCCTGGAGGAAGCCCCACTAAATTCAACAGGAGTCCGTTCTGAATGGACATGGTTAGGATTACACAACTGACTACCCTGTTGCACCAGCCTTATTTGGGGCAGATACCAAAAAGAAAGAAAAAAGCCATTGTGGAGTATAAGGGTTAAATGAATGAACTGGGACACAGAAAAAAATAATTACCATATCACTGTCCTTGTCCTTGTCCCCTTATCTTGACATCAGTTAACTTCATGGTACTTAAATGAGAGTTAAGTACACATAATGTAATAGCCTGAGACTCTGTTCTGAATATTTTAAGGCTGATTCTCCACCCTAGATTGGTACTTTTTAAGAAAAAGTCAATACTGGCTGTGGCAGATTGGTTTCCTACTGCCAAGGAACCATAGAGCTCCTGGCTACCACTACCTTATGAAGAACTATCAGAATAATAAAAGAACTTTTCACACTTGTTTTTTCCAACATAAGAGAAAAGCTCATTCCCCCGCTCCCAATTAAGTAAAGGCCTAAATGGCAGAACAAATATCATTTTTGGGAAGCAGTTCTACACACTAGTGCCTCAATGTATTCACTAGAGCAGGGGAGAACCTTTTTGACTATTCTGTCGATAAATATCAGACTTCAGAACTACTCTAGCTATTTTGCCAATATACCGCATGCTCCAAACCTCCCATGTTGTGGGAGACTTGAAATGGTTCAAAAAGATTTAGCTCTTACTGGAGATTTATCTTGCAACTGGAGGCACTCATCCAAAAAGGACAGGGATCGATCCACAGACTTCTTGGCCCTCTTCTTAGATATTCCTTCTCCAACCGTGTCTCCATCTGATAGACACTGGAACCAGTCTGGCTGAATAACGCGTTGGAGGGCCATGAAATTTGATGGTGTCATTTCTATCCGCCCTCCACTTCCCCATATAGAAACTGACTGTCAGAGACAAGCAAACAGAGAGAGTTTAAACAGGGAGATTAGGAGATAATCAGTGAGTGACAAAGATCTTGCTAATGGAACCATCTTCTCATGCTCAAGGCATGAAACTCAAGGCAAAACTGCACTTTATAAAGAACATTGATTGCTGTTAAGAATGGAAGTACCTCAAAGTCAAGTTTCTATTTCCTTTATGCTTAGTTCAAACTGCCCCATACCCTGACTTCAATATGTTCATTACTCGTTCCTGCCAGCAACAGCCAATGATGTGAAGCACAAGTAGAGAAATGCGCATTTTAATGACAGCATGACAAATGAACAGCTGAACCTAGACGCTTACAAAGAGAATGGAGCAGAACTAAGCCAATAGCTGCTGTTTTTGGTGGTAGCTTCACATTCTCTGCATAGCTGTCAACCGTCCCTTATTTGGCGGGAAACTCCCTTATCCCAGCACCGTGTCCCGCTGCTGTCCCTTATTGATGATGTCCCTTAATTTTCCCGGGTTTCATGCTCGCCTGGCTCGGGAGGGAAGCAGCGGCTCGGGGTCCTCCACCGTGAGTGAGAGAGCGCGCACGAGCTGCCACGTCTCCGTCTCTCCTTTTCCCCCCTCAGGGGCGCATTGTGAGGAGCCGGGTAAGCAAAATCCCTTATTTTGGCTGCTGATCCCTTATTTTCGAGGCTGCTGGTCCCTTATTTTCAAATCTGCATTTTGACAGCTATGATTCTCTGTAAAGTGTCATTCCAACTTCTAAACTATGATCAGCAGATTTATCATCTGAAGGATGAGCATGTGATGCCTGTATCAAGTAATAACTTCCACATGGAAAGGACTGTCAGTAACAACACACCAAAGGCAGTTTTTTCAGCTCACATAACATAGTGGTCTGGACCTTAAGTTCTCACTCTATGAACAGAAAGTGCATTCCATGGGCACAACTGTCCCGTCATAATAGAATTTCCTTTTCTTGCACCCCTCCACATGGAGGTAGTGCACATCCAGCTGCCATAAGTTATGTCTATATACTTGTGTGAATCAGCCTCTGAGATCTGCTCTTTTTTTTTTAAAATGATATTTATTGAAAATTTTTTAGAATTACAAAAGAGAACAAAGCAGAAAAAGAGAAAGAAAAAACAAAGAAAAACAATACAAATTCAAAAAACAAAAATACACCACAAACACTCAAAAACAAATCCATCATTCTCAAATCCTCAACTGTCATTACCTTCTTTCTTTGACCACCTCCTCCCCCCTTTTTTTGTATCCTAGTTGTTAATTGTCGCAGCAAATCCTTTCCATACTTCATAATATTCTGTCATTACATTACCTTAATCTATTTTAATCTTATCTTACTATAAAGAACCTTAAATCTTAAAACTTAAATCTTATATTTACCAACTTCTCATAACCATAATATTCTTACATAATTCTTTAAACATTTTTACTAAAGCCAAGTAATTTCGTTCCAACATTTTTCTAACATTCATCAATTTTATAAAACAATCCTAGTAGTAAAAAAAAGAAATAAAAACAATCCAATCTTCATCCAGCGTCCCTTCCTCCTGGTCCCGGGTTTTGTCAGTCCTTTTTATCCCATCAATCTAGTGCATTAACCTGGTAACCTTGTATCCGAGGCCCTTAAGTCCCTTCCATGTCCCTTCCGCGGCTCTTCTTCATATTTATAGCTGTATTTTCCTTTGTCTCCTGCTCCTTTCACTCGTGGGAACTCCAGCTTAACAATGTTTTTGACCCTTCTCGACAAATCAGCCCCTTTTCCATAGTCCACACTAAACTCCATGTGGTATTTAAGAACGTGTTTCAAAATCCCTCCAAAATTAAGAGCCCCCACAACCCCAAACATCTCACGGCCCATTGCCAGACTTGAAAAGTCCAAACATCCCTGCATAGGGGGGTCTATCCAACCCCCCATTTCCAAACCAGACCAAACTTTATCTTTCCAAATCTGGCTTTTCCAAGTTCATTTGTCAAATCCAAAAGCTCATGTTCCTGCAGGGCCACAGCTCCCTCCATCTCTGGCGCCCAAGATTCAGCAACATCCTCTTCCCTCATCTGTTCTGTCAGGGCACACTCCTGATTTAATTCCTGGGTGGGCTCCATATAATTTCCCACTGCCTGTTCAAAATTTCTGTTTGTTTTGTTTTTTTAATAATTTTTTATTAAAGTTTTAAACAAACAGAAAAAAGAAACAACACACACAAAAAACAATACAAAACTTAACAATAAAAACACAAAACATAGCAATTAAAAACAAACTCTCTTTTTTTTTTTAAATGATATTTATTAAAGTTTCACAAAAATACAGAAAACAAAGAAAAAAGTATAAATTACAGCAAAAAAGTAAAAAGTAAGAAAAAACATACAAAATAAAACAGTTAAAAACACAATGATGTTCCATAACCTATCTTCCTTACTCTTATTTCCCCAGACCTCCTCATACCTCCCTTCTTTGTATTCCAATTCAGTTTGTTGGTTCAGCAAATCCTTACCATTAATCTTTTACCCAATTGTTAACCTTTTTTTTCATGTCTCTTAAAGCATTACAGCTAAAAACCTCTTAATTTCTATCCAACATCCTTCTAAAGTTCCTTAATTTTACAATATTTCTGTAAATAGTCCTTAAATTTTTTCCAATCTTCTTTCACCGACTCTTCTCCCTGGTCTCGGATTCTGCCAGTCATTTCCGCCAATTCCATGTAGTCAATCACCTTCATCTGCCATTCTTCCAAAGTGGGTAGATCTTGTGTCTTCCAATACTTTGCGATAAGTATTCTTGCTGCTGTTGTAGCATACATGAAAAAGGTTCTGTCCTTCTTTGGCACCAGTTGGCCGACAATGCCCAAGAGAAAGGCCTCTGGTTTCTTCAGAAAGGTATATTTAAATACCTTTTCAGTTCATTATATATCATTTCCCAGAAAGCCTTAATCTTTGGGCACGTCCACCAAAGGTGAAAGAATGTACCTTCAGTTTCTTTACATTTCCAACATTTATTATCGGGCAAATGATAAATTTTTGCAAGCTTGACTGGGGTCATGTACCACCTGTATATCATTTTCATAATATTCTCTCTTAAGGCATTACATGCCGTAAACTTCATACCTGTGGTCCATAACTGTTCCCAGTCAGCGAACATAATGTTATGTCCAACATCTTGTGCCCATTTAATCATAGCAGATTTCACCGTTTCATCCTGAGTATTCCATTTCAACAGCAAGTTATACATTCTTGACAAATTTTTAGTTTTGGGTTCTAACAATTCTGTTTCTAATTTTGACTTTTCCACTTGGAAGCCTATTTTCTTATCCAAGTTATATGCCTCCATTATCTGATAGTAGTGGAGCCAATCTCTCACTTTATTTTTTAATTTTTCAAAACTCTGCAGTCTCAATTTATCTCCTTCTTGCTCCAAAATTTCCCAATATGTCGGCCATTTGGCCTCCATATTGAGCCTTTTCAGAGCTTTTGCTTCCATTGGTGACAGCCACCTTGGGGTTTTATTTTCCAATAAGTCTTTGTATCTTATCCAGACATTAAACAATGCTTTCCTAACAATATGATTTTTGAATGCTTTGTGTGCTTTGACCTTATCATACCATAAATATGCATGCCATCCAAATACATTGTTAAAACCTTCTAAATCCAAAATGTCTGTGTTTTCAAGAAGTAGCCATTCTTTCAGCCAGCAAAAAGCTGCTGATTCATAATAAAGTTTAAGGTCTGGCAGGGCAAATCCACCTCTTTCCTTAGCGTCAGTTAATATCTTAAATTTTATTCTGGGCAAACTCTCTTTTCCATTTCCAATTTTAAATTACTTATTTTCTAGACTTCCTCATACCTCCCTCTTTTGTATTCCAATCTACATTGTTTGTCCAGCAGTTTCTTTTCCACTTTTTTAATCTCGGTCTTTAATTTAATAAAACGTTAAGATATATAACTTCAACTTTTTTAAACCTAATCCTTGATCTTAATGTCATATAACTTTAAATTTTTCCCTTTTATTATCAAATTTCCATTTCTTTAAACATCTTTAATCTTGATCTTTAATCTTAATCTATCCTTAACTTTAACCTGTACAGCTGGAAACCACTTGTTTTCAGTCCAACATCACTCTAACATTCCTTAATTTTGCAGTGTTTCTGAAGATAGTCTTTGAATTTCTTCCAGTCTTCCTCCATCGACTCTTCTCCCTGGTCACGGATTCTACCAGTCACTTCCGCCAATTCCATATAGTCCATAAGTTTCATCTGCCATTCCTCCAGCATGGGAAGTTCTTGTGTCTTCCAATACTTTGCGATGAGTATTCTTGCTGCTGTTGTTGCATACATAAAGAAAGTTCTATCCTTTTTAACACCATTTGGCCCACTATGCCCAGGAGAAAGGCCTCTGGTTTCTTAGGGAAGGTATACTTAAATACCTTTTTAATTCATTATATATCATTTCCCAGAAAGCCTTAATCTTTGGGCACGTCCACCAAAGGTGAAAAATGTACCTTCAGTTTCTTTACATTTCCAACATTTGTTATCAGGCAAGTGATAGATTTTCGCAAGCTTGACTGGGGTTATGTACCACCTGTATATCATTTTCATAACATTCTCTCTTAAGGCATTACATGCCGTAAATTTCATACCTGTGGTCCATAACTGTTCCCAGTCAGCAAACATAATGTTATGGCCAACGTCCTGTGCCCATTTAATCATAGCCGATTTTACCGTTTCATCTTGAGTATTCCATTTCAGCAGCAAGTTATACATTCTTGACAAGTTCTTAGTATTGGGTTCTAACAATTCTGTTTCTAATTTGGATCTTTCCACCTGGAAGCCAATTTTCATGTCCAATTTAAATACCTCCATTATTTGATAATAATGAAGCCAGTCTCGCACTTTGTTTTTTAGTTTTTCAAAACTCTGCAATTTCAGTCTATCTCCGTCTTGTTCCAAAATTTCCCAATATTTCGGCCATTTGACCTTCCTGTTCAAAATTTCTGATTGCATCAGTCATCAAGTCCGTCTTCTCATGTAGCTGTTCCAGTAGGGCATTTGTTTTACAGAGAGCACACAACAGAGCTTTGAATACATTGTCCTGCAAGGTCAGAAGTCTATTCCCACGATTGTAATCTGTAACAGCTGCAAGCTCCCCGGAATTGGTTACAGTTTCACAGTCTCCCACTAGGGGGAAAACTTCTATTTGTTCTTTCTTTTAAAAACAAGTCTAACAACAAAGTTTCCTTTTTCAGATATTTTGTCAATATTTGTTCCTTTAAGATGCGAAGGGGAACAATGGAGTCACTATGTTTCTCTTCTTTTAGCTATCTGTCAAAAACGTTTGTCTCTGGTCAATGAGCTTCAAAAAACATCAGTCCTGACACCCCGCTCCAGGATCAAGATGGTGGAAAGTTACTTTACTTTACACTCACTTCTGCAGGTTTAAACAGTCCGAAAAAATCCCCCCTCTTCTCCTGCTTCCGAAGGGGGTTCAACAATTTTAAATGATGAAAGTTAATCTTTTACAAGCGATTTTCTGAGCTCTAGTTTGCCATGTCTTTGCTTTAATCTATCTACAAAGAAACGGAAGGCTGACTTCCTGTTTAGACCTTCCCGTTTCAGTGCCAAATTGAAGTAAACTTTTAAGTCCAATTTTCCTTTCTGCTCGCAAGTCCTTATTTAAAGTCCAGTTGTCGAAATTTAAGTACTCACGGGTGATTATTTTAGAAGCCAAATTGGCCCAGGAAAAAGGCAGCGCTCTCCGGCAACGGCTGTGCGGCTTCGCTCCACGGAAGAAGCAGTTGACTCTCAGCACCACGCCACTTCCCCCTCTTCGCTCCGGAGCCCGTTAGTGGGTTCCTTTGCGGGTTGGGGGGGCGCTAAAGGTGCCCGCCGAGTCCCATGGTCACAGGCTTCATCCGCCTGTGATTTTTGAAAGGGTCCCCGCTTCGCCATAGCGGAAAAGACCCGTTTCGCATGGAGCTAGTCCCTCCAGATCAGAGGCAGTCTGCCATTGCCGATGGCGCCACCCCGGAAGTCCGATCTGCTCTAAACTCACCAAGAGAATTATAAAACTAATAAAATTAACATTAGAAAGATGTGATAAGATGCAATGCCAAAATGTAGGAGGTCTCAAAGGTGCACAGAGGAGGAATTATTCACCCACCATTTTGAAATATGGACTCTTCCCCACAGTAAAGAGATTTAGTTATTTGAAAAGATAACCCAAACTATCTTCCAGTTTGTTTGAGTGACTAAGGCTGCAAACCTATATACACTTACACTGAACATCTTCTAAATCTCCACTTTCTCCCATCTTGATGACTTGACTGTCTGTGATCTTTATTCCTCTAGCTCTATCAACAGAAGGTCTCATTCTCCCTCAAAGGACTCGTCCATTGTCCCTTGCTACTCCATATACTTGGAACTACCACCTAGAACACCTGTGTGATGCCACCTCCCTTACTTCCCTCAAATCTCTCCTCAAAACCCATCTTTTCAAAAAAAACAAAAAACCCTTCAGCACATCTCCCAGTTTCCATGCCCTTCTGTAACTGAGCTTAAATTTGTTTAACTGGCTCAATAACACACTGCTTTCCTGTTGACCCCTAACTCCACACCTTCCCTGTGTTGAATTACAACATAAATTGCAAGCTCTTTGGGGCGAGGACTTGTATTCTATAGAGCGCCATGCAAACTGATAGTGCTATTTGATAATAATATGCTGTATTGCAGCAGCAACATTTAACCTTGTATTCTGACCCAGTGTTGGTGTTATTATGGATGATTATTCAATCACTGGGCCTCCCTGGTATCACGTAGACCCAAAAGGTTGAGTTATTAAAGCTGCCATCACTCAGGACATATTGCAAACCAAAGTCATCTGAAGATAATTAAATGCAGTGAATGCAGACTAGCAGTTGAACTGAGCAAGAGTTTACTGCTTTAGATGCATTTGCTGATTCTTAATTTCAAAATTAAGAGAGACACTCAATTAATTTAGGCTTTGAGACATCTGTTGAACAGATCAACAAGCATCTGCTCTCTTGGGCAATTACTCCAGCAATTACAAACTTTTCCATACAGGGAAAAAGAAAGTTATGTTTCCGTATTCACGACATCCTTCCAAAATCAGAATGCACTATATAGGCACGGGGAGTAGATTTGTACATTATATATAGAATGAGCACAATTCAAAGTGTTGGTGTTGACCTTTAAAGCCCTAAACGGCCTCGGCCCAGTATACCTAAAGGAGCGTCTCCACCCCCATCGTTCTGCCCGGACGCTGAGGTCCAGCGCCAAGGGTCTTCTGGCGGTTCCATCATTGCAAGAAGCAAAGCTACAGGGAACCAGGCAGAGGGCCTTCTCGGTAGTGGCGCCCGCCCTGTGGAACGCCCTCCCATCAGATGTCAAAGCGATAAACAACTACCTGACATTCAGAAGACATCTTAAGGCAGCCCTGTTCAGGGAAGTTTTTAATGTGTGACATTTTAGTGTATTTTTGGTCTCTGTGGAAGCCGCCCAGAGTGGCTGGGGAAACCCAGCCAGATGGGCGGGGTACAAATAAATAAATAAATAAAATACCATACTTCTGTTCTAGGTCCTATAAAAAGGGTAGAAAGAACAATATGGATGTTGAACACCAGGCTTAATTTGGTTTGAAAATCAAGAAAGGAGTTGTGTTATTATATTATCAAAGTAGAAAATTTAAAAAGGAACACAGTCTTATGCTTATTGAACGGTTGTATATATAATTTGATTCCACAGACAAGAAACTGTGTTCCTGAAAATCTCACATTCAGACTTATTTAGCTGTTTGTTTCTAAATGAGGTTTCTAGTCCTCGTTGTGGCAACAGATGTGAAAATGTGCTGGTACTGGATGCAAAGGATTCTATAGGTCAGGCTTGCACACCTCTTTCGGTCATAGTTTCCTACCAATAATTATCTTCCTGCTACCATAATTCCTTGCCAAAAATAAAGCAAAATAAAAATTCTGAAACTGCCTCCCCCAACCTGCAAATATTCTACAGCTGTCACTACTCCCAAACAGTTCAATTGTAAGCATGTTTACTCAGAAGTAAGTCCCACTAAATTCAGTGAGATTTACTCCCAAGTGAAGTGCATATTGGATTGCAGCATGAAAATGCTAGAAGGAAAGATTGGAGCCGGCAGCCCAAGAGCCTCATTGCATTTGGCTCATTTGGGAAGCCACAATGGCTATGTTCTGCCTCCACTGTCTAATGCACTATGTCTCTGAATACCAATTGCTGAGAATCACAGGTGGGCAGAACGTTGTTGTGCTCATGTCCAGCTCTGGGGTTTCCCATAAGTATCTGGTTTGCCACTGTGAGATGCGGAACTAAATGGGCCACTGGCTTGATCCAGCAAGCTCTTGTTATGCTCATTTAAGTACTGAAATGTCAGAAAGTTCTTGTGTCTACCATACCTTGCAGTTGTTGTAACCAGGTGGGGAGCAGATTACTGGGTCATGGAGGGAACAGTATAGCACTGAATCTGGCATGCCTATGTATGGTTAAAAAAAATAAATTACCTTTTAATATACAAACTATGAAACCTGCACTGATAACTTTTGAATACTGTACATCGCTTATAAGCAACTGTGAGTATATATAACTTATCATTTCTGAATAGAAAAACAACAGACAATTCATTTCCCCAGATACTATAATATTCTCCTGACCAGCTCTGTTCACCTTCCAGGAGAGAAAGGGAGGGGAAGTGGCAGCTACAAAAGCTCAACTTCATAGTGGCATGTAGGCTCTGGATTTTGATTTGATTAATGTTCCTTGCAGTTAATACTGTGCTGACAAAATGACAGCTGACTTGCTCGTCTTCTACGCAGATATCCTCAGGGGACCTGACCCTTGAGCCTCCTTGGCGATAAAACCACCCCCAGCCCAGAACAGAGTTTTAAAGGATAACAAACATAAAAATAAAAGAGTGAACTGCTGCAACAAGAAGAGAGTGAAAGCTAAAGTACAGCCTCAAAGTGTAGCTCATTTATTGCTTTCAGCGGTGATGTGAGGGCAGGGCTTTGGTGCAGCAGTCCAGATCCCCACTCAAAAGAACAAGTATGAAGGCCCCCAAAGACAGTGGGGCTGGCCTACAACATTTTGATATAAATAAAGCTATGCATGTTGCCATCTAAAGGGGGGAAGGGGATAAGCTCAGTAAGCCCAGAATCTAAAGATACCTAAGTGCACCGCTGATTGCTTTCAAACATTTTTAATATAACAATGAGCAGAGTTTGCCAGAACTTTCTGAGAGAGGTCCTTCTGGCTAAAGATCCTTCTTGAAGTGTAGGGCAATTAAGATTCCCAGCTTAACTGCAATTCTGTCAGGCTTTGCTACCTAACTTTAATGCCTTACAAAACACTCCTGGGCTTTCTATCAAATTAAATATATGCTAAAGGCGGATCAGTGATCAACATGCTGCATAAGGTATTATTAGACAGCTTTAAAAACCATTTAAAAAGTCTTAGACGTTCTACAAAAAGAAAGTCAGGGGTTTTATCCTTGTAGTTGACTAAAGATATGATGGCAGCACATTCAAAACTCCCCAGATACACAATGTTTTCATATTCCATGACTGCTAAACTGATATTATTAATTCAATCTGACTTATGATTCCGAGAAACCTTTTGGTGTATATAGTGCTTTAAAATCTATTTCATAGTGTCCTCACTTCCTGGCAGGTTGACCAGTTGCAGTGGCCAACATATAGAAAATCAGTTGACCAATGTGTGAACACATAAACAAACAATAGCAAACTGGGTTTGCACTCATGTGCAACACTGATTCTGCCTGCAATAAGCTCCTTATACAAACATATAGCTATAACTTGCGAGCATCAATATCGTGGAATATAAAGGCACAGTGCAATCTAGTCTCTGCTCGTCAGTGGCTTACAGGACTATTATGCCTTAATCCAGGGGTTGCCAAACTTTCTGGATTAGTGGGCACATGTGTAATTTTGACAAAGTGCCATGCATGCCAGTCACAAAATGGCTGTTGTGGGAGTCGGGCACAACATATCTGCCATTATCGAAAAGTGCTAGGGCCACGAAATGGTAAAAGCATGCCCTCTCCAACAGCTGTCCCACCAATGGGGAAAAGGCACCTACATCAACCATCACCATGGTTTGCTCATAGAGAGATCTTTGCACATCTCCTTTATTCAGAACTGGTGGGTGGGTGTCCGATGAAATGTGGGTATGTTTAACACGGCATGCCCAATGTAGGAAAGGTTGAGCCAGTGCAAACAGGAACTGAGCAGGCACATCAGTCTTTGTGCATTGTGGATTTATGAGGGGATATTTACTAAAACCTTTCATGGGTGCCATAGGAGGTACTGATGGCACACTGCCATTTGTACATGCTGTGTTGGTGATCCTTGCCTAAATCAAATACATTCCATCCAACTTCAAATACAATTTCCAATACTGTACTGCATATTACATTCCATCTTCCAGCGTCCCACTGTATTACGGTAATACTATTACCTATGAACTTTCCAGTTCCTTCCTTGTATTCCGCCAAGACCTCATGAAGTTCTACCCTGCAACCAAACAGAGAAACAAATTAGACCACTGGGGAAAACCCTTTTCAGTCCTGTGAATAAATCATTTTTAGAATTCTATGACTGAAGTAAAGTTTTGCTTTAAATGAGTATATAAGGGAACTCACACTACTGAATATAAAATGTTAACTGCATATAAACTGTCTATACAAGATATCCACAAAACACCAACAGGTGACTGACTGTTTAACTGTTACATCACATCGTCTTAAAACAGAGATAGCTCTGGAAATGAGGTTTTCTCTTTATATATAGAAATGAGATTGAAAAATCGTAGGATTTGACCGGTCAAGTCAGTGGACATTCTTTCTCATTTCATTTAACCAAAGTAGCGGCCTGACTGGGAGGAAGGGAGAAAATTCCACTCAGTGATTGACTGGAGAGATGCCTTAGTTGCAAATAAAAGGGCAGTCTCAAGCCACAGTCAAGGCCAGAAAGTGGATCAGAAGTTGATTAGCTATTCAGCAAGTTGACTCATACAGGGTCACAGCGAATAAGCTTCCTGCTGTCAGGTGGTTAGAGGTGATACATAATCAGCTTTTAAGTAACCAATAACTGGTCATGCAATATTGCCCAAAGACTTAAAAGTCATTGTGTCATTCATGTCTGAGGTTGCAATCCTAAAGACACACTTATCTATAGAGTCCTAGAGAGTTCAATGTTTACTACAGCTTAGATATGTACAAGATTGCCCTGTTGGAATCCGATTCTATCACATTTGCAAAGACAAAAAACAACAACATTATGCAATCAAAGATACACTACAAAAGAAACATGATCTAGTGATGGATAGTCTGCCTTGGCCCTCATACAGCTGGACGAGCACAATTTAAGGTGCTGTTTTACACATAAAGGCCTAAATGACATAGATCCAAATTTTACCAGAAGAAAAATGCACTCACAATGCTGGAAGTGGAAGTTGTATAACTACAGGAATATCTCGGACCAACTGTAGATTGTCATGTGTCAGGTGTGGTGCTGATCCCATTTTGGTGTAAAGCAGACAACCTGGAATCTCCATAGATTGAATCCCTTTCCTGCCAAGATTTGTCAGCGTGCCAAGACGACAGCCACCAACTACTTTGGAGAGGCAAAATTTCATCTTCATTAACACAACTGAAAAAGAGTAGCAAATTCACACAGGCATATTTATCATGCAATACTTGCAACTATGTGCAGGGATAGTTCAATAATAAAGAACATGCTTTGCATGCAAAAAGTCCCAGGTTCAACCCCAACATCTCCTGATAGGACTTGGGGGGAAAACCCTGTTTGAAACATTAGAGGGCTGCTGCTAGTCACTGTAGTGACAATCTTGAACTAGATAGATCAGTGGTCTGAGTAGGTATAAAGCATCTTTTTATTTCCCTAATTATCTAATTTTCACAATATCCATTTGGAAACCATTTGAACATCTATTTCCTCCTTTGTAAAAACAGTAGTCATATTAAACTACTATGGCATAAAGACAAAGATATTATCACTAGGAAATCCTTCTGAGTAACAGAAACTGAAATAAATGAGAAGTGTGCAAGAACACAGAATTGCATCTTAGAATGTTGGTTGTGAGATTCATTTTTCAAGCAAGAACCTACTTCATCATTTACTAAGGGCGAAGATGTTGACTAAGGGGTTAAGATGTATTATTTTGGTAGTGGACTGTGCTAAGGTTGATGTAAAAGGCCCACAACACATTGTTGAACGTCAGCTCCCATCAGTCCCAACCAGTCTTTGTCAATGATGGGAGCTGCAGTCCAACATTATCTGAAAGGTCACAAATAATAAACTGAAACAAACTATGGAGCACAAATATCCCTAAAGTAAGATCTGTGAGTTCCCACTTTGAATATTACATTAGCATTTCAAAGCACAAGTTATTCATATTTCTATGTGAACTAGTTCAGTGGTAGCCAATGTGGTGCCCTCCGTTTTGGGGAGCTACAATTCCCATCATACTCAGACAACATGGCCAATGGCTAGGGATGATGGGAGTTTTAGTCCAAAAATTTGGCTACCCCTGAACTACCTCCTAGGGCCGATGTCGTTGGAGAGTCATGGCTAATCTCTCAATGTAATTTTCTGCTTCTAGAAGCAGATGTGAGGGTGGGAGGGAAAAAGAGAGAGAGATGGATTAGGGTCAGGGCACAGGAAGGAGTCCAACCATTTCCCTCATACTACAGCCCCAGTTCAAAGTTGCCTGTGGACATATTAGCACAGAGATGGGGGAACATTACAAGCTTTTCTTTCCGTTATAGCAGCATTTATCTTCTTTTGATGACCTAAAGTTTTAGCTATTATGAAAGGGGAGGTACATCTTTCTGTCCACTTTATCTACATCAAACATTATTTTATGCACCTCTGTCTTCCCCACAACCTTTTCTTCAAAAAAGCCCTCAACACACACAGGATAGTCAGAAGTTCACTGCTTGCTGTAGTGCTTTAAGTGAAGGAAACACATAAGATGTCGGTGGTCGCACTGATTACTTGAAAAACTGCCTTTTCTTCACCTCCAAGTCCAGGAAGCAGATGCTGCCACGTTCCGTGTGGTTCATATATTAATGTATACATATATTAATGTATACAGTGGGAAACATGCCACGTAAATGGATGGCACTTGTTAGGTGTCCACGTAGTAATAACAGCAGAGGATTCAAAATGCAACATCAACACGGGCAGAATCCCAGACTCGCCTGCTTCAGGCAGCAGGGGAGGACGCTCCCCCAAGTAAAAAGGAGGTCTCCTTGCGTGTAGGAAACCAGCCCTTCGGCTGAGCCCAGCTTTCTTCTCCCCGAGACACCCGTTTAATCCCCCACGAGGTGGAAGAGCCCCGCACATTTAACGCCCACCACGCAACGAAATGAAGCGACTTGCAGTCCAGGACGGTACCCGCCGCCCTTATCCCAATTTAAACGAAACCAGAGGAGCTGCACCCGCTGGGCCACAAGCGCTTCACTGTCGCGCGCGAGCTCCCACTCGGTACCTCAGCTTAACTCCACGCGCCGGCCACTCGCTTCCGCCGCGGTCCTTCGCGCCCGGCTCACCAATCAAAGCGGGCTTTCGTCATCGCGAGGCGCCGGTTCTTGGGGAGGGTCCAGGAGCTGCGCCGCTGTTGCCATGGCGAAGCTGAAGGACGCCGCGCTCTGGTCGCGCGCGGCAACCTGGGTCTCGTAGTTCGCTCTCGCCTTCTGCTATAGGCGCACGCTTGGGGAAGGGGAGGAAAGGACTTCGTTTCCCAGCATCCCTCGGAGCAAACGGGGGGGAGCTGGCTTCGGGGAAGGAAGGAAGAAAGGAAGGCGTCTGCCTCTAGCTTCGCCAATGGCGGTTATGAGACACAGACCTGAGTTGTACCGCTGGCGGCGCTTCAGCCAGTCGGCGTCTCGGCAGAAGGTAGGGATGAGAGGTGTTGTGCCTCCTGCCTCCGCCGACCCAGGCAGCTGTTCCAGCGTGAAGTTATAGTTGGATGGGAAATAGGCAGAGAGGAGTTCTTCTCGCTCTCGCCTGGTCTCCGTTTATTGCATTTATATCCCACCTTTTCCTCCGAAGAGCTCAAGGTGGTGAACATGGTTCCTCCCCCCACTCGTCATGCAATCTTTCCCACAACCCTGTGGGGTAGAATCGTAGGCTGCAGGTGGGCAATGTAGCAACCAGCTGTGCCTTCTTCCAGGATCGAAACAATTGTCTACAGTGGTACCTCGGGTTAAGTACTTATTTGTTCCGGAGGTCCGTTCTTAACCTGAAACTGTTCTTAACCTGAAGCACCACTTTAGCTAATGTGGCCTCCTGCTGCTGCCGCGCCGCTGGAGCACGATTTCTGTTCTCATCCTGAAGCAAAGTTCTTAACCCGAGGTACTATTTCTGGGTTAGCGGAGTCTGTAACCTGAAGCGTATGTAACCTGAGGTACCACTGTATTTGTATGCCACTTTTGTATGGTGAACCTTGCTCAAAGCTGCTCACAGCATCCACAATACTTAGAATCACAGAATTGTATAGTTGGAAGAGATTCCCGCCCCCCCCCCCCCTTGAGGCTCATCTAGTCCAACTCCCCTTCTTTACAGGAATCTCAACTGGAGCATCCATGACAGATGGCCATCTAACCAACCAACCTCTGCTTAGAAACCTCCCACCACCTTCTGAGGGAGTCCAGATAGTTTAGGCTAAGAAGCTTCATGGCTGAGTCACCCAGGTCCCACTCTGACTCTACACTAATGGTGAAGCTGAGTGGTGGGGGAGCTGTGATAGACAAAACAAAGTATTCATGCAACACATAATTAAGCAATGAAACTGGTTGATGCTAGGTGTGTCAGAGCCCCCCACCCCCCGTTTGGACTGCTTTCACAAATTAATGCAGGTTAAGGCTATCAGTTACTACTAGTCAATGCTGCCACCAGTATCTGAGGCACAGTGCCTCTGAATACTAGTCACTAGGGAGTAAGTCTCAGAGTTCAGTAGAGCTTACTTACTCTTTAGGTGTGCTTAGGATGATTTTAACCTTAACCTATCTAGGGGCTTGCAAAGACAGAGGTCTTTTAGTTTTACTTTAATATTAATAGCTAGCTCAGTGCTAAACTATTGTAATGTTTCTCCCCTAGACAAAACTTGATCCTGACAATGTGGAGCACTGGATTAAGGTAAGGGAGAAGAAAGTGATGCATAACCTTCCTATTTACATGAGAGTAATGCCTATTGTACTCAGTGGGATTAATTTCTGAATAATCATCCTGGATAAAATTAGACCAGTACTTTCTTAGTGTCAAGGTATGGCATGTTTTGGAGTTAGTGGCTTCTCTTTGTATTTGGATCCATTTAATATACTGATTAATGAGCTGCTACACAAGCAGGTCTGAGCTGGTATCAGTAGCCTTAACTGTTAAACTGTGAGTGAAATCTCTGCATTTCACTGTGCAAATTTTTTTCTATGAGATTGTGACCCTTATATGACGTAAGACAATGGGTCTTCCTACCCCAGTATTGTCTATTCTGATTGGAATAGCTACCTAAGGTGCCATGGAAAGAAACTTTGGACCTTACACATCTAAAGTGCCCTCTATTCCCTCCCTCCCTGACTAATGTTTAATTTCAGTTAGGTAGCCGTGTTGGTCTGACGCAGTCAAAATAAAAATAAAAAAATTGTCCAGTAGCACCTTATAGACCAACTAAGTTAGTTCTGGTATAAGCTTTCGTGTGCATGAACACTTCCTGATACATATGTCTGTCATTCTCTTTCTTAGCGAGTGGAACAAGCATCTGAGTTTGCTGTTTCTGAGACGTTTTCCTTAAAAAAGACATCTTATTCTCGAGGACTTCATGGCCCTGTGCTAGATTTGGAAACGACAGAGCAGCTGCAAGATCATGATGAGGCATATGTGGAAGGTATTGCCTAAATGTGATGCTGGTCCAGATTAATATATCTATATTTTTAGCTACATTGCAGAAGACTTGCATTAGGTACAGTGAGGAGGAAAAGTATTTGATCCCCAGCTAAATTTGCCCATTTGCTCTCTGACAAAGAAATGACCAGTCCATAATTTTAATGGTAGGTTTATTGTAGCTGTGAGAGACAGAATAACAACAGGATAACCCCCAAGGGAGCCATGAACTCAAAAAGCTTGAAAACCTCTGCTTTAATGCAAATGATGTAAAGTAACAAATTAAAAATTAGAATCTGATTAGTATAATTTTTATTACTGAATGTTATACCCTCCGTAAAATATCCAATGTAAACAACACCAACAGTAAAATAGAATACAAATCTAAGGCCAACTTAACTAAGAAGAGAGTATTAAAAGATATACAAAAACATGTGTTCAGGCTTGAAGTGTAAAGCTGCTTTTCTTTTAGAATTTTAGCTCTAGTTGCCACTTCTTATCCAATTAACATCCATTGCTGCTTTCATCAATGTAGCCCAAGAGCTCCTTAATGATTGGTTGAATTCAAAACTGAAGTTGGAACTTGCAGATGATCAAGAAGATTCTGCTGAAAATCCATTGGCTCATTCTCGTCCTCCCCAGGAGTCCCCCACTGGCTTTCAGAAGTATGAAAAATTTGATGGTGAGAACTTGCCTCAATTTTAAACTTGGATCTAGAGAATGTATAATGATAATATTGAGTACCATTTAATGGAAAATTGTCAAAATGAATAGAACTTCCTTGCACTTATGTCTACGTTTATAGTTCAAGTACCAAGGAAGTCATGCAAAGTTTGTAGTGTTGTTTGGCTCTACATTAGTACGTTCTGCTCTGATATTAAAATGGCTCAGTTCATGACATGAAGCAAATGTAACATTCAGATGGAGCTGTATTCATCAATTAATATTGATCAAGTTGTTTGGGTCTTCACTGATATCAAGCTTAAACAAGTGATAATAAATACCAAATATCTTATTTTGCATACTTGTAAAAGCATTATATGTCTTGTTGCTAACCAGGGTACCTGAATTTTAACACAAGCAGGAAATGAAAGAATGGTATGCTTAAAAATGTTTGGTGCCATTTCTGGATTGTTTTGCTTGGTATTTTAGATTTTTATGGTTATCTGGAAGATGAGATGGAAAATACAACAGTACAAGATATTCTGCAGGATCTACTGCAGAGTGAAGTTGTTGACAGTGGTATATTGGGAAACCTTAGAACTGAAGAACTTAAGGAGAAAAGGAAGCCCAAAGACCCACGAATTACCATGGAATTAAGGCATAAACAGGTATTTGGAGAAGACAGCCTTAAGGCACCTACTATTGTAAGGTACAGTTGTAAAAAATAGTGTAGTGTTTCTTAAATGGTTTTGTTAAGTAAACTGTTTCCTGAGCCATGTTTTTACTGTAGTACAATTGAAGTTACTGGTGAATTGTTCTCCAAGAATAGTGCTGATGTTTTTGTCTGTTTCCATGCATTGGCCTACATCAGAGGCCAATTCCAGCATAACAGTGTATCCAGGGCTTCTATTTACATTTGCCAGTCATAGAAGCAATGATTGCATGGAGATATCCGAGCACTTCACTTGTGTCATCCACATAGTTATCATCCCTGATGGCAGTCAAGTGTTGGGGAGCATACATTAGTGGGATTCTAGTTATATTTCTCGATGGATTTCCTGAACCTTGGTGTATTCTGGAAGGATTTAATGGAGAAACACAGTAGTCATGGCAAAGGTGTAGCTGCCCTGAAAGCAACACATCTACAACAATTTGTATACCATAGTCCTGTAGTTTAAAACAACAAAATATGATCTTGGTCTTGATTTTGTTTCTCAGGTAAAAGAAAATCGGCTCAGGAGACAAAAGGAGCAAGAGCTTCTGAAACAAGAGAAGGCCCTGAAAAAATTGGCAATGTCAGAGGCCCAGAGGCAACTCCAAGAGGAGAAGAAGAAGAAGGTTCTGAAAGCCAGGAGAGAAGAAGAGGAAATTCAGAAACAGATGGTGAAGCTACGGAAAGAGTTGGTAGAAAGAAGGCATCTCATGGAAGAAGCCAGGAAAATGTAAGTTAAGGAAAACAAGAACTTGGCATTCAAATGCATTTTAGATACCAGAGCACAGTCTGATAATGTGTAACGGAGCAAACTTGCGGAAGTAAGTCTAAATCTGATCATAATCTGGATGGGAGATTCTTGGGAATCCCATGCATAAAACTTAAGAGTTCTGAGGGAGAAAGAAGGCACGATATATAAGCCATACATTTTAATAACTTATTCCTAAGTTATGTGAAGCTTCATCAGCTCCTGGAAACCATGAAGTTTCTTCAGATTTGTAGACCTGGAAAGCTGATTTTCCTCCCTTTCTGAGCTTGCAATTTGGAAAATTGGCCTAATATCATGTGTGCCCTTTTATTTTTACTTATACTGTACAAATTAAATTAAAGGAAACTGTCCATTTGTGGTATCATGCAGCTCTCATAAGTACTCGGAAATAAGTCCCACTATGCTCAATGGGACTTAGTTGCATAGTACTGCAACTGAAACATTTTGGCATTTCTACAGCAGAGAGCAAACACTATTAGGTCCCCCCAAAAGGCCACTTGAATCTTTTCATGTGCTGTTATAAGATGATTATCGCGCTTGGTGATTGGTTTGGTTATATGAACGTTGGCTAGGGCAAAATATTCCAAATGCACACCAATTTGCTGCCTCAAACATTCTTCACATGCAAAATTCAAACCCCCGTAGATGGAGGGTCCTTTATATTTGGTCACCTTAACTGCTCCTTTGAACTGCAGGTGCTTCTGCAGTGGTAGGTGGCTCAAGAAGACCATTCTCTGATGTTTGCTTCTTTAGGTAACCATGGAATCCTTGGGAAGAATTCATTGTAGTGCTATGGCATTTGTTCCATCAGCACAAGCTTTTTAGCTTGCCAGATGGAATGATGCTCCCCCTCTGTGCTGTTCTGGAGGTTCTCCTGAACCCCACCAAAGTCAGGGCATACAGGGAGAGGGGGGTGCAGGAATCCCTGTTGCGCCAGTGGACTTACTTGAGTGGGCTTCTGCTACTGGGACTCATTAGTTGAATCTGTCCCTTAGTTTTTATACATCATCCATTTGAATGTCTACCCCTGACTAATGGGATTATGTATTGTGAACTTCTGGCTGCCTTTAAGCCACAAGAACCTTATATTGCTATGATTCCTATCGCTAAGTGGCATGTACAATACTGATTTTATGCAGTATACTTTTCACTGAGACAGATCTCCTTTTATACTTACATAAAACTTTCCTAACTGCAGGTAGCAGAACTATATTCCTTTGAGACCTGCAACTAATACAGACATAGGATAGAGAGAAAAATGTAGCAATCACCTAATGAATCTTGATAAATGGGCTGACAAACAGAGTTGGGTAACAGAAAAGTAATAATATGAGAACTGGCTGAAGGTCATGAGATGACTATCACAGTCCTCTTATGCTCTACTATTTGCCTCTGGCCTCTCACAGATTGCTTTATTTTCAGGGAAAGAAAGAGGCACGATTTAAAAAAAATTAAGAGGCTGGTAGAAGTCGGCATGCCTCCTGTGCCAGTCCATCTGGATTGTGAGATAGAAGGACAAAGGAAAGAGAAACAAACCAGGATGCAGGAGCTGCTGAGCAAAATTGACATTGCAAATCAGAAGGTGAGAGCATTCATTATCTTTTTTCAGCGCTTTGAGCCAGATGTGTCTCAGCGATAGTCATGGGTCAGCTCTCTGTAAACCGAGAAACCAGCTCCCCGTGTCAGGCTGACCTAGATCAACTGAAGATTAAGATCCCAATATATATATTTTTACAAGATGTGAGGAGAGCGAGACTATTGATCATAGTGAGCAGTTGAGTGGCAGGAGCTGAGATTTGCCGTGAAAACTACCCAGCCGTTTAGTTTATACCTGGAAATAGAACACAGTGTCACATTGGCTGTGTGCACAGATGGTTTTGAATCTCCTTTACACCTTCATTGCCCCTTTCATGCAGGAAGACTGAGTGAACCTTTCTTGCGGCTGCTACTGCACTGTTGAGGTTTGGTGTTGAAAATGGCAGTGCATGGTTATATCATTTGTTTGTGCACTTAAAGAGAAGGCTGGAACAGTAAATAGGGGAGAATGCATAACAACAGACCAAAGCTGCAATCTTAAACTCACTTATTAGGGAGTAAATCTCATTGAAATATAGTAAGATTTCCTTCTTAATACAAATGCATAGGATTGTACTATAAATTGCTATTTGGGAATAATACTTGTTCTGCTTTGACTTTCTTGAACATTATACTGAGCCTTTCCAAAAAATGTCCACGGTAGCTAATGTTGTGTTTTAGATTGTAATAAAGAAGAAAATAGCAAATAAATTATTGAGCCAAGCAGCCAGCCCCTAAAGCATTATTTAAATAATAATAATAATTTAAATGCAGTTAAATGCAATTTCCTATAGAACAGTATAAGTGATATGTGGAATTGTGATGATACTTGAGAAAAACACATGTAATAGTACTGGAAGTTGAAGAGATAGTAGATTTGTTCAAAAAAAATTCTAAAGTTCTTTCAATTTGGGTTTTTTTAATAAGGGAAAAGTCATAACAAGTGAATTTGGGAGAGAAAATAAGAATCCTTTGGTTCTGTAACACAGAGAGGTATTCTAGAAAAGGTAAAAGGTAAAGTCAGTTCTGAAGGCAAAGTGTGAAAAGAGAAGTTTGTTTTCCTGTTAATCAACCTTCTAGTGTCAGCAAAACTCTGAAGACTAAAAAGATAAAGAAAATAGGAGATGATAGGATCAGAACAGTAGATGTGATGGAACATTATTACTTCATTTGTCATTAACCTCCCATGAAGTACCTCAAAGCAATTTTTGCAATGCAATTGAAACATATAAAAAATTGTATGATCTAGTTGAGATTCCTGCATTTCAAAGGAGCAGACTAGATGAGCCTCTGGGTCCCTTCTAGCTCTGCAATTCTCTGATTCTATAAAAACGATTTCAAATCCAGTACTGATACCAACTATGATAAAGATCTCCACTTAGAAGGTTTGTTGAAAGAGGAAAGCTATCATATAGTTACTTGATTTCGTAACCATCCCCAATGCAGTGCCTACGGAAGTATTTCTCTGCCTGGTACAAGCTTATTCTGGATCTCAGGATTAAGATGGGGAAAGCAAGGGCCCTTGCTGACTGGAAGTGCCAGCTGAAGACCTTGCGAGCCTGGAGAGATTACACATGGTCTCAGAAGTTAGAGCAGGAGACTAAAAAACTGGAGAACCAGCTTCGCAATCAGAACAGGTAGCGGCATTTAACACTTCACCTCCCCCCCTCCCCAGGATGTTGATAGTATGAGGAAAATATCTGCTGCTGTTTTAGGGACCAGTTCCAGCCATATACAGTGATACCTCGGGTTAAGTACTTAATTTGTTCCGGAGGTCCGTTCTTAACCTGAAACTGTTCTTAACCTGAAGCACCACTTTAGCTAATGGGGCCTCCTGCTGCCGCCATGCTGCCGGGGCATGATTTCTGTTCTCATCCTGAAGCTCTATTTCTGGGTTAGCGGAGTCTGTAACCTGAAGCGTATGTAACCTGAGGTACTACTGTACATTTTTGTGCCTGAGCCAAAATGGTAAAATAATGATCTCCTTAAAAACAAAACAACCAACAAGAGGATGAATGTTGGAGACAGTGAAATGGCATGCTTTTAGGCTCTTCTGTTCCTCGCTGATTCATGAAAAGATTCGCTCAATCAGGATCTATAACTTATTTTCTATAGCACCACCATTGCGTGTGGCATTAACATTTGAAATATGACAGGGGTGTGGAACTGGATCTGGCCAATTCCAGAAGTGGCTAACTCTCCATGGCCCCTTTGACAGGGGGTGGGGCTACCCACTTGTCAGTCACATCAGCTGATTGAAACTTCAAGGTGCTCTCCTGGTTCTTCCTTCGCAGTTACTGCTTGAACTGCAAAGGAGTAGTCTTCCTTTGAACCCATGGCTTGAATTCAAAAAGAATCCAAGTCTTGGCTGCAAAGGAAGAACCAGGAGCTCACCTAGTGTGTGCTCCTGAGCCTTCCTTTTGAGTTTGGCACCACAGTTTTTACCTGTCTTATGCCTGATGACATCATGCAGCGTTGGGTGATGGACGAGGTTGTGTAGTTTGAGACAAACCATGTTGCAGGCCAAATGGGGAGGCCTGACTTTCCTAGGGGAAAACAAAAGAGGAAGGAGAGAGAGGTGGGCGCAGGGAAATATGGAGTGGTACTCAACTAAATTGTAGTAAGAGTCAGTGAAATTAATGAGCATGACTAAGTTAAGTCCATTAATTTCAATAGGTCTCTGAGTAAAACATAGTTGCAGTGTTTGATATCTGCTTAAAAATAAAGGCCTTGCTTTCCTGTTGCTCCTTTAACAAGCCCAAAAGGACTTCTGATATATATTATTCAGTTCTAGTTTTCCCTGTTCTTCTTAGGCCTTCTGACATGAACATGATCTCAAAGTCTTCATAAGTCAAATCTATAATGGATGAAATTATTGTTCCATTGATTGTCTCAGAAACTAAATTAGGAATCCATTAACTTAACAAGAGCTAGGCAAAGTGCATCTGATCTGGGCAAAGTGCATCTGCTGCTGGTCATTATGAAGAAAAACTTTGTCGGGTTGCATACTTTACATCTGCCACCTTTGGCCTAATGCCTTAACTGGGGAATATGCTGCTGATACAGCTCTTATTAGCAGCAGCCTCTGATTGTAACAGATTGCAAAACAACAAGCAGGAAAATATATTAAGTAGTTAGTAAGAAGTAATTGTATTTTAAAAAAAACAACCACACCAACCAATAATATTCTTCTTTCTTTGGCAATCACTTGTAGCCGAGTAAGATTGTCTTCTATTAACACGGTTTTAAAAGTGAGTCCATAAGTGACTGTGGAGGCCAATTCTGGATTCACACATTCTTCCACAGCAGGGACATAGGTTTCCAGGTGGGTGTATATCATGGTGAGGGTTTGCCAAGCATGTCTTCCTCTTAGTGTGTTTCTCCCTTTCGTCCCGAGTTAGAGGGGCCTTCAAATCCCATGACACCTTTGGCAAAGGCTGTTCTCCAATCGGAGCGCTAGCAAGACATTGTTTCCCAGTCGTTGATGTTTATACTACATTTTATAATATAAGCCTATATTGGCTAACATGCCTTTTTACAGCAGTAGTAATCCAATCAATCTATACTAAAATTCTAAAATAGAGTGGGGTAGACACACATCCTCCTAATCTGAGGAATTTGCAATTGATTTTAATGAACATTTATTTTTAGGGGGAAACAGTTGGCTATAGAGTTTAATCGGAAGAGCATTTTGCGCCGTTATTTTGCCGAATGGCATTGCTGGAGCCGAACGGAGGTGGAAAAGAGAGAACTACAATTGAAAAAAGAGGATACAAAGAGGAAAATGGCAAAGCTATTAGAGGAAGTGGCACTGGGGAAACTTGCTACAGACGTCTCCCAGGATGCCAAGAGAACTCATGAGTCAAAAGAAGCTTGGGATCAACCCGTGAGTCCTACAGAGGTAAACTGATTTTGCATTGTGCTTTTTCTCTCACAAACACATACCTCATCATCATCACTCCCATAGTGTGGAACCTCCTTCCTATGGAACTAATGCACACTTCCTATGGTGCAGAATTTCTGGTGTACCTTCAGAACTCAGATGTTCCAGTCTGCCTTTCGTTAGTAGTGCTTTATGCTGTTGATTCTCAAGATCCTGCTTCCCTGCGGTACTGAATTTTTATGGTTTGATGCTTCAAATGTATCTCAGTGTATTTTATCTCGCTGTTGTACGCTACCATGAGAGGGCTGTGCCCTAAAATGGAATGGCTAATTTGTGTCCCTCCAGATGTAACCATTAGCCATGCTGAATGGGGTTGTTGAGATTTGGAGGGCAACAACATTTGGAGGGCAACAAGTTAGCCACCCTTTCTCCAAATGGGGGCCTATAAATACTTCAAATAAATATAAAATAGAGATTGGCAGCTGACTAAACTGGGCCACATCTGGATTCCTGTGTCACATCATTTGGCTCCCCAGTTGCCAATCATGTATGCAAAAGAGGAATATGAATAACTTCATCTGTGACAAGGAGACTCCATTTCAAGCGGTTTGGTGGATGGTACACAAAGCCCTGGCCTGTCATACCTAACTCCCTTCTGAAAGGGACTTTGGCAGAACTACATTCACTGATCAAGAAATGGAGCAGCTGTAAATAAGGTGATTCCTTCAGGTTTTCCTATAGCCAATTCTAAACAAAACCAAAAAACCAGGGTGGCATTCTTGCATTCAAATACATATAGGGACTCTCTTTTCAGAATTGCAGGGACACTAGAGGGAAGGATTATGTGAGCTCTGGACATCTATCCAGTTTGACTTCCTGTAGAATCCTGGGGGCCAAGTCACAAACAAGCAGCCTGAAGCAAACACAAAGTCTCCAAGTGCATAACCAGAGCAGTTTTACCAATACAGGAAAGTTACACCTACCCCCTTTCTTACGAAACTAAATAGATTCTCCGGTATGCATACCTAGTAGGCTCAGTAAATAGATGATAACAATAGTTACAAAATGTAAAACTCACAAGTAGGCCAGAGGTGTGTTAGCAAGATTCTTCTCCTGCATCCTCTTTCACCCCACCGCCAAAAAAACAAACAAACTAGGAACAGATTGCAGGGATTGCAGTAAAGACAAACTTGGTATAATATCAAAGGGAGTTGTGTCTGGTGCACTAGGAGGACTTGTATGTTGTGTATTCCTCAATGAGCATTTATTGGAAGTTCTCAAAAAAAAAAAAAAAAGCATGGAGCGAATAAAAACACATGTTTTCTGCCATTGCTGACTATTCTTTAGGGTCCCAGTCTTCCATCTTTTAGGTTTTCAAGATTTTTCCTGTAATTGTAGGCAAATGACTGTGGGAAACTTGGTTTTCTAAACACCATGAAGGAATAATATTTCTCTAGGAGATGACAGGCTATGGAATCAGCTGCTATGGAAGTAGTTGCAGCTTCATATAACATATAACAAACGTTTCTTCAATGAGAACTGAGACCTTAATTTTTATAATTAACGTAGGCTTTATCCTCCCTTTCCAGGTGGCTACAATACCCTGTTCACAGGATGATCCTAGAATGGCAAATGTAGAAAGAGCAAACTCTTGCTCTCCTGAGACAAGTCAAAAACGTGATCTTCCTTCTCCAAAGCAGCCCAAATGGGCATGGCAAGTCACCCTGAAGCATGCTGCTTTGAATGCTCAAGATCGAGCAGTGTTTGGTAACCAAGCAAGAAGTTCCTTGCAGCATCTTGAACCACCAAAACAAAAAATGTCCTCTGTCTTAAGGGGTCCCCTGGAGCACCGCCATGCCTTCCAGCAGCAGCTGATTGAAGAGCAGAAACGACAGCTCAAAGAGCAGCAAGAACTAATCCTTAGACTTCAGGAAAATGAGAGGCTAAAGAAGGCCAAGGAGGAAGCTGAACAAGCCACGGCAGTTACCAAGGCACTGAACAATCAGGCACCAAAAACTCGGGAAGGAAAGCAGTTGAGAGAAAGCAGGAATACAGAGTCTTTAAGGTACAGAGCTAAGAGTACAAAGATCCAATTATCTGATGGCTACACAATGTCCTGGTAGGACAGCGGGCTTTGAGACAATACCATGATGTTTCTAAACATATCTGATAGCTCATTAGGGAGTGAAATGGCCAAATATGATGCAGGTTGATCCTTCTCTCTTCCTCTGTTATTATTTGAGTAGTGTTAATTGATTCCTTCCCCTAATAATAGCTTTAATATAGGATTATAATGCTGTAAATAGCAGACTCCTTTGAAAGATCTCTGCGTACTTTACAAATTATGAAGAGGCATACATTAGCAAAGCCCACGTTTATTGCTCTTTTGCATTACAGAGTGAGATGGGAGAGTGTCTCCCCATTTAAGACTACTTATCATTCTTTCTTGTTCTACGTAGTGTGCTGGTTCACAAATAACACTAAGCCAAGTTACTGTTTAGCATGAACACTGGTTTCCAGAGAGGAGATTGTGGCTGCTTTACTCCTCTTCATCTCCTGCTGCTGTGCTATGAGCCAAGCTATAGTTTGGCTTAAGATGTCATCTGAACCCTGGCCTTATGGTTTGCCTCACTCTAGAAAAATCATAAGCTGTAACCAAAGGTTGTTCTTAGGTTTGCTGCATGAAATGATGCCACTGCTGTACAAAGGCAGGAAAAATATGGTATTGAGTCCTGTCATTCAGCCCATTGATCTATTGGGTGATATTCAGCTAAGTTTTACTCAGAGTAGGGTCATTTAAATTGGTCATGTCCATTCATTTTTCACTTTCTTTCAGATTAGAAAATTACCAGCCAGCTATCCAAAGCAAGAGGAACCTGAAAGTGCTGTCCACACCACACCCCTTACTCAAAGGTATATTCTTGATGTAGATTCTCCTCCTGCACTTGATGGAGCCTTTTCCATGGATACTTAGGGGAAGACGTAGTAAAAGATGAGACCTGTAGTTACGGAGAAAACACCACCATTTCAGGGGTCTCAGGGCCCTACATACTTGATCATAACTTTACACAACCCAGCCCTTGTTTGAACCCAGACATGGTGAGTCGCAAGGATCATATTCACACGATCAGATTTAGTTCTGTGCACATGCATACTGTTCCTTCAGTCCTCACTGTGGAGAAGCAGAGCTTGGAAGCCACAGTTAACCAATTGTTATGTGCAGTTGGGAACTTTGGTTCCAAAGAAGCCAGAATGTGAAACCATATTTGAAGTTGACTTACATGTCCTGACTTGTTCAGAAGCCATTAACTGTAGTTCCCAGTATGCATGTAGTGGGAAGCAAGGGTTAACTGTGACTTCCTGGAGCTTGTGCACAGCCGTTGAACTAGGCTTACAGATTGTTCAACACACATATGGAACATGTTTACTGGAGGCATTTTGCTTTCAACTTATGACACTTGGCTTTGAGCAACATACAACACATGGTTTTGAACCCTCAGCTTCAGGGACTGAGTGTTTTTATTCATTTACTACTATTTTTTACAATTACTCATTCTGAAAGCGGTTCACATCAGTAAAAAGAAAAGTGGGGGGAGACAGGTTCTGCCCATCAGACGTGGAAACTAAAAACAGAAGGCATACAAGGAGTAGGAAAGGGAAAATGTAGAAGAGGGATACAAATTCTTCAAAGCCAGAGGAACATGGTGAGCTACAGCCATTTATTTTTGCTTTTTTAGGAAAAATAAATAAACTTAAATAAAATTGAGTTTAAAGTACACATACATAATACAGTCAAATTTGTCATACAACATATACATTATAGAAATATATAGAGGAGGGTATATACCGTATTTTTCGCCCTATAGGACGCACCAGCCCATAGGACTCACCTAGATTTTTTGGGGGGGGGGAATAAAGGAAAAAAAATTATTTCCCCCCCCAGGTGCGGGGCTGGGGCGGGGGAAGCCCAAGCGGATTCACGCCGGGCTCCGGAGGGTGAAGCCTGGAGAGCGAGAGGGGTGGTTGCGCACCAACCCCTCTCGTTCTCCAGGCTTCAGCGAAAGCCTGTATTCGCCCCATAGGACGCACACACATTTCCCCTTCATTTTGGGAGGGGAAAAAGTGCGTCCTATAGGGAAAAAAATACGGTACATATAAACCACTTCTTACTATTCCTTCTGTTCTTTAAAATAGAAATATTTTATTTTGTTGGGAACCTCTTAAAACTTAACAGCTAATTTTACAGGTTGCCACTGATGACAAATTAGAGCTAGATGAAACAAAATGGCAGTTCTTACTTTCCTTCCTTTGATATTACCAGGACATAATTTTGTAAATGGAACTGCATTCTTTATGTCACTGTGCTTCACTTGCTCTAATTGTTGTACTCCTTATTGCGCAATTTTTAGCCATGGAGGAGAGAGCAATTCAGCGTGCAGAAAGGAGAAGAGAACTGGAAGAAGCAAAGAAAAAACGAGAAGAGGAGAAGTTGGTAAGTAAAGTTGAATGCTGGCTTAAACCAAGAGTGCAACATCAATACAGGTTGGTTGATTGGTTGGTTTTTTTAATCAACATGCTGCTAAATCAAAAGGCCAGGTCCAATTTGTTATTTAAAAATGAAAATCAAGTGAATTTAAAGCACACAAGGACTGAAATTGATATGCTCCATAGCAATATAAGAACTGACCTGCTGGGTCTGACAAAAGTCCATCTAGTTTATTTAGTTCTATATTCTGTCTCTAAAAGTGATCAACCAGATGCCTCTGAAAAACAGGATAGTGATCACTCTGTCCTCTTCTTTGTCCCTAACACCTTAGAAATATCCAGTCTCTGAACATCTCGTTGTTGTGGCTAACAACTGTTGAGACTGCTGTCCAGCCATTATTCTGAGAAACTGAAGCATGCACCAGTATCCTCAAGATACAGGAATTTATCATACATAATTTATCTTGTCCTGTTCCTGTGTGTATCATAACTTAATAGCCCTGGGGCACTGACTGTATATAGCAAAATGAGCAATCCATGGCCCTCAAGGCTTTCCACCGGGCCCACATGATGGTGACGAGTTCTTTACACTTACAACAGAGCCCCTCAATATCAAATATTGTGCTGGGGAGGCTTTTGATGGGTTGGGGTGCCGTTGTGAATGAAAAGGAAGGCACACAAGGAAAGTCATCCCCATATGCTTTCCCCCCATGCAGCCTCTTCCTGCTGGGGTGGGGAGGAGTCTGCCCTTCCTGGGAGAGGTGGGGATGGGTGAGTTCTAAATAAGATATATTTAGATTACTTTATTCTCCTCAGACCAGCATGTGTGACATCTGCTTGATGGGTGGTATGTCCCCATTTGCCTAGGCAGGGGTCATGTGACTTAATATATCATCTTTCCTCCTCCTAGTTTCCCTCATCTCTGCCTTCCCCCAAGCAGATTTGTGTAGCCCCTCTCTCTCCTACTTCTGCCTTGCACTTCATTTGTTTCCCTCAGCGTTCCCTTTTTAAGCAGTGTGGCTTGCTTAATAAAATTAAAAAAAATTCCTTACCTCCCCCCACCCCCACTCCTCTCAACTTCATTCTTTCTGCTGCTGTGGTGCCTGCAAGTGGAGCCAGGGGTGGGGGGGAGCCTCTCATTTTGAGAGAACTGCTTCAAGCTGAATTGCTGCTAAGAACTCTTCCAACAAAGCCTCTGCTCAGCATTCCAGCACTTAAATGCTGCCTGCCACAAAGCTGCCTCCTGTGGCTCCTCTGTACCAAGAGCGATTCTTCAGGTAGACTTAGCGACTTCCTGCCATGAGTTGTAGAGCCGCTCTTCACAACTGGAAGGAAAGTCACTCAACAGACAAAAGAGGCAAGTTCCGCTGCTCCCCGCCTTAGCTGTTGTCCCACCACCCAGGAGGGTATAAAACAGCCAATTCTCCTACCACGTGAAAACACAATTTTCCACTCATGGAGCAGAGGCCACTTTCTTTAAATGGCATGGATTGCAATGTCAGCTATTTACCAGAGGTCCTCAAATGGCCCAGTAAGTTCAGTGATTTCTGTTTCTGTTGTTCAGTCAAAGCCAGCCAGTTGTAATAGCACAGGTTCCCAAAATCTCTGCAGATGCCTCTCCTTTTTCCAAAAGAAATTATTTGGAGCTTTTATTTGTTGCTGGCTATTATTTCAGTGGAATAAAATCATAAAGTATCTTAGGCACAAAAGGTGCTCTAGGCAATTGTCCTTTTTCTGTACCACAGAAGGAAGACTAGAAAAAGACTGAAAAGGCTGCTAAGTGTCCTCGCTCAAGAGATTCAGCTTCTTCTCAAGGCTCCAGACCCAGGAAGCAGAACTCTCCCTGGCAACAGGGTCTACTTATGCTCCCTCCCTTCCACTGCTGGCCTAGGGTTCAGCGCGAGATCACCCCTTACTTGCTTTGCAGGCCTTAATTTCTTCTGTCTCTAAAGAGCAGCTCCTCTCTTTGGGGTCACTCCTTTATGACCCAGCGTGGTTCAGTCTAGTCGCTCAAAACTCAAGCACCATTTTAGACTCTGGTTAATTGTGTCAGGTGATTGGCTGGCATAGTGAGATGCATAGCTGTCAACGGTTCCCTTTTTTAAAGGGAAGTTCCCTTATTCCGTATAGGATTCCTCGCAAGAAAAGGGAAAAGTTGACAGCTATGGTGAGATGTCCAGCACAAGGCCTCCTCTCATTTTCTCATTCCACTGGGAACAGATTGCACTTAGTGGTGTGGGTGTTTCTTGATGTTCTTATTAATTTTCTGTCCATACTTCTTACTTGGATCTTACTTAATGGCAGCTTTCTCACAGATGGAGAAGCTGGAGGGGAAACCAGAGGGAAGATGACATATTAAAGCTTCAAGTCACATGGTCCCTGCCTGAGTGGATTGGCACAGCCCATCAAGCGGGTGTGTCATTATGCCAGCCCAGAAGGGCCCATTCATGGTGAGTGAACTAGTGCTCCATTCTATCTATTTTTAGGCCCGGATGCAAGCCGAGGAAGAAGAACGTCAGAGGCAAGAAGCAGCAGAGAAGGAGGCTCAGTTGCAGAAGAGGCAAGAGGAGCGAAGACTGCAGAAAGTGGTGAGCAGAATATTGCGCTTGCTTCTCCCAGTTCCAGCACTTGATGGCTGTTTTGTGCCACTTTGGAATAAGTGGGAGAAGGCAGCCTGTAAATGCAAAGGACTGTTCAGAGGTGGGGGGGGAAATGCCATTTTATAAACAGTCCTCTTGCAGAGCTGTATTATTGATCACTGTTTGAAGTGATAACCATGGCCTCCTGTAGAAGGGCTAGCATTGTGTTGGTGGTGGTGGTATAACCTTGCTTCAAGGATGCCAGGCAGTAGGTTAGGGCTCAAGCAGTGCAAGCTCCAGGTTTTTGGAGAGGCCTTGTGAAAGATACCTCTCTGAGTGGGCCCTTCACCATTTCCCATTCATTTACCCTTTTCCTCTGGGCCCAATCCACACCATTGCCCAGGAGGAAGAGAGGACAAGGCAAGTGGAGGTGGATTCTGCTGCTGCTTCATGATATTGTTCCTGTACTTGTGCTTTGAGAGGGCAAGGAAACCATGAGGAAGAGGGGAAAGCTGCAGAATCAGGGCCTTCAAGGGTGCGACTGGTCCGCCTGCTAGAGTTTGGGCTTTGACAAGTGTCAAATAATGCCAACCCCTGACACCAGCTAAGAGTTCAAGCGCGGATTAGGGCGTGAGCCCAGTCTCACAGAAAAATATGAAAAACTGGTGGTCCGTTCAAAATGGTTTCCATCCCTGCATAAAAATGTGCAATAATTGCACCTGTCGTGGTGAGAATTGCTGTTCACTGGTAACTTACAGGTAAGTGCTCTTCGTATTGGGAAAGGATTATAATGCGGATTTCTGGGGCAACATCAATTGAGCACTTTAATGATTCTGTGCTGTGTGCCCAGCAAAAAGATTGTGTCTGGAAAAGCCTCCTAGCAGCAACTCCACTATTAATGCTAATAATTAGTTGCAAGCCCAAATTAAAAGTAGTGGACATTTTTTACAAGGTATTCTTACTCCAGGAATTGATCTCTTATGTATCCTTAATTGCAGAAAGAATTGGAAAAACAGAAGAGGCTGGAGCGGGAGCAGCAGCTCTTATCAAAAGCAAAGGAACATTATGATAGGTTCCTGCTGAAGAAGCAGGGGCTGGAGCCCTGGAAAAGACTAATACAGCAAACTCAGGAAAATATGGTGGTAAGCACTGGAGTAAAAGTAGGCATCTAGAAAGGAAGGTTGGCTCCATGTTTTGAGGGTTAATCTTCAGCCAGCCTTCTGCCTGCCATCAAAGAGTCAAAATTCGCGCCATCAAGCCAAAGTTTCTGAAGCATTTCTAGTTTAGTTTGACTTAGCAGGAGCTCATGCACCTTGTTGTTGTTAGATTTATACCCACTGTTCACCAGAACAGGGCAGGTTGCAGCAATATAAAATACAGCATTAAAAACAGTTTAAAACAAATTGTAGTCACAACTAAAGTGGGTCCTAGGTGTGCAGGTGGTGGGAAATCATTCAGCACCAGTGGATTTCAATTGAGAGAGGAAAGGAACAGCTGGGGTGGAGCTTTAAAGGGAAGGAGGAGACTGCAGGAAGAGATGCATAAAAATAATGTTATAGGTGACTTTCCTCATAGCATGTGCACGGTTAACGGGAGATGGTTTCTCACATAAATTTATCAAGCAGAATCTGTAAAATCGCAGGTTTTTTGTTTCAAGCTGGCTTTTATCACTTGCATGTGGAATGATGTCGATCCAGTATTGCATTTTAATGTCTTAAGTAGGTATTTTGCTTACTGCTTTATTAGGATTTGGTTTTAATGCTGTTTGTGCTGAGCTCTCGGGGTTTACAGCACAATTCTAATCACATCTTTGTAGGAATAAGTCCTGTTGAATTCAGTAGGGTTTACTCTCAAGTAGATGAGATGATCAAAGGTCATTGAGTCCAAGCCCCGCTGCTTGTGCAGGAAATCCACTTCTGTTGCAGTTAATAATTAAATAATGGCCATATGCATTCACACATGGTCAGGAGGATCCGTGAATCCGATCCAGATCATGTTGTAAGTATTACTCGTGTTATAAGCACTCGCTATAAGTAGTGGATAAAACGTAATCATACTGATGAACTACAAGGTAAAAGTGAAAGGAAGGAGAGGATCAGTTGCTTGCTCTGGGAAAGTTATAGTGGAACAAAAAAGCATGAGTGGAAATACAGTGGTACCTCGGGTTACAGACGCTTCAGGTTACAGACTCTGCTAACCCAGAAATAGTACCTCGTTCTCTGTCCCGACGCATAAAATAAATAGAACACAAAGGAAGATAGGTGCCTTGTGGTTCAATAGTGCTTGTAAACAGGCTAGACAACTTCTTGGTAACATCTACAAAGAGTATAAAGCCTCCGGGGCAACGGTCTTGCCAAAAGAATACTTCCAAGCAAAATCAGCCTACAAGCAAATTCAAAAGGGAGCCAGACAGGAATGGCAAGTGAATCAATGGCGAACAATCATAGAAGCCTCATCATCACGGAACTCCAGACAATTTTGGCTCCTGGTAAATAAAAGAACTAAAAGATACCCTTTGACTATTATTCCTGCCCCGGTTTGGGAATCCTACTTAAAAACTACTTTGCCACAACTGACTGTATTGCTAACACAAGAGATGATTTTCAAGATCAGCTTCCCTCTGGCCCCCACCGACCCGGAAGACATCCATGACTTGATCGTTAAACTCAAAACAGGGAAAGCGCCTGGGCCAGACCTGATCCCGGCAGAAGCTATAAAATACCACGCGGACTGGTGGGCTAAAGTTCTGGCGACCATCTTCGATGCCGTTAACAACTCTGGAAAGATCCCGGAAGTATGGAAGGACGCTGTTATCGTTCCAATCCACAAAAAGGGCTCACCAGATGACCCGGGGAATTACAGAAATATCAGTCTACTCTCAATAGTGGGGAAACTGTATGCCCGCTTCTTGCTGAACAGACTTAACCAATGTGCCGAAGAGAAAAAATTAATTGGGCCCGAACAAGCTGGATTCCGCCCAAAACAGTCAACAATTAATCATATTCTAATTTTACAGCATCTTGCCTGGAAATATTCCACCCCAAAGGGTGGCCAACTCTGTGTGGCATTCATTGACCTAAAGGCAGCATTCGATAGTATCCCCAGGAACATCCTCTGGGAAAAACTCTCCCGCTGGGGCATCGATAGAAGGCTTCTCTGGCTAATAATCAAACTCCATGAGAACTCAGCGGCTAGAGTGAGACTCACCCCGGAGGGTGATCTCACCAATCCAATTCCCATTAACAGAGGTGTCCGACAGGGTTGTATATTGGCTCCATTCCTGTTCAACTTATTCATAAGCGATATGAGGACTCCCCTAATAGAGGCTCAAGAAAGGATTCATGCACCCCGCCTAGCACTTTATCGCTGCCCTTTGTTACTGTATGCGGATGACGCAGTCATCCTTTCCTTTTCTAGAGTAGGTCTCAGGAGGGCCTTAAAAATTTTTGGATCGTACTGTAACGCAAATCCCTTACAATTAATTATGGAAAATCTAAGATTCTAATTTTCTCAAAGAGCCGGAAACTCCATAATTGGAGAATTGATGGGAGAGTCATCGAACAAGTCTATAGATTCCAATACTTGGGAGTTTGGTTACAACATAACCTTAGATGGAAGGCCCATGTAGCCTATGTTACAAATAGAGCCAAAGCTATCTCCTTGGCGATCTTGCGATTCTTCTTCACCGATGGGGCTCTTCATATCCCATCGGCGTTGAAAGTCTTCAAGGCCAAGGTGATCCCGACAATTGCCTATGCCATCTCAATTTGGGGGACTTTTGTCAATCTATCTCACCTAGAGGTTATTCAAAATCAGTTTTTAAGAGGGATATTGAAACTGCCCAACTGTGTAAGTAATACAGCGTTACGCATGGAACTTAATACTGTATCCCTGGAAAACGCTCTGTGGAAGCACATACTTTGTCACTGGTTATCTCTATGGCACAATCTCCCAAACTTGTACTTGATACAATGTATGTGGAGAGATGATTTCCAGAGCCCATGGGTAAAAAATTTACAGCTGAAAATAATGACAATGGGAATCTCCCCATCCAAATTACTAGAGCAGGACATAGTTCCAGCTAAAAGAACAGTAACCTGTAAACTAGAGGAGATGGACTTGCAGCAGAAAATGGTCTTGGGCAATGGTACCTGCTCACCTCTAAACCTTGGTTTATCACCCCTCTTAAGGCTCCCAAACTATTTGAATTCCTTAACTTCTTCGGCTCATAGATATGCCTTTGTAAAGGCAAGATTCAACACCTTCCCATCGAACATGCTGAGAAATAGATTCTCCAATGGACAGATATCGCTCTTATGTGATTGTAATTGTGGGGCACCGGAATCGTTGCATCACATAATTTTTGACTGTGCTTTTCACTCATCGGCCAGGAGCAAGTTTCTTGCCCAATATCTAAAGGGAATTGCCGATGATACGAATGAAGCCAAACTGAGATATCTATTAAATGATGATGACCCCCTAAGATCACTCACGGTTGCCAGATTCTTGATCAGTGTCCTATCCCTAAAGAAGAGAAACGGACTCCTGTGTGGCTCGGAAAATCCCTTTAAACCATGATCTATGTTTTAGGATGTAACTAGGTGAATCACCATTGATGTCTTTTATTGATCTGTGAGCAGATGGTGATGGTTATGTTACAAATTTATTGCAACATATGATGTTGGTCTTTTGTTTTTGTTCTGCTTTGGTTCTTGTCTGTTTTTGTAAGGGTTAAGAACTTTGCTTCAGGATGAGGACAGAAATCACGCAGCGGCAGGAGGCCCCTGGTGCTTCAGGTTAAGAACAGTTTCAGGTTAAGAACGGACCTCCAGAATGAATGACCGTATTTTTCGCTCCATAGGGCGCACCAGACCATAGGGCGCACCTAGTTTTTAGATGGGGAAATCAATAAAAAAAATCTAAAGAAGCCATAGCCCCGTGCAGCCTCTCCCTGCCGGCACAAGCCTGCATTCGCTCCATAGGACGCACACACATTTCCCCTCAATTTTTGGAGGGGAAAAACTGCGTCCAATAGAGCGAAAAATACGATAAGTTCTTAGCCCGAGGTACCACTGTAATACAAATGTAGGTTATGGATGGTGGGGACTTCTAACAGTAAGCCAGAGTAACGTTGCAGCAGAGCTGTAGCCCCTCGGTAATCATTGGAGTAACTAGTTCTCTCTCTTTCCCTTGGTCTTTGCGCTCAGGTGGCACAAAGGCATCATTGCTTTAGATTGCAAAGGAAGTGTCTGCTTGCCTGGCTTCTTCATATGCAAGAGATCCTTGCTGGGAAAGTAGCTCAGGCTGAGGGACTTTATTCCCGTCTGCTGCTCAGAAGGTCCTTCAGGAACTGGATAATGGTGAGCAAGAGAAAATGTTACTTACTATGGAAATGTTATAAACTATGGACTTTTCTATTAGCTTTAAAAGAGGATTCATGAAGAATGAGGCTTATTGATGTCTGCTGGTAATGCTGGTTATATGTTTCCTTCAGGATCAGAGGCAGCAAGCCTGTCTAAATACCAGTTATTAGGGAACAAAAGTGGGATAAGGTGATTATCGTCCTCATCTCCTGCTTGTGAGCTTTCCAGAGGCATCTGGTTCACCACTGTGGGAAACGGGATGCTGGACGTGAAAGACCAAGTCTCTTTACCTGTTCTCATTGCTCTGTGCTTGTAGTGTACCTGGGAGTTGCATTGGAACAAAACTACGTGGCTCTCCTACTCCTAATGTGCAGGTCTCAGTTTGGAGCCACAGTTTTTGCCTCTCCTACACACTTGGCAGGGAAAAGGACTGTACCCTTTTTTTAAAAAAAAGAAAAGAAATGGAAACTGAGATCCTCACAACACTGAATTGTACATTCAATAGTGCCGGCATGAAATAGTGGAAAACAGGGAGCCCAGACCACGAACAAAACATTTTGCTATTGTTATCCTTGAAACGTTAGTTTCATTTCTTATTTTCCTGCACACAAACCACTCAAAACTCTTGTCTCAGCCTTCTGTTCCTTTGCTTTTCCTTCCCATCTGTGTTGCTGTGTGCCTGTATAAAACATATCAATACTGAAATCTATTTCCTCTTCTTTTCCTTGTGTTTGTTGTATAGTACAAGGATTATGTATCTACTTTGGAAGAGAATGCAAAAAAGTTCCATGAAATTTCACTTAAGAAGAAGGTCCTCTGGGCTTGGTTTGACGTACTCAATGAGGAAAAGAGTATTTTCTGGAGAAAACAGAAGACTGCAGATCAGTATAGTGACAGGTGACTATATAAATAGGCTATATGTTTCACTTAAGCTGCATTTATTCCAATTGCTATTTGCCCTTTTCCCTTCATATATTGTCATCATTTTGTTTGTTGCAACGATTGCAAAGCGGTTCTTGATTCTCATATTTTGTAGTTGCAGCATTTAGAGATGGTGAGAGCCCCAGAAACTAGTGGTGTCCAGAGATCGAGTCCACCAGGCCTGGACACTTTCTCTGGTATTTCGCCTTCTTTGAAAATGGGTGCACTGAATCTCTCTTCATTAAATAAATAAATTGCAACAAATAATAATAATTTGTTGTTGTAGTAGTAAATTATTATTACCTGAGAGTAAGACTCTCATAAATTCGTCTACACAATGAATGCACCCTCCAAAAAAAGATGAACACTCACAGTGAGGCTGCCATCAACGCTCTCATTAGTATGCTACTTAATTGTACAAAAGGAAAAAATATGATTTATTCTTACCAGTCAGGGACCTGAAAGGAGAAAGAACAAAGCATAGGCCAAAATATGCGAGTGCAGCTAGCAAAGAACCAGACTCTTGAGTTCACTTGTTTTTTGAAAAAAAAATACTTAAATGGAAAATTTAGAGCCAGAGCAAAAGGCAAGAGACTGAGAAAGCAGCAAATTTATAGGAGAAATAAATGCAATGATGAGCTGGAAAATGTTAACAAAGTAAAGTTGCAGAGTGGGTTGGGCAGAAGATGGTCAATAGGGGAGATGGAGCATTGGAGGAGGGAGGAAAGAAGTTTTCCTCCTCTGGTTCCCCAGTAATGTTATTGGGGTGTTGCTCAATACTACTTGCTTCTCAAGTCTACATTTCCTACAAGCACAACTAATATTCCTACTGTGCAATCCTACACGCAAGTGGATATAGGATTGCTCTTCATTGTCACCAGCCCCAGGGCTGATGACAATAACATAAAAGTAACCGATTAATGGAATTGAGTGACTGATGTTTTAAAATTAAAAACATTGAATTTTCTATGGAAGTCCTACATAGATGGAGTGTTTCCCTAAACAAAGTTAGTATCTAAAACATGTTGAACACTTTTCAATAAACCTGACAAGAGATGTGTGCTTAGTGTTACAAGGTGGAGTTCCACCCTTTGAAAAGGGAGGAGCATGGCTAGTATCATTAACTTATTGTGAACTATGTAGTTTACGTGACAATCCTCCACAGCGATGATGTTCCAGCCAAGTTGTGCTGTGTTGGCATTATCCCCAGTTCTCGTTAGTTCTGTTCTGTGCACAGGCAGCTGTTCCTCTTGCTGGCACAGATCCCCACAGGAGTAAGGTGGTGGAGGGAGTGAGGTTTGCTTCTCTGTTGGCGAACAACTTGATGGCTTTGGAGTCCTGATGAAGAACTATTGTACCAAGGCACTTACCTGCCCGTTTAAAAACAAAACAAAACACTCTTCAGCCTTTCCTCCCAACGGAACAGTGCAGGAAGATAATGGAATTTCCTTCCCCAGCACTCAGTTCCTATGGAAAAAATAGCTCTGATAATATTCTCAGTACACTTATACAAAAGCATTTAGTAAGTGCTGTAGGGCATGGAGGAGGAAAATAGCTGCACATTAATACCCTCTTTCTATACTCCTATGGTATGCTTTCATATATGTGTGTATGCATAGCACACTAAAGACAGAAAGGGATTGCACTTGCTTTTCAGAACAGTAGCTATACTGGCCTATACAGTAGTTATATATTGTACACAAAAAAATATCATTTGTGTATTTCCCTTGAGAGTAACCCCATCAAACCCAGTGCAGCTTCTTTCTGAGTAAACCTGCACAGGATTGGAAATTCTAATCTGAAGTAGCCACTGTGAAAATTGAAGCAGGGCGGTGTTTATTGTTTCTGATTTCAGTCATCACCAGCTCTGGCTCTAGCTACTCCAGGTATGTGGCCTGTGAGGGAATGGGGCCTTGAAAAAGGCCTGCAATACCTTCTCTCTGCCCACTCTGTTGGGGTGAACAGCAAAGGCCCTATTCCTGGGCCCATATTCTACCAGAATAATCCATGGGATGTATCAAACTAAGCCAACCCATTAGTGCAAGGACTTCTGCTTGTATAACAAACCTTTCCTTCCCTGCACTCTCTCCCAAATTTACTTCAGAAAGTTGGGGGAATCCCAAGAACAGATTTGGGGGGCATGCAGGGAGAAGTTCTGTTGTGCAAGAAGCCCTTGTGCAAATGGGGCGACGAGTGGAAGTTTACCAAAATGTTTTAAACTGGTTATATTCTTGATTTTTGTAAATAATGTGAGACTAAATTGTCAAAAAGGAGAGGAAATGGTTCCATACAATGTGTGTTTCATTGAATGCATGCATGTCTCTCTTTAATTATGTTTCCTTGGTTTTTTTTTCTCTCCCTCACAATTTTTTTATGTAGGAGGATAATGCAGACTGTGTTCAGGGCCTGGAGGCAATTCCCATCTTTGATGAAAGAGGAAAGGGAGAAGGAAGAGAGAATAAAACAGCTAAGGAAGAGAGTGGCTGAAATTCTGCCAGACTTCCGAACATGACATTTCAGACCAGAAGACAGAGGGGGAAAAAGGAGTTCACAGGCACCATTCTCTGGTTGACAGAGAATCTGCAGACATTCTAGCAAACAGACTTCTCTGTCCAGTGTGATAGAATGTATTTGGGGAGGTTCCACCTAACAAGCCCCATCCACGAAAGCCCTGCGCAAGGATCTGTTTGCATCACAGGGCTTTCCCCTCCTTCAGTGTCCCTCCTAAGATTAGTTTCAGGCGTTAGGAGAACAGAGGGGGAATCATTCCGCCTGGCAAGCTGCAATGCTTGTGGAGACTCTGAATTCCATCCTTATTCCCCAAGAGGAATTGTTCTATTGAACTCCTGCTAAAATATCAAAGTGTAGCAGTCAAAGCTGATATAGGCCAGCGCTTCTATTTTTCCAACTAAATCCTTTTCCCATATTTGCCTGCTTCCCTGTGGTAAGCACCTATATGTGAACATACAGGAGCAACTCCATTTGCTGACACAAGCATGAAATCTCTTCCTTGTGCTATCCCAAACTCCTGTATTGAGTGTGTGTATCCACAAGAACAAGCAATAAGCAGGGACAACTACTGTCTCACTGACTCTTTCTCACTACTGAATTAACCACACAGCCAGCAAGTCCGCCAATGTGGTGGTAGGGAGGTGTTGAATCCACAAACCATTATTCCTCGCAAATTGAACATTCAGTTAGAATGAAGGAAAGGGTGCCTGAAAGGAATATAAGAATAACCTATAGAGAGCAGTACAGATAGCACTGCTGGGAAGTTATTGGAAATTCAGATATTCTGTGACGGGTTCTAGTTCACTTTGTGGAAACCAAATTAAGATGCCTCATAGTCAGAAAGCTATCCGTCCTTTAAAAATGTGAGGTTTTGATATTAGAGCTACTTTGCCCTTGCAACTCCTTCTGTTCCTAGGCACATTTGAGGCTCTCTCAGTTGCTGCATTTTCACTTCAGCTTGTAGAGTTTGTATGTCAAAACATTCTAAGTCCAATAACTTACCTCCCATGTTGTCATGTGGAATCTTAATTAACATTCTGTCAGCTCAGTCAAGCAAGTCTTCAGACTTCATAGCACAGCACCACACATTAAAAAAAAACCTATGGTATATTGTATAAATAAACCAGTCGTAGTTAAATGTTAACCGACAAGTAGGGGCAACCATTGTAGTAGTATACCACTTGAGGTGATATTTGAATTGTAGTGCTAAGGTACTGATTTGTTACAAAAGCAGAAACAAAAACAAAAAGACACAAACTCAGAATAATTACAAACTAGCCAGTTTGTTCTCAACAACTAATGCGTATTAGCACCCTCCTTTTTTGCACACAAATTGTGACTGTAGAGGTGGTTAAAAGAATAAAAAGCAAAAGAGAAATCGACTCAATCTAGGGTTTGTTACCTTAATTTCTACAAGAGTAACCCAAAGGAATCTGTTAATGTACTCTCCAAAATTTGTAAGTAAACAGACTGAAGAAGATACACATCCGTTTGATTTTCTTTATTACCAGCTTAGCTATCTTCAGTTGATTCTGAAGGTCCTTCAAGCCATTCAGAAGGTTTAAAGTACATAACAGTTTTGGTTTACTACAGTCTTGGACTAAAGATGCACCTCTTTGCCTCTGACACCTGAGATGTACTGTATATTGTTCAGGACCCACCCATTTCCTGTGATTATTTGTATTAACTGTTTTTAATTCTGAATTTTAAATCATTGTAACCTGCCAGGGAGCCAGCTAGTGAAGGGCACATAATAAATTTGATGGTATTTTGTTTTTCCAGAGAATAGTATTTTTTTTATAACTCGGTACAATCACTCAACACTTATTTTTAAAACAAAATTTTATTTAACTGTGGTAACAACTGATCTCAAATGCAGGGCACATAATAAAATATCTCACAATTTTCCAAATACCTGGGGTTGGAGGAAAATTAAGAGAGAAGCAATTCAGATATTCTCCACCCTGCCATCAAACTGATAAAACATGAGCTGCAGCAAGGTTTTTAAATAGAATTCATGTCCTATACAGTAGAGCTTGGCAGAGGAATAAAGGCTTCCAGGAAGAGAAATGTCACTTAAAATATGATAGAAAAACATTTGTAATTGCACCATCCTGCCCTGCAGAGGCTAAATACATTCAAGATCAAGATTAAAAGTCACGTAACACATGATTAAGACACTGGACAGTAGGCAGTTATTACTTGCTCTAGAGAAAACACTCTCGTAGCAAATTATTTTAAGACACTTGAAAGCAATCTATTTTGAAAGAAAAAAGCACCATTAAAAACAAGGAGAGGCTGAAATATCATTGGCCTGTTGGGAAGAATCAATTTTTACTTAGCCATTTTAAAGAGATTAAGGAGATATCTAGATGTCTTGCTCCAGTCCCTTGACACCTCTACAAAAAAAAATGTATTCTGAAAAGTATAAATGCATCAGGTTTATTCCTAACACGGCTCACAGTAGCATTTTCATATTGCATGGGTTTGACTTTGACACCACTGTGACAGCAACGCAGGAAATCGAGTCCTTAAGAATTCACTGGTGTCTAATTGTGCAATACAGAAGAGCTTTTAAAAGGAATTCTGTTCAGATGAACCCCCTTAACCCTCCGGTGAGGCACAGAAAGGATGAGCAAAGATTAAGCAGGTGAAAGGGAAGCTTGTGCTTCATACTAGATACAGCCCAACCAAGTGTCATTACCGTATTGGCCCAAATATAATCCACACCCGAATATAAGCTGCACCTTTAAAATTCATGGGTGAGGGAGAAGAAAAAAGAAAAAAATATGTGAATATAAGCTGTTCCCTTAAAATTCTGCACTCACACCCATTCTGTTTTACTGTATGTCTGTTTCAGCAGCAATATCGTAAAAGCCAATTTTTGTAAGGTCGTGAATTTAAGCCACAATTTAACTTTTCACAGTCAGAATTTGGGGGGAAAGCGAGGCTTATATTCAGGCCAATATGGTACATACCTTTTGCACCTCCTCCAGAGTAAATAGTGTGTCTCCAACCTTTCCGTATACTTATGAAAGAAGCTATTTCTGTCCGGAAACTATAGCCACACAGGAAGAAAAACAGCTCGGTTGCTTAGAGCATGGTGCTGATAACGCCAGGGTTGCACGTTTGATCCCCATATGGGACAGCTGCATATTCCTGCATTGCAGGGGGTTGGACGAGATGGTCCTCAGGATCCCTTCCAACGTTATGACTCCCTAAAATCTTCAAAATGGGTAGGCATTACCTCCCACTTATGTGCTGCAATGCGCAAGAGTATTTAAGAAACCTCTAAAAATCTGCATGAGTCCATTGATTGCCAGATTCCATGGCAACATTTCCTTCATATAAATGTGTTTTATTTTTCCAATACATCAATGAGGTAATCCTTTCAACTTCCCTGAAGAATGCTAGAAGTATAATCAACCATTGGCTTAGTAAGAAACTAGTCCTTGCAAAGCACACCTCCAGCCAGCATGGCCAGGGTCTCAAGGGTGATGAGAGATGTTGGCCAGCAACATCTTCAGGGTACCACATTGGCTACCCTTCCGCTGGTAAAGCTAGGCTCTTTACCTTTTGCTATCTGGGACATAGCCCATGTCTCAGTCTTAGGTCTTAACAGCATAATACACCACCATCAGTATTATACTGTAGCTACTCAGTGGATTACCATATTGATGCTGCCAGACTTCTATTCATTTTCCCACCCTTAATTTATTCCTGCTGCACACTTCCTACATACCACCAGCAGGGGAAAAAACCTTTATAAAGAGTGCATTTCAAGTCTCTTTCTGCAAATATTATACTTCCTGGTGGGCTGGAACACACTGATGATCTGCTGCATTGCACTAATTCCCTAAAAACAGAAGGCAAAACACAACTCCTGTTTCAGTTAAACACTTGTGAGCTTGTTCTGTTGTCAAGTTGGCTTGTTCAAATAAACTGGTTAATATTAACCACTTTGTCAGCTTGAACGAAAGAAGCCAGTTTTTAAGCAAAGCTTCTGAACTCCTTCCACCTGCAGGGAGCAGCAGAGTGCAAACCTGAAGCTCAACACCACTGGACGGAAGCCATGCTAAACTATGGTTTAGTACAAGGTCCGAACTCAGCCAGTGTTTCCAGTTATATAGCACACACTGCTTTTTCAGCCAAAGATGTAACTATTTCAAACTGTCTGAGGAACATGTACATTTACTGACCAGAAGTGAACCAATGTGAAGAACTAAGAAACTAGAGAGTTCTAATTCCCACTTCACTCCAATTCCAAGTTGAATGCTACCATTATGCACGGAAACATCATGTCTCACCTTGAGTCTATATCACCTTGTTTGGAAGAACAGTTCTGTTGCCTTTTATCTCTTGGTACCATATAACATTGTATGAGTGGAACTGCAATATCTTATTTCAGCAGCAAGCAAGCCTTCCTTAAACTTGTACCTTCCAAATGCTTTAGATTGCAGTACCCAGGTAGAGAAAGCAGTAGATGTAAAAGCAGAATAAATCATTTTCTACATCCATGGCTACCAATTATCTCAGTTCAATGAGGCCACCTGCCCTGCAGCCCCATTATTGCACAGTGATCCTATCTAAATGTAACTTAAATCTTTCTAATCATCTGATTGAGCAAATGACTTTTTATGGGAACGCTATTGAGACAAGGATCCTAAATAATCAATTAAAATAGTTGATCATACGTGATGCAAAGCAGTGATAGGTTCCCCCAATTCTCTTTCATTATTAAGTACTTTCTAATGCCAATTGTGTTTGTGCTTTTTAAAGTTTTTGGATCCAAGTGATTTAAGAGTTTATTTTAAGCAATTACGGCATGGGTAGGCAAATTAAGGGGCCCAAGGGATCCGGCCCAATCGCCTTCTAAATCCAGCACCTGAACGGTCTGGGAATCAGTGTGTTTTTACATGAGTAGAATGTGTGCTTTTATTTAAAATGCATCTCTGGGTTATTCGTGGGGCATAGGAATTCGTTCTTTTTCCCACCCCAAAATATAGTCCGGCCCTCCACAAAGTCTGAGGGACCGGGCCCCCTGCTGAAAAAGTTTGCTGACCCCTGAATTACAGATTTCATTTTTAACCTTTCTGAATGGACATGGGGGATGGGGAGAGAATAGACATTAATTAAATACAAATACTTTCTCTGAAGTGTTTTGAGAACACCATACACAAAACCACCCCTGCTATCTACCAGTCTCACAAATCACAGCTCCAAAGAAAACGTCTCACAAAGGCACTTAGTAGAACCACTGAAGCAAAGAGTTGGGGTGTGTATGTGTGGAAAAGTAACATCATTTGTCGGTTTGGGGAGGTTGTTGCTATTTTGCTCTTTTTCTGCATGGGGGTGGAAGTACAGAGCAGCCCCCTTTTTGATACCACCCATGGCCATCATCACCATTGACAAGCACAAAATTAAAGCTCATGGCCAGATGAACTTCCTTGTGGTACATTAAGATTAGTCCGCACAAGCACATGAAGTTTCCCAAACCTCTAGAATTAAAAAATACACTACCTCTTCAGCAGCGACCTCTTTGCCAGGTTAATGTCAGGAATGTTCCTGACAGTTAATGTGTATAATCCTTGTAAACAGCTATGTACACAGTCCATTGGCACAAGCGCATAGAACTGTAGACTGAGACGCTAATCCAAAACTGGTAGCCGGCTGTGGCTAAGCAGGTGAGCACTTAAGAGGCTAACATACATAGGCACCCCCATAACCAGGTCATTCGTGCCCAGCATTTGGAATATCGCATGTTTCTGAGAAAACGTTGCTCTTAAAATATGGCTTAAGAGATGAGAACTACCTGTCCCTGTAATGACTTCAGGTGTGGATGATCAGTTAACTAAATGTGATTGATAGGAAGCTGCTTTCATACAATGTCTTCAGTGGAGCACTGCAGATCGGATGAGCGCAAGGTCAAGAACTGGATCCAATTGTGCAGAATGCCCCGATGGTACTGGCCTGTGTCAACCACCATGCCCCATAACAGCCTCCGCCCAGTGTTCTCCTTCAAAGCAATTCGAGCTTCCCTCTCAGTCACGTTGTAGCTGATGTTCAAGAGCTGGATGAGAAGGATGTAGCCCATGCCGGAAGTTACAATGGTACAGTACCAAACACAGGTGAACGAAAGGGCAGAACTAGAAAGGGGTGGAAACAGAAAGCAAGGAACCCGTTTTAATAGGGACACAACTGCATTGCTGTAGGGCTACAGAGAAAAGGGGAGACTGACATGCTATTTTGAGAGTAAATAGTAGTAACCTTTGGTGCCTTCCCATCTCAGATTCTGCATCACAGCAAACTGCAATCTCATTTCCCCACTTAGGTGCCTCATTTCATTGCAAAAAATATTTTTCAAACAGTCCATCATCTATGCCAGGCATAGGCAAACTCGGCCCTCCAAATGTTTTGGGACTACAACTCCCATCATCCCTCTCCACTGGTCCTGTTAGCAAGGGATGATGGGAGTTGTAGTCCCAAAACATCTGGAGGGCCGAGTTTGCCTATGCCTTACTATAAGGTAATAAGCATTGGGATTTGATTATTGCTAAGCTCAACAACCAGTTCTCTGCCCTATACTTCTGCTCTGCAAAAATGCCCATAGCAATGTAGTTGCACTCAGCTGGTTACAGATGGTCTCTTTACAGGTTACAGACTGATCTCCCACAGCCTGGGCATGCTATTTGACTATCCCTAAATTATGTGTAGCCAGCACGGTGCCCTTCAGATGTTGAGGACTATAATGCCCATCAGTCCCTGCTAGCATAATCACTGATGGGAACTGTATACCACAACATCTCTACCCCTTCTGCAAAGGCCACAGTTCTTCCTTTACACAATCATAATATTAGAGCTCCTTGCCCACGAAATCTATATAGCTATATTGTTACCATGGTAAAAGCACTACTAGTTGAGGGAAGAACCAAATTCACCATTTTAGATATGTGTGGGCAATAAACAGCCTGTGCTTAGATGTTCTTCAGTTGCTTCCCCTTAATTTCAAATGGGAAGGCTTGTGAAAATTCTAAACTTGATTGCACAAATTGTAGCCAGCAATTCGAAACAGCAAGTAAGCCCACAGGTGTAATTTGTACAGAGCGTATTTAATTTCATCCAATTGTGTAAGTATGGAACTTGATCGAGGGGTGTGGAACTGGGCACAGGTAGTAAGTAAAAATTGAAAGTGCACTTACTCCTCATTCTTCCTAATCAGTTTGACCCTGTAAGATTGCCTGTTCCACAAACAGTGTCATATTTTAGGTGCTGGGACAGGTGACCATGATTTAAGGTATGGTTTAAACCAAACTATGATAATTAGGCCCACAGGCCTGTATAGGGACATTTTTTTTATGTTTCATGTTTTATTGCGTTTTTAGTATTTTTTTGGGAGTTGCTCAGAGTGGCTGGGGCAACCCAGACAGGTGGGAAGCATATAAATAATAAAATTATTATTATTAAGATTCCCTATAGATGTTAAAGACAGAATGGGATGGGAAGAAGATGACTCATAGATTTATCACAAGTCATTGAGAGTCAGCATGGTGTAATGGTTAGAATGTTGGCCTATGGCCTGGGAGACCAGGGTTTGAATCCCCTGAGTGACCTTTGGCCAGTCATTGTCTCTCCTTGGGAGGAAAAAATAGTATATAAATGCAATCAATCAATCAATCAATCAATCAATCAAGTGTCTAGAACAGAATGAGCTTTCAGTGGGGCAGGACTGGATTGAGAGGAAGCAATAGCTGCATTCAAACAGACTGCAAGGCATGCAAGCCAATATGGAGGAACAGTCCATATCACTAGAGCTGGAACGTGAGACATACTGAGAAGGGAGGAAAGAAGATAACAACAATGGTTGTCAGAGACAGGGGAAAAAATGATATGGGGCACCTGAAATGAGATAGCGGGCATTTGGAAATCATTAGGATTTGTGCATGCAAAGAGGAGGAGGACAACACTACAATGTTCAGAGTGCATCATCCCGGAAAGCAATTATGCTTTTTGCCGTTAAAAGTGTAACCTGACCATGCAAAAGAACAAAAATAAAACAACCCAAAAAGGAACATGGGACTTTATCTTTGTTTCAACCACAAGAGTCTCATATGGTCACTTGGGCAAGTCGAACAAGCACAAAATAGTGTGCCTCAGCATGCCAATCTATGAAAGCTGCACAAACCTTCCCAAGGACAAAGGTTTTGACATTAGCAAACATCCCAGCATGCACCTCAGGCCAAGATAGCAGAAGCCAGGCAGACCAGAGGACTGCCCCTCCGACAGAGGGTCATATCAGTAGTTTCTTATCCCATTGGAGTATTTCTCTCACCTGTAGTCTCCATAGACACCAGGACAGTAGAAGAGTGCCTTGATGGTAGCCTTCCCCCTACAGATGGTGTCCAGAGTCAAAGAAATCCCATACACTGATGTGAGCAGAAAAAGGGAGAGTGCAAGGATAAAGGCTTGGTGGTTCTGTTCCCCAACACAGCTGTTAATCCTCCAAGAGATAAAAGAAAAACTTTTTTTTACAAAAAAGTGGTGTAAGATAAACAAGGTGCCAGATTCTGGTGTCCATTAAGTATTCTGATGTCCAGCTGAAGAGTAATTAACTATGGTTTGCAGCACAAACAATATTTGCAGGTTTGGACAAAATGGCAATTGTTGGTTTGCCTCAATCCGCAAAAGGAGCCAGGGGTACACTGCAGGGGAGGGGGGGAGAACAACAGCTAGAGACTCATTGAAGGCTCATTTGCTAGGCACCAAACCATGACTGGGCATTATATCTAAACCAGGCTAACAGAGAAGATTCATATAAACTAGGTTTTCAAACTAGCTTATGTAAATAGAGCCAATATACAACAATCTGCACCACTTAAGACTAGCTGTTAGAAAGCTATAAAATTCTGCTCTGTGGATATTCTGCACCCCAACAGATTTTCCACACACGAAATGTGAAATGTGTTACAATTCTATGATTCTGTGACTTCCAGTGGTTCAGTGCCCTGCACCTATCTCTAAATAGCCACTCTTCCCCCATTCCCTTTGGCCCAGACATTTGGAGGATAAAACATCCCAATATTTTGATTGCTCAAATACCGGGAGCAGTATAGATTGTTTTAAAAACTGGCCCAATGTGAAGTGTGCAAGTTTGCTCTTGACTACAGAATGATTCCCCCATCGTCATTACACAAAGTACACCCCCCCTAAATGAAACCATTAATGTATCACAATATTTACAACTGTTGATGGATGGCATAACAGATTATGACGTTCCCCTGGGGAGATCTGGCACTCCCTCAGCTTGTCTGGTTATAGAAAAAGGATACTGAATGCAGGAAAGAGCAAGTATTAGACAGGGAACGCAATACATGCCACAAAACTCACTATGCAGCAGATCAATTAAACATACTGACAAGAGCCCAAACAAAGCAGAAAGGCCTTTTGGGGCAAGAGGAGATCCATGACTCACTGGTAACAAAGATATCAGAAAATAAATGTCAAAGCCAACTTGAAACTCCAAGGAACATACCAGACACAGTGATGATCCAGTCTCTTCACACACCTGCCACATATCCGGCAGTGCCCAGCTCGCGCTGGCCTAACCAAGTGACACTTGGTGCACCAGTCCTCCGTGATCCCACCTGTCCCTGCTTCCAACACACTGGCATAGCCCTCAGGGTAACTGTTCATTGCAATGTCAGGCACAGCTGCTGTGTAAAGCCCCTTGGAGCTCTCCAGGTCATTCCTGTTTGAGATGTTGTTATTGTTGACGTTGCCACCTTGGCAAAGAGCTTTGTCACTGCTCGTTTGGCAGGGAAGGTAGCCAGGGTCTCTCTTGGCTTGAGACAGGGCCACCAGCATGAGGATTAAGCCGCAGGTGAGAAGGATCACCTGGCTGGTGCTCACGTGGCCCCGGGGTACCACCTCTTGGAGGAACACGTAGTACATGTAGCCTAAGGAGAACAGCCCTAGACTCAAGAAAAAAAGAGTCTGGCCCTTCTTCCTGTGTGTGAGGTAGTAATACCACAGCACCAGTACAGGAAGTGATATCAGGATGACAAGAGCCAAGAGGAGGTGCAAAGCTGCTATGTGAAGGAAGACAGGCAACAGGATGATTGGCGGGAGGAGGCTGATATCGACCTTTACAGCCCCCCTAAGCCACGGGAGGCGAAAGCGGTCTGTGACGGTGTCTGCAATTCTCTCTAGAGTTCCCGGGGGCAAAGATCTGCAAGTCAGCCACCTGTTAGGGAAAAGCACAGAGGTCTGCTCATGTAAGACTGAAGAGACCAAGAAATACATTTGTGTTGGCTTTTGTCACTCTCTCAGTCACTTTGTGTCAGATCTCACCAAGGTACAGCTGTTTAGGGCTGCTTCAGACAATTGTCAGCGTCTTGTGGATGAGCACATGTTTATATTCCCCTTATACATGTGATTGTTTTATTATGCATACAGACAAGTGTAAAAAGGATGTGTGAAATGGCCCCAATCCTTCAGTTTCTACCCAGAAATTTGAATAGTATTATGTGGGGCCACATCTCATCATATCGTCTTAATGCTCATCTGAAAATGATGAGTGTATCACATTGACAGTAAATCCAGTTCTGTGAACCAGCCCTCAACTTTCTCAAGTTGTGTTCTTGACTGGTCTGTCAGTTTACCTGGCAAAGAATCTCTCTGTAGAATAGGAGTGGGAATCACCATGGCCCTTCAGACGTTGTGGGGATGCAAACTCCCATCAGCCCCAAGCAGCATGGCCTATCACCAAGGATGATGGGAGTTGTAGTCCAATGGCTGCAGCCTCCCCATCCCTGATATAGAAAGGCAAGGATTCACGAGCTCATGAGTTCACCCACCACTTTCAGTACACTGAATAGGGAAGATGGAATACATTTACGGCTCAGAGAAGTGTGTTGGGTTTTGTTTAGTTAAAGCAAGATCATTGTGGGAGAAAATGGCTGGAACCCCTCCACATAACTTCCATAAGCTCCAGACAGAAGTGGTCAGGGAATAACAGTCCAAGACCATCTGGAGAATCACAGGTTCCCCCATGCCTGCCTAAGGCCACTTCAAGGAAGAAATCATGTTTGTTTGTCTTGCAGGAAGTTGCCCAAATTATGCAAGTACAGCTGGTCAACTTCCAACTGGGTAACCTTGACCAAGTATAACATAGGGAACACTTGCAAAGCTTTGCTTCACTGCATATGTGTCCTTGAAGGGAAGCCACACCAGAAAAAAATAACATTAAGAAGCAACCCTTACTCTCCAACATTATCATAGCAGGGGGTTGGTTTTTCCCCCTTCCTTCTTTTGGAAACTACTGCCCAGTGTTGACATTTGCCAATTTCAAAAACTTTTCCAAATTCCCACAGTTACACCATTTTTTTCTAGAAGGACTTTAGGAGTTGCATGTAATGCACTCAACAGGTAAGGTTTTCCATCTCTACGGAAAAGAAACAATTCTTCAGAATTTGTGCCTCATGGGGCTGTTAAAGGCATAGTAGCTCTGGTATTTTATTTTTTTTAATTATTAATAATACCTCAAACAACAGAGGTGGCCATCAGACAGAAATCCAGTGATTACCAAAATCACCACATGTGGAGCAGATGAAATACTCTTAATAGGGACAGAGCTCTGAAACCACACTCTGAATGCAGGCCCTTTTATGCCTGAACTTTGAAGACAGGAGGAGGGACCAGCTAAAGGCCACCCCAATGGCCACAACGGAAAGATCTCACTCAAGCCACGAGCAGGGCAGCCACCAACAAGCTAACTACTAGCACATTGGCAAAGCTAAGCAGAGTCCGACGTGGTTTCAAATTGGACGGGGGAAAGGGCACGTGTTGGGAGATTTCTGCACTGCTAGATGACCCTCGGGAGTCCCTTCCAACTTTACAATTCTATGAGAAGTGCCAGCTGGGTGAAAGTTTCAGGCGTACCTTTCACAGCCCTCGTCGAGGTCCTCGCACTCGCAGAAACACGCCGCCAGGTGGCTCCTCTGGCCCTTCCGATCCAGGTACTCGCAGCAGCAGAGGGTCTCCTCCGCCTCGGGGCCTCGAACTTTCTTCCTCCCACGTTTCATGGTGGCAGCAGCAGCAGCAATGGCCCCTCCCGCCCTCGCAAAGACCGGAGGGCAGGGAAAAAAGAGGCGCGGGGAACCTCTCTCGCAGCATGCAAAGGGCAGGGAACTCCAGGGGAAGTTCTCATTAAAGCCAGTAACCCAAAGAGGACTTTTGCAAACAAGCTGCGAAGGCAAAGGGGCAAGGCGACAGCAAAGAGCCTTTTGCAAACCCAAGGGACAGGAGGAAACGAAAGGGGAGAGGCGCGCAGCGATTTCCCTCCTGACTCCACCTGACACCTGTAACCAAGCGCCAGGCGGCAGCGAGGTTCTTCCCTTCCTGCAACTTGCTTCGCCTCCACCCGGGTACCTAGGTCTCCTCCGCCCGTTTGCAACCGATGCGCATCCAGTGACTTCTCCTCGCGTTCTAACTTCCCGGCTATCAAGGTGCAAAAAAGGAATTCTTGTTGGGCGGGGGGGGGAGCAGCTCCCAAACCCAACGTGCTCCTCCTTGGCCAACGAGGATTGGTTGGAATCTCTTCAGGCTCCGCCTCCCTTTTCTCTCCCGCCTGCCCCCGCCTTGCATCCAGGGCGCGCCCTGCCGTTCTCCCCTAAGCGACCTCGCCGCGCCACCTGAAGTTTTCTCAGCTTCCGGCTTCCTTGGCACGCCGGCCTCTTCCTATCCTCCCCTGACGTCACGGAGCCCTGCCCAATGCCCGCGTGGGGAGCGGAGAAAAAGCACTTGTGAGCGCCAGAAGTTCCGTCGCTGTAAAGGAAGAAAAAAGCCGCGCCTTCGAAGTTTGGATGGGGCTTCGGGAAGCAGCTCAGGAAAGGCGGAGGAAAGGACGGGAAAGAAACTGCAACACAAATTTGAGGCAGCATTCAGATCCTAAGAAACCGTGTACTCAAAACGGCAGCGGCCAGTTCCAGGTTTTCCGCATCCCAGTTGCCAGCCTAGCCCTAATAAAGGTGACCTGACCACTCCATAGGAAGAACCTAAGGAAATAGCCATAAACTCATAAGGTTCTCTGGGTTTTCAAGCAGGAGTTAATACCAGCCCTATCTGGAGATGGGGGGAACTGAACTTGGGACACAATGCATGCAAAGCAGTTCCTCCACCACTGAGTTGCTGCCTTTCAGTTGTAAGAGCACTTCTGACACTGCAAGCCACCCTCCCTGCAGGTCTGAAAATGTGAGGCAAACTGACAGCATGGTAAAGCTCTGCTGGATGAAATACAATTGCCTCTGGTCTGTTTTGGGGGTATCCTGCAACCTATTTAAGTTTTTACTCTGCTAACTATACACTGGAATCTACTCTAAATCACTCTTGAGTAGAATTTCATGACACGTGCGCCATCCCAGTATGAAGTGATCCTTTGACAATGCAAGATCCTGAAGCATCCCAACCTTGTGACAAGAGTCATAGAAATAGAGGAACCGGGCACCCGACAATCAGCTTTGGGACACCCCAAATTAGGCACCTATACCTCCAGAAGCAAATCGAATCATCGAGTCCAATGCTTGGCTTGGGTATGCTGCAGGTTTTGGGTACCAGAGTCTGTGGTGCAAGTTGCCCATAATTCCTGAAACTTGTAGAAGTTAGAATTAATGAAGGTTTGACAAAACTGTGCCAAACACTGCTGGGTTACGTTTAGGATAACAAGCTGTGCCACTTCACAAAGGATGAAGTAGCCAGTCATTTAACCTATCAATGCAAGTCCTTAACAAAACAGGCAACACGACCAGGCACAGAAGGGGAGGTTGTCAGTGGGCAATGATCTAAGTGGAACGCAGCTACTTTATAATATGAACATGGGGCATCCAGAAAGTGTAAAACAATTATTTTGATATTATACTACAGTATACTGCATTGTTTAAATGTTATTGTCCTTGCATCTTACTGAAACACTTGCCACCCTCTCCTGCCACACCAGTGCACTCCTCCCTTTGAGAACTACTGGATTAAGAAGAACAGAAGAAGAAGAGTTTGGATTTGATATCCTGCTTTATCACTACCCAAAGGAGTCTCAAAGCGGCTAACAGTCTCCTTTTCCCTTCCTCCAGCACAACAAACACTCTGTGAGGTGAGTGGGGCTGAGAGACTTCAGAGAAGTGTGACTAGCCCAAGGTCACCCAGCAGCTGCATGTGGAGGAGCAGGGAATTGAACCCAGTACACCAGATTACGAGTCCACCGCTCTTAACCACTACACCACACTGGCTCTTGATTAATATCAATAATATCTTAATTAATATCTTAATTAATATCAATAGGTATATGATATAGCAAATGAAATTTCAAGGCTAGCTTTAGAAGCTGTGCTGATTACGGACTCAATTGACCCTATTACGCGTTTGGACGTTTAAATATTTGAAAAACTAATTTACAAAAAAAGGAGGGGTCAAAATGGCCTCTCAAAAGTGGCTAGCCCCCTCCCCCACCATGTAGCACGACCCCCATCCTTGCTGAAGCCCTATAGTCACTTAAAAGAAAAAAACACTTTTCACATACTCAAGAATGCATCTCATTTATTATATACATCAGCAGTTCCATTGGTCTCACTTCATATCTGTTGGTTGGCATACATGGGTTGGGAAAAAGAACTTCCGTCAAAATCATACTAGGACTTATTTCAGAGAAACTGTGTTCAGGATCCGAGTGTTCATATGAAATACATTAGTTCTCTTTCAGAAATATGTGAGGCAAAACTCACCCACACAAAAATAAGCTTTACTCCTTCCGTGCTCCCCCTTTTTCCTGGTGCTGACAGCGGAATTTGCACAATTTTAACAGCCACCTTTGTAATGTGCCATTTAATTTCAAGCAGAAGAGCCATAGCTTAGTGATAGAGCATCTGCTTTCCTATTCAGAAGGCCCAACGTTCAATCCTTGGCATCTCCAGGTTAGTCTGAGAAAGTCCTTTGTCTGAAGCCTTGGAAATAAATGCTGTGACAAGCAGTGCATTTACCACATTTATATTCTACCTTTCCTCCAAAGAGCTGGAGGTGGCATACATTCTCTTCCTCCACATTTTATCCTCAGAACAACCCTGCGAGGTAGGTTATGCAGAAACACTGTGATGGTCCAAGGTCACCCAGCGAGTTTCATGGCTTAACAGCATTTTGAACCCTGGTCTCCCAGATCCTACTCCAACACTAGCCACTACATCGCACTGGCTCTCTCACTGTAGGATAGATGTTGTAAACTAGCTATTTTTTAATTTCCATGTTAGGAAATGTCTCCCCCTCCCACTTTTTTATTTAAAAAAGAGATCCGGCAAGAATTGTGCATTTGTAGTTATGACTTGTTCCTTTTGCATTTTCCTTTTGTCAGCGGGCTAACAGCTCTGGATTTGCAAAATAAAAAAATACTAATTGCAAACCATTTCCCCTAAGCAGGTAATTCAGCTGCCATTTGTCCGGATGGTGTATGTGTCAGTACAGTACCAGTACTGAACCGTATGAACACAAGTGTTGCCAGTGGTGATCGGTATGCATCATGGATACTTCCAAGCCAGTAATAACCTACGGTAAATAACTGGAATAGATTAGCACTGAGCAACTTCTCATATTGCAAAGCAGAAGCAAAAGGGGAAATGCAAGTGACTCACGCTTCCTCCCTTCACCTGTTTGTAATACAAGACAGCCCTTCAGTTTGGATGAAATATAGAACCTTGTCACCTGGCTCTACACAGTAGGGCTTGATTTTAGAAATTCAGGATTAGTGCTCTCAATAAAGTTCTCTAGGACAGATGGAAGCTTCATTTATATGACTGTTCCAAGTAAGAACCAGGTTTCCTAAAACATCCCAATATATTCTCTGTACAGTTATACTGGTATTCCATGCGAAGCACTTGCTTTTCTTTTACCTTTGTACTTTCCATTCCTCACCCCCTACCCCAATTCTTTTTGCTTACTTTTAACAGCTCATTTGATTTCATTCCAGTTTGTCAACTGCCCTGGTTTTCAATTTAGCTTGGTCTCTACCCCAAAACATTAAAAAGGTGGTTGGCCTGAGAGTCATTTAATAGCGCTTTTTTTGTATTTTATTCAGTGAGTTTTTGTTTGCTTTTTAGATATGCAGTGAAATCCTGTTTTTACTCAGAAGTTGAGTCCCACTGAATTCAGTGCTTGCTAGTAACCATGTTTAGAATCATAGCCATAATAGCTATGCTAGTCCAATGACAGATGGCTGTTGTGCATCACATCTCCAAGCTCCCACCTTCAGGAAGTTACAGAAAATCAAGAAGCTATTACAGGCAAGAAGGCTTCGTTTAGAAAATCGAAGTTTTCCAAATGAGGAGAAGGAAAAGCAACACAAACTTTGGTGAAAGAAATTCTACCAATCAATAAGAGATGCTAAAGAAGAATTTGAGCACATTGCTAAAAACATTTTTAAAAAACCCAACAACAAAATCCTTAAATGTATCGGTATCCTGTTCTGCCATCTGAGGTAAAACGGGACGTGCCGGCCCACTCTTCCATGCTTCCCACCATGCCGGCATCACCACTGCACCACCCACCACTCTTCTCTTAACAGAGAAGCCATGCTGGAATCAATGCCAATTTAATAATAATAATAATAATAATAATAATAATAATAAATTTATTATTTATACCCCGCCCATCTGGCTGGGTTTCCCCAGCCACTCTGGGCGGCTTCCAGCAGAATATCTATGGCAAGATCTCTTGTGCTCCATGAGATCTCATGAAATTTCAGCAAAATCTCACTGGCAATCAGCACTACTTCTCTGCAGAGTGGGTGAGGCACCCATGGGGGCATTGCTTCAGGGGCTTCTACCACCTGAGGCAGCTGGTTCACGCTGCTTCATAGGTGAGCCAGCCCTGTTCAGGACAGATAAAAAGAAAAAGTAGTTCCTTATACAGTGCATAGTTAAACTATGGAATTTGCTCCCAACAAGAGGCAGCAAGGGCCACCAACTTGGATGGCTTGAAAAATAGACATATTCATGGAGGGTAAGGTTATCAAGACCTACTAGCCACAATGGCTATACTCTGCTTCTACTGTGAGAGGCAGTATGTCTCTGAATACTAGTTGCTGGAAATCACAAGGGGGCAGTGTGCTGTTGCAGTCAGGTCCTGCTTTTCAGCTTCCCCTGGGCATCTGTTTGGCCACTGTGAGAACAGGATGCTGGAAGAGATGAGTCACTGGCCTCATTCTGCAGCCTCTTCTTATGTACAGCAAACCTTCTGGCAACTTTAATAGATCCTCTCATATTTATTCACAGAAAGGTTAACATAATTCTCCGGGTATTATATACAGAACCTTCAACTTCATTTTCTTACCATATAAAATTATCAGTGTGGTGTTCCTTTCAAGTACAAAAAACACACAAGACATCAGAAGTAAAGAGACATCACAGAAACGGCCTTCATTTATCTCTAATCTGACTAGTAATTTATAACTTCAATGCCTATGCTTTTAAAAAGACACACATACTACAAAAACACGTAGTAGTTTGACACAAATTGCTTCCACACATTTCTGTCTGCACTGTACATAAACAGTAGTTCCTTCTTGGTTTTTTTTAATCCTGGTTAGGTCCATCTGCTAAAGCTGGTTTCCTATACGAACAAGTATAAAGGCACTTTTGATGAACGTCAAGTGGAAACCCCAAAATAGAAGTCACAAACATGGTCAGTTCCATTTACTAGACATACATATCCAGCACAGCCAGAATGAGGCACAATTTTATTTGTGCCACACTACCATTCTACTTCATTCTACTCTTCCAGAAGTATACTTTAGAAAGCCTATTGTTCTTCAATGGCTTACAAGCTTGTTCTTAACTCTAGCAGATAAAGGTGATTCCCATCTTGTGTCACACAGTTAAGGTCTTAGTCTGTGCTACAAAATAGATATAACACAACCAAAAGACAAGTGGATTCCCAGGCCTGAAGACTGTAGAATGTTAAAATCAGAAAAAGTCTCAATGGACTCAACATGCCAGTCAGATTAATGCATTGATTGCCGTTTAAAAATATTCAGGGACTGGCCATTTTTTGAATATAATTCTCTGACATATAAGGACAATTCCTGAGAAATCTTGAGAGCTGAAATGACAGTGGTAGAAAGAGGTAGAATTGCTTTGACTCGTACAGCAGAAGACCCACACAACCAAAACAATCAGTATGTTCAAAATTCAGATTTATAAATAGTTTTCTAGAACATATGTACAGACCTTTAAAATTGCTTACTTTTGAATAATTGTTGCATGAATATGGAAAAAGACCATATGGAGAACTTCTGGGTGTTACAAGCTCCACAAGATAATCTATGCTGCATCCTTCATAATGTTGATGATTTTCTCATCAGATGTGAGTCCAATTTACTTTTACTTTTTACTTTTTTTACAGATCACATTGCTTGCTGAATTCTCCCCCTACAATTTGCATATCACATAATTACCAGACCACACAATGTTCTTACTCATTCACACCAGGTATTCACAGTTCAGGGAACTGCTCACAAGAAGATGTCAAGTGGATCAGGAGAATTCACAGGCTAATGGCTTTAAAAACGAACACATTTTATAGATATATTTCTAAGGTGTGCAAGTGGTTGTGAGCAGAAATGTGAGAAAAATAAGCAGCTTCACATTCAATACAAAATATCTTCATTCTCCTTTGGTGACATCAGCTTTCAGGCTTCCTGCTGTCGGTCTTGTTTAGGTGATCAAAGCTACTTTGGAGCATAGAAAGGGAATTCTTCAGCTACAGAAATAAAATCCGACAAGAATTAGGCAGTGAATTGTTTCTAAAAAGAGATCTAATTACTTTTCAGCAGAACCAGCTCCAGGTTTGAGGGGACCCTCACTATGGGCTGCCTTCCCTTTTTGGTGCCCCCATGGGATTACGTGGTCTATTCTCTTCATATTTATTTCCACCAGACAGGTAGGTATTCGGGTACCGAAAATGAGTGCCAGACGGCTGCCATTGTAATTGCTTATGATGTGACTGAGTGGTAATGTCAACTTTGGATGATTGTGGGCAACTAAAATGGCAGTGACCCAGTGTTCACTGGGCTCTGGAAAATGGGCGTCAGGGCAGCAGTGTAAATAGCATCAGCTGCACTTGGTACTTGGGAGGCTGCCCAAAAATGCTGCTTTGTGTTGCCAACCCTGCCCCACACTAATAGTTATGTACTAACAGAGTGCTTACTACAGATGAACTGCAACTGTATTTTAAGGGATGGGAACCCAAACAACTAGGCACAAGTCATAAGAGATCTACTTAAATTGAATGCCAGAAATGAACTAGAGGACAACCCACCTAGAGATGTCCTAGTGGAAACCTGAGAACCCTTAGTTGTATGTAACATGTAACAACAAGCATAATCATTTTTCAAAATTGTCTATTGATTGGCCATCTGTCATGGATGCTTTAGCTGAGATTCCTGCATTGCAGGGGGTTGGACTAGAGTTGGTCTCTTCTAACTCTAAGATTCTATGATTGCAGCAGCAGCAGAATCTACTCTGAAGTACCTATGGGCAACAGAGTGACATGGGTTTTCTCATACTGTGTCTGCTTTCATACATAAAAGAATTAAGCCCATTCTCTAATCTACATCTTACCAAATCTGAAATATGTGTATGAGGTTGTTGAGCTTCATTCAGTAGAACTTGCAATTCTTTAAATAATATAGTTTTTAAAGACATGTTTCCTTTGTAAGTTTTACTGGGATGCAAAGAAAGTTCTTTTTAATAAGGAGTACTGTCTCTTGGTCACCTTTACTATTGTTCCATTTCATTAGCACACATGCCACAAACATACATTGTGGCAAATCTTAAACTTCAAAGCTTCCTTAGTTCTTAAATATTCATAGCAGCCCTGGAATTATCTCAAGCTCTTGAATATTAATATTCTCTTTCTCAAGCAATCTCAATCAGTTTTTTGTATCCCATTCTCACTAGTTAATACCTGAAAGCCTGAGGCCATAGCATCCAAATATGGAAGTGATTTATTAATTCTTTTATTAGCAAAGCACTAATCTTTTCACACATCCCACGTTTCGTTTTCACATGTACGGGGACCAAATAATAGAAACAGCAACACCCACCTGTTCAAGCAATGCTATGGAGTCCCTCAGCACTCCTTTGACATGCTGGACTTGATCTTTGTCCTGCTGGTGAGTTTTTTCTCTTGATGCCACATTAAAGGCTAAACTGAGAAGAGAAAATGCAGGGATAAGTTGCTGCCTTACAATCCTTAAAGAATGTAGTCCCATTCTTTACTTTGCTTTCGCCTAATTAACACATTACTACCATGATCTATGTACATGTTTTCCGATCAGATCCCAGCCTTGCAAAACACTGCAGGGCTGGCTCAGGGAGGGCAGTGTGAGCAGCGCTCCCCCCAATGCACCCAGGGTAATTACCCCAACAGCCCCCACTCCCACGCTACGCCCCTGCCCTCCTCAGGTGCTCTTGCATGGCTGGACTGTGTCCTTGAACTGAATTGTAATAATGTCTTAATTGCCTGGACAGTGTTTATAGACACCTCTGAATTTACCTACTGTACAAATGAATGAATTGTATTTGTTGCTTCACCCACTTTTGCCTCTGTTCCCCATAAGAGAATGCAGCCTTTGGACTGAAAAATATTCCCCATTCCGGTCATAAAACACAGGCTGAGCAGCTTCCCCAAAAGCCACGTAATGCATTGGTGTCTAAAGTGAGATTTGAAGTTGGTGCTTCTTGGCCCTCTTAGCCTCTGGGTAGACAAACTAAGGCCCGGGAGCCGGAGCCGGCCCAGTTGCCTTCTGGATCTGGCCCACAGATGGTCCATGAATCGCCGCGTGGATCTGATCGTTCAGGCTGTGCCAGTGCGTGTGTTTGGCGGCGCCTCCTCCCTCCCTTCTCCTGGCTTCTCCCTGCCCTGCCTAGAGCAGAGAGCAAGGTGGCTGGGATTTGTTGGTGCCAGCAGTAGTAGCGTTAGCTCTCGAGCGGCCGCCATTGTAAGCAGGCTCAATTCAGGCTTTGTTGCTGCCAGCCCCTCTCTGGAGCCCTTTCGCACTATCCCACTGCTGCTAGCCCCTGCTGCTTGCAAGACACAGGTAAGCAGCCACTGGGGTTCGTCCGGTGCTGTGGAGAAGGGAGGGGAGAGTCGTGGGGGGGGATGGCTTACCTGAGTAGAATGTGTCCTTTTATTTAAAATGCATCTCTGGGTTATTTGTGGGAATTCGTTCATCTCCCCCCCCCCCCAAAAAAATATAGTCTGGCCCCGCACAAGGTCTGAGGACCGGCCCCCTGCTGAAAAAGTTTGCCGACCCCTGCTCTAAACTACACCAGCTCTGTAATGTGAAGTCAGCAAAACTTTTTTTGTTTTGCTTTGTTTTGGTATCTTATATTTGACAAATGAGGCATAGTTGAACATGAGGGTGGGGTGGGCAGAAATCCACTCACTTTACAGATCCTTCTTCCTGAAGCTGAACACGGTAAAACGACTGAGCTGCATGTTCAATCTTGGACAGTTTGAGGAACAACGTCACATTTAGCAAAACCAGTAGGAGCAAGCTGCAAAGAAAGAAAGAAACCAGGCTGTTTTTATCATTTTTTCTGTTTCATGTTTCTAGCATCACAGTAGTTAAGAGGCTAAACAGCAAGGATGGGGAAACTGTGGCCCTCCAGATGGCTGCTGGACTCCAGATCCCATCAGCCCTAGCCACTATGCCCAATGGTCAGGGCCAATGGAAGCTGCAGTAAAACACCACAAATTCCCCACCCCTGCTACAGAGACTACCCCAGTAGGGAAAAGCATGTAAGATTAGAGAGGAAAGATCATCTTCATGTCAACCTTGGCAAGATGGTGAAGACTTTTCACTGGGCAAAATAAATTATAATATTCTCATTTTAAAATGTGTATTGAAAAGAGAGCTAGCATGAGAGAGCATTGGCATTGTTCAAGCTACATTAGACCAGGGAGATCAAGGCTAGTCCACAAGCTCTCATCTTAACCTCTACCGGTGGGAAGATGAACGGGGTTTCCGTGTGCTGCTCTGGTTCACCATAAGCGGCTTAGTCATGCTGGCCACATGAGCCGGAAGCTGTACGCCGGCTCCCTCGGCCAATAAAGCGAGATGAGCACGGCAACCCCAGAGTTGACCATGACTAGACCTAATGGTCAGGGGTCCCTTTACCTTTACCTTTTACCATTTTTGCTAATATTCACATTTTTGCAGAGCACTTTCCCTTAACATACTGCATTTTTGTATGTTATTTTCATGAATATATGCATTTTAATTCACCCCCCCAGTATTTGCATTTTTGCACCCGTTACTTAGCTGGACAAGTGTACTGTAAGATGTGAAGAAGTTTGAATTTTGAGGAATGGCTGTGTTTCAGTTCTCAGATTGTTTCAGAAGGTGTGGATTAGGAAGATTCCATTCTAAATGCGAACTGAATTGAATTCTCCCCCATTCCTGCTGCACATACAGTCACAATATATGTGAAAATCATTAGCGGGGGTGGGGAGCTGGAGTTGCATGCAGACACACTGGGATGAAAACATGAGGATGAGAGAGGGTCCCTGACTTTCATTGATCCAGTTTTCCTCAAGCTAGTGTCTTCCATGGGTTTTGGACTAGCTCCAAGCAATCCTCCCCCAAACATTTGGAGAGCACCATGTTGAGGAAGGCTGCCCTATAATCTTACAGAAAGATTCTGGGAGTCAGGATGACTCCCTGTCTCCACCTGCCAAACCAGCAAAGGATTATGTGTATTGTGACCAGGATATGTTTCCTCTGAAGCCAATTCATCACTTGCACCTATATGTCAGTATCCTGCATGTTAAAAATGTGAGCAACTTGGGATTAATTTGACAATGGCTTAGGAAAGCTCCTTTCTGCAAAATCAACCTCCATGAAATTCACTCAAATGCCACCAGGGAAAAATGTTTTCCCCAATATGTTTCGCCATAAGAAAAATGAAGTCAAATTAAATGCCAAAAAAGTACTTACAAGATGCTCATTACCACTATGATGGTGATGGTCTTATTTGTAGCATTCCTTTTTGGTCCTATAAGGCAAGAAAAGCAACTATTAAGTCTCTTTATCCATCTTCTTAAACTAGATTAACTTCACCTGAACGTGCATCTTTTCTGAAGACTTTCCCCCACCCCTTCTCAATGGTGGAGCAGCTCTGGTTCTTGTCTGAACTGAAAGATGCTGCTCATGTTTGCAATCAAAATACAAATTTAATGTAGAGTGTGTTTATTTGACATGCACAGCAAGAAGTACGGTAGGCAGATATTCTTGTTGCAATGGAAGCTCCTCCAGAGTCGTAAAGGGCCTGAAACATCTACCACTACAATGTAATAGGCAGACTTTTAGTGTAAGAATAGTCTTGCATTAATCTCAGAATTCTACCATGATGGCTGCTGCATATAGATTGATTCCGCCTTGTGCACATACCTGTCCACTGCCCAATCTTCTACCTGCCTTTGCTCACAATTCCAGCCTACGTCCCGGTAAGCTGGTTTCTCTCTCTCATGGTTACACAATGAGGCCCTCTGCCAGAAGTTACAGGTGAGACCTACACACAGTTCTGATACCACACAAGTACACAATTCGCTAACAGAGGTGGCAGTAAGGGAAGCTACTTTAGGACACTGACTTAGAAAAACCATCTAATCATCCCAAGCAGCATTCCAATATATCCTGATGCGTGTGGAGACCAGGAAAAGTAAAACATGCATCAGCTACAGAAAGAAATTTATGACCAAAGATAAATTCCATCGGCAACACACTCAACTAGTTTTCACAAATCAGAACCAGGAAATCATGTGATACCCACATAGGATATTTCTATACTCTGGTGTTCTACAACTAGTGCTGGTAAGCCTCTGGCTGGTCAACATACTCCTCCTCACTTGCACACCAAGATGTCCTCCTTTTTGTTATTTGCAGCAAACCATAATTTGCCTTTTTTGTCCAAACAGGCAAACTAGGGCTGGTGCTTGCATACAAACCAGGGTAACAAACTAGGTTAGGCATTAGATCAGAACACACCCATGACATTAGCAGTTGGACTTATCATCTGATTGCCACCCTAAAGATAAGGTCAGGTATGAAGCACACACTAGACTTACAGAATGACATCAGCACTGAATGTTCTCTTTCACTTGTCAACTTAGGTTTCTCTTGATCACCAGTTTCTACTACACTTCATGAGCTCATTTTCTTTCATCCCCATGGCCATTAAAACAAATAGCCATTATCTTGACAAATATTTGAGTACAATATTTTTTGTAGCCACTAAGGGTAAGGGATGCGATTAAAGTTAAGAGTGTATACATTTACGCTGAAACTGAATTGGCCACCCCCTCCCCACATCACTTAGTATAACACTGAGTAAAACCTTTTTAAAAATTCAGATTTCGTGTTCCGCCATGCAAGTATGCATTATAATTGCAGTGTATGTATTGACACAAACACTCTCATCTGAGAAGCTGGAGCACCAGTGAGTGGACTGATTAAAAAATCTAGGAGGCAGCTTAAAACTACTAAAATAATGAAAGGGATCAAACAGTTTTAAGGTTTCTGCAGCACACTCTGTATTGTTTTTCTCTGTCTTATCTTTCCTTGAATGAAGCTATGCATTAGCAGTTTAGACTCATTTAAAGTTGCTTCGTTTAGTTCATTCACCCTTCTTGGAACACTAAACTGTGCCATATGTTCCTCAAAATAGTCATTTATCTTCTAAATCAGCCAGTACATGATCATATGCAATTGACTAGCATATGGAATTTTGAAAGGGCAATTGTGCAACAAGATGAGTTTCAATATCCCAGAAATTAAATAAAACTAAGTCTGATTTCAAAAGAAGGTTTAGATGGTAAGAAGATTGAAGGAAAACACTAACACATACATAGGCATAAATAATGAAAGTCATCCAGTAGTGTCTTGTGAATGACATTTGGAACATAAATCTCAAATACACGGTTGTGCAAACTGGAAAGGGAAAAAAAAACTGGTCCAATCAACCCTGTCCTGAAATCTGCATATTTTGCACAGATCCCACAATGTAGCTGTAAGCACACATTAAGTAGCTGAAGACAAATGAATCTGAGACATTCTGAAATGTGAATCAATTTTTTTGCAAAGTAAAATAAAATACACTGTATTTACCAATAGGATGCTTTGTAAAAACGGGTAGCTAGTCTTAAAGAAATTTCCAAAAGAAAAAGAAGGCAGCTTTTATCATATGTGGTGGGTGTGTAAGGTAATAAAAGCATTCTGGGAAATGATATATAATGAACTGAAAAATAATGTTTAAAATAACTTTTATTAAAAAAAAAAACAGAAGCTTTTCTATTAGGAATTGTAGGTACCAGTATCCCAAAGGACCAGAAAAGACCTTTTATGTATACAGCGACAGCCGCATAAATGTTATTAGCCCAGAGATGGAAAGAAGACAAAGTCTCTACCAGGGAAGAATGGCAAATTAAGCTGATTGGAATATGCCAAAATGGCAAAACTGACTGGAAAGCTCAGGAACCAAGAAGACCAAAACTTTAATAAAGAATAGGGAAAATTTGTAACCTATCTGGGAGACCATTGTAGGCAGATGAAAACATTAGCAGGATTGCAATAACACTTGTGATGTAGCAAATATTATGGACAAAATGGAGCGACTTAAAATATGGATTACTGAATAATATGCAGTTGAAAAGGTAGACAATAGGATCCACGGCAGGGAAGGTGGGAAGTACAGAGTTTCGGAGGAATTTCCAAATATGGATATGCATTTTGTATTGTTATAATTTTATATTTGTAAAATCAAAAAAAAATTATTTCAAAAAATAATAATAATTCCAAAGGCATCTCTGTGCAGCCAATTCCTACACCGACAATTCAGCACTATAGCACTGAACCTGGAAGCATTGGAGACAGTACCTGCGGGAAAAGGCACAACTTTGCATAGGAGCTGTGTGTGAGCTGCAACACCACCACCCTTGTGTTGACTGTACCAGCCTGCATGTACCTCAGAGATGCCATATTTGGAGAGGCAATGAAACTGAATGAGCTATGCAGAGGTGCTATATAATGCATGGCTCTCACGCGAGCACATCCCTGGAATTCCTTTGGCTTAAGTTAATGGTCAAAACCAATACTCCTGCTTGTAGTACCCACCTCCATCACCACGGGAAGGTGCACCTGTCTCCCCCGAAGAGTACTGTGAAGAACGTTTAGGAAGTATCTCTCCCACATTCCTTTGTAAAGTCCACCTCCTCCTCCTCAAAACACCAAGTTTCACTGGATCCTCTACAGGTTTGTTTATTTCATATTCTTCCATTAGCAATTCCGATTCTGCAATGGAACAACATCCTATTTCTTACTCAGTTTTCATTTTATTTTCACTCAGAAATTCACAACACTCTATACTGACATTTTCCAGGATATTTGAAAGGCAGTCTTTGACTGGAGGGGGGGGGAGGAAGCACATGATGCATTGGGAAACCCAAATGTTACATTCAAGACGTCACGTGGAGAGACAAACCAGTAAAACAGTATCAGGTGCTGGCCTTATTTAAAAAGGGAGTGGGGAAACCAACAGTGAGCAAGGCTGCATTCACCAGGCAGTTTATTAGTATACATAAAAATGAGCAGGCTGGTCTACCTGCAACAAGTAATGCTTTACTGCAGTGCATGGGAAATAATTTATCAGAGCCTAAATAAGGTTCTGCTACTGCCCTACTTTCAGGTTATCACAAACAGTTGGTTGAAAGTGAAATAACAGTGTTCTAATGATGCGATGTACAGTGGTACCTCGGGTTAAGTACTTAATTCATTCTGGAGGTCTGTTCTTAACCTGAAACTGTTCTTAACCTGAAGCACCACTTTAGCTAATGGGGCCTCCCGCTGCCGCTGCACCGCTGGAACACGATTTCTGTTCTCATCCTGAAGCAAAGTTCTTAACCCAAGGTACTATTTCTGGGTTAGCGGAGTCTGTAACCTGAAGCGTATGTAACCTGAAGTGTATGTAACCCGAGGTATCACTATAGATATACTATGAAAGACAAATGAACAGCTTAATGCCGAGTTTTGATGCTTCATTTTTGACCTTATCTTCCAATGGTACTCGATGGGTCATTCCACATACTTGCATGAGCAGTGTTCAAGAGCAGACACATCTGCTGGAAGGCTACCAAAAGGTAATAAATAAAGTTAAGAAACAGTCTTTAAACTGTTTCTAAAAGCTGGGAAGGTCCAAGGCTGTTCTAAAGAATAATTCTTGTGAAAATCCTGCAAATCGCACCACCACATAGAACTATGCAGTGCTATCAAATATCACAGCTATGAATGCAATTTGGAATCATCAGCAAGGAGGAGACACAGCACTTACCAAGTTGCTTAAAGTTTTCTCCTATCCCACCCCATGTGTTTTTCTCTATTATATTCTTGACAAGCCCCCATGGTTGCTTTCTGTATTTCACATCTGAGGAGATCCTGCAGCAAAAAGAATAATAAGGTTAGCAACTGACTGCAATACAAGGAACATTAAGGACAGAGGCATGCTTTTCCACCCACTATGAGAGCAATTTTGTCGGTCTTTGCAGCTCAAAACAACAAGCTGTTTACATGAGGCAAAGGCATGGTCACTAGGTAACACCTTCTTCACCCATGCCAGTAGCCAAAAGGAGGAGATGCATAGAAGACTTGGTCTATGCTGAACACAGTATTGTACTTTCGAGTGCACACACACACTGGCTTTAAAAGGCTATTATAGATTACACTGCCAGCTGTAACCTGATGATGAACTCTACTGAAAAGGCAGTTGGAGAAAGCTCACAACACATGTTTATAGGTCTGTTCAATACCCTGGCAAAAATAGAAGCAAAGAAACAAGTAAACGCCTGTTTCTGTCAACAGATCGTTTTCCAACTACCAAAGTAAACAGGGAAGAGAATTTGTGCAAAAGAAATTTGTGCAGAAGAACCAGTTTTACCAAACTGAGTGCAGTCGTTTTTGACTGCCTCCAGTTTCCCCATTTAACAATGCAAAATGCCTCACCGTAGTCTGCACTTCTGGCTGGACATGCGAACAATACAATAACTATACACGGTGTAGAAGTAATCGTGGTAAGGTACATCATGTGTCACCACCTCTGTGTCTATCCGATAGCAATGATCTTTGTGGCTCCGTTTATGCAGGACCTATTAGAAAAAATAAAGAAGATTTTTTTAAGATTATAGTTCAAAAATAATTTAAATAATGATTTTATGCATGCAAAAACATTTTCCCCCTCACCATATTGCAATAAACTTAAAACAGCTGAAACAAAAGCATGCTTAAAATGTCACCACACAATGGCTTGCTTTGCATGCAACACTAAGACCAGGCATAGGCAAACTCCGTCCTCCAGATGTTTTGGGACTACAACTCCCATCATCCCTGACCACTGGTCCTGTTAGCTAGGGAGGATGAGAGCTGTAATCCCAAAACATCTGGAGGGCCAAATTTGCCTACGTCTGACTAAGACAAACCATGGTTAAGTACAAATAAGGAGCTTAGCCTTATGTCGGAACCAATGTTTGTCTCTCCCAGAGAAGCCAAGAACATACCTTGTCTACAGCTCATGGTTCGTCTGAAGTGAGACAAACCATCAGCCCAGGTTTAAATATAATGCTAAGCCAAACCTTGGTTTAGCCCTGGGAAGCACAGAAGTAGCAGGAATGGGGAGAATTAAAGTGGCCATGATTTTTGCTGTGAGTACCTGCACACTCATTCATTCATACTTACACATGGTCTATCTTAGTACAGTCATACCTCGGGTTGAACATGCTTTGGGATGAGCGCGTTCGAGTTGCGCTCTGTGGCAACCCGGAAGTAACGGAACGCATTACTTCCAGGCTTCGCTGCTTGTGCATGCGCAGACGCTCAAAATGATGTCACGCGCCTGTGCAGAAAAGCAGCGTGCGCAGACGTGCCGTCGCTAGTTACGTTTGCTTCTAGATGTGAACGGGGCTCCAGAACAGATCCCGTTCGCATCTAGAGGTACGACTGTATTACGTACAATCCCAGCCAATATATAGGCTGAGATAAACATAAATGATAATCTATTTCAAAATAAACTATTAAACAGGTATTCTTAATTTGATTATTGAAGTATTTCATTATTACCCTTTACTTCATTTTGAAACAAAGATACACCAATACTAACTTGAATCTACAAAATTCAATAAAACATGCTCACTTGTCAATAAAATGGATCCATTATTAAGCTTTCCTCTTGTTCTTACGTATTTTGCCCATTTGGCCATTGCTATAGGATCCCACACCTTTACAAACTTGGTGTTTTAGGCAACTTCCATACTTGGCATAAACTAATAACCCCCAACAGAGTTTTGTACCTGCTTTTCTGTGGCAGTCGTGAATTTTCCAACAAGTGGATTGTTGAGCCCAATAGTGTACGTCATGGTCCTCAGCTGATTGCCTCCAATGTCTCTGTTCCAAGGGGTTGTTACAGCATCTAGACCCAAAACATGTAATCAATCATGTCTAGCCATTTACACATATCATCTTAATCCTTAAACTTGTTGAAAGTGACTGGAGGAAACAAAACTACCCAGGAATCATAGGTAACTTGTCTTACGCCTTGCATCTCCATGTGTGTAAAATGAGTTAAAATATGCAGCCATCAAGATATAGTCATTTCTGATAAACAATAATGAGTTTTTGGTCACTGGTTGCAATATGTATCCATTTAACTATAGAACTACACATTATAAGGAGCTTGGATCTACTGTCAATAGTGATGGCCTATGTCAAGGTCTCTCCATAACCCAATCATCTGTAATTTATAGCAAGACTTTTCTGTTTCTTGACATCATTTTGTTGCAAATTTCTCTGTTCTCCCCAGTGGTGGCCACTTATGCGGAGTTGGGGTAGGTAAAGACAGCAATATGAAAGAAGTAGGTTTTACTGCATGTTACAAAGGGAGAAGAAGTGACATAATTTGTCATCTTTGGTAGCAGCCCAAGAGGACAAGAAAATCATGAATCAGTTGAAGGGGATACAGGCAAAAATACATCACTGCTTCTTGAAAAAGGTGAATCCACTTGCAAAGAAGGAGCATCTACAGTGGGAAAAGCTCTCAAGGAAGGAGAGAATTCTAGGTGTTTACTTTACAGAGAAAACTATCATAAGAATAACCAGCATCAAACTGTGGTTTCACGTCACAGTGTGTTGGTCCCTAGGGTTGCCATACGTCTGGAAACCTCAACGACATGGCAACCCTATTGGTCCCAAATAAACAAACTGATTTTTCCATGAAAGGGTATAAAGTTATTTCAATGTAAATTTTAAAAGGAATAATACTTTACCTGTTATGTTTCTGGTACTAAAATATCTTTGCATGAAATGGGAATTAGTGAAAAGCATTTCAAACAGCCTATCTGCACCAATGCGGAAAACCCGATTAATAAAGAGTTTTCCATGGAGGTCGCTCTCAGGGAATGTTTCCTCATCTGTGGGAGGGAAAGTGTACAAAGTAGAGGTCAGGCAAACAGGCGGCAAAACACAGTAAAACATACCCAAAGGAAAACAAACATTTCTTGCAAAATTCAAATTTAGTACACCACTCTAGAACAGTAAATTGTCTCTAGAGTAGACTTGTGAGACAATCTGCTATCTTACAAAGAACATAAGAAGAGTCGTACATGAACAGATAAAGCTTAAACGCACCCAATGCAGGTGTACAAGCAGGTATGTCAACACATGATGCCAAGCGTTAGAGGAAAGAAGCATTTCCTTCATCTTACACCAAGGCTCAAGACTTTCAGAGAATGACACCTGGTAACTGACTCTTGTGCTAAACAGCAAGAGGATTGCTACTCTCTGTTCTCTGTTAGGTTTATGTCTGCCAGTTCAGCTTGGCTGGGGAGAGAGAGACTGAGACAGAGAGAAATTAAGCTCAGAAGTACTGTGATTACCTTTGATGCCCTTAGCAATAGTGTACTGCATATGGAATCAAGCTACGTAAAGGGCTGCCTAAATCCATATGAACCTGCCAGGGATTTGAGAACAGCTACAAGGGCTTGCCTCATTTGCCCACCAGGAAGGAAGGTTAAGCTGACAGGGACAGGGGGCAGGACCTTTTCTGCAACGGCTCCATGGCTATGAAACTCCCTTCCCTAAGATATACCACTCCTTGGTAGTGTTCAGATGGACTCTTAAAACTTTTTTATTATTATCAAGTATTGTTTTTAGGCAGTAGCCTTAATTTATAAACTTATACTGATATGGCTGGCCGTAATATATTTGTGTTTTTTTTAAAAAAGGATGTTATTATTACAATTACAGTGGTACCTCAGGTTAAGTACTTAATTCGTTCTAGAGGTCCGTACTTAACCTGAAACTGTTCTTAACCTGAAGCACCACTTTAGCTAATGGGGCCTCCTGCTGCTGCTGCGCCGCCAGAGCACGGTTTCTGTTCTCATCCTGAAACAAAGTTCTTAACCCGAGGTAATATTTCTGGGTTAGCGGAGTCTGTAACCTGAAGCGTATATAACCTGAAGCGTATGTAACCTGAGGTACCACTGTATGTTGTTTATGTTTTATATGTTTTGTATTGTTTTCACACACAGTGAGGGGGAATATAGGCAATGGCATGATAGCAGCACTGTGTGTAATATTTAAGAGTGAATAAATAACTACTGAATTGATTCTCATTCTCCAAAAGTAAAGTAAAAGTTAAGTCAGACCTAACATATTTTGGTGATGAGGGGAGAAAAGAAAAGAAGAGCAAGAGTATCCTTCATCATGTTCTCAGTACTGAGAGAAATCAGGACTACAGTACAAAACTGAGATGTGGTGCTTGTGCAGTGGAGTCCATATAGTAATGACTGCTGAAAGCAAATACCACAGAGAGGAATCTGAGATGGTGCAATGTTCTCTATACTAACAATAGACAAGTACTGCAATATCCTAAAATATCCAGGCGTGGTAATTAGAGGCAAACATCGACCCACATGATAAATGCAAGTGAATACAATGAAAAGTGTTTTATTTTCCACATGATCTACAGTTCTGGCTGCTACAGAGTCATGCTCACTGCATTTAGAATCTAAAAAAGTATATCTATTCAAACTAGCAAAGAATGGGGCAAGAACACTTTTGTGCTGTAATCAAAATCAGGAAATTAAACTTAAAAGTACTAGGGTACAGAATGTCAGTACGTTCATAATGACAAGGTGCACATGTCACTGGAGACTTTAATATAGAGATATGCCTCTTAGCCCACTAATCACAAGCAATTACTCGCTCTGTGCAGTTGCTCACACTGCCAGAGAGGTGTGTTGCAGTATAGAAACGAAAAGGAACAAACCACAAGGTAAGGAAATGTTTCCTGACAAGGTTCAGTGTTTATCTTGCAAATAATATTCCTTGGGTGGTTGTTGCTGTTTTGGTTACACATTTTTTTTAAAAAATGCTTACCCTTATAAAAAGCTCAGCTGCTTGCAGAAAGGAGACCTATATAATGGCCCCTGGGGAACACACTGAGCCTGTGCACATTCACTGCATTCCTATATCCCTGTGATCCCTGTCAATGGGCACTCATGTAGGAAAAAACAGTATTCACTAATAACCCTTCAGTGGATGACACAATATGGATTGTATCAAATGGTCTTCATTGGCAGAAGGCTCTTTGATTTAGCAGAGGCTTTCATCAATAGAATGGGAATTGTGGATTTTGTTGATTCTCCCTTTCCCTGCACCACCTCCCATGCTGTTCTGAAGGGTTTTTGCAGCACTGGAGGAGATTGAAAGGCAAATTAGCAAAAACTGCCTTGCTGTTTTGTTGATGGCAGCTTCTGCTTGATCAAAGTGCCTTTCATTCAGCAAAGAGACACCACTGCATACAACACTTCATTTCAGCTAACTGGGGGTGAGTGTTTCGTAGCTATATTTAAAAGCTTTTCCTAGTACTTTTTGGAAACTAACTTGCATGACTGTTGAAATGCAAGGCAGCCTTTCACTCCCTTTACCCCCAGTATGCTGGTCCAGAGAAGCGGACACGGAGCAATGGATCCAAACTGCAAGAAAGAAGATTCCACCTAAACATTAGGAAGAACTTCCTGACAGTAAGAGCTGTTCGACAGTGGAATTTGCTGCCAAGGAGTGTGGTGGAGTCTCCTTCTTTGGAGGTCTTTAAGCAGAGGCTTGACAACCATATGTCAGGAGTGCTCTGATGGTGTTTCCTGCTTGGCAGGGGGTTGGACTCGATGGCCCTTGTGGTCTCTTCCAACTCTATGATTCTATGATTCTATGATTCTATGGGCTAATCAGTCGCACACACCTGCCTGAATGTGCAGAATTCTGCTTTTGGCATGTCAAAGCTAAGTGGCACTTATCTGGGCACACCAAAAGCTAATGCTTGCACATGGTAACTAGCAATATAACCATTTCATCTTAGGCCAAACACAGCACCTGGATGTCAGTGTGGACAAGGTTATTTTCTTAATTGCTCCCAACCACATGGTCAAGGCAAAGTTTCTCAGCAACACTCCTGAAGGTCTTTACAAAGGAAGAAGCCACAGACTGAACAAATCGAAGCAAAGACAGCCCAGCCTTGAATGCCTCTCTCCAACATCAGACTAAGGACATAAGAAACTGCCAAACCGTAGCTGTATATAGAGGGATGGCTGCGAAAATGAAGTGAAAGCTAAAACTGAACACTGCTTACATTTAGAATACAGTGGTACCTCCGGTTGTGCATGGGATCCGTTCCGGAGCTCTGGTTGGATCCCGAGGAATTCGCAACCGGGGGTGCTACTTCTGCACATGCGCGTGGAACATAGAGCGCTTCTGCGCATGCTATGAGACCCAGAAAAATACTTCCGGGTTTGCCGGGTTCACATCCTGAAGGATATGCAACCAGAGTTGTGCGTATCCAGAGGTACCACTGTATATTCATTTTAGTTCAGAGATCATTCAAACATTTTTGAAAAATAATCAGAAGTACTAACAAAAAAGACCCTTCCTGCCTGTGCAACACGAATCTTATCTACGTTAAAAATAAACTGTCCATATTCCAAAGCAACAGATTTCTGTGGCAACTAATACCGTTAAGTGACAGATGTACCATTTGCAAAATGCAATATTGAAACAAGACATTTCAGTCTTTGCCAATCTCACTTTTTATGTCAATATAGCCAAGCAACACAGTAACTCAAATTTATTGGAGTTGGGAGGGTTGTGTGGATCAGCCTTTCCCAAACTGGTGCTCTCCAGTTTTTGGAACTACACCTCCCAGCCAACATGGACAATGGTCAAGGATGATAGGAGTTGCAGTCCAAAACGTCTGGAGGCCATCAGGCTGGGGAAGACTGGTGTGAATGCAATGAGACTGGCAAAACTTTCTGATGTGTTTTATTTATTGCCCATGACTACTTTTGTTAATGGGACATGGGTGGCGCTGTGGTCTAAACCACTGAGCCTCTCAGGCTTGCCAATCAGAAGGTCGGCAGTTCGAATCCCTGAATCGAGGTGAGCTCCCATTGCTCTGTCCCAGCTCCTGCCAACTTAGCAGTTCGAAAGCACCCCAAAAAGTGCAAGTAGATAAATAGGTACTGCTCCGGCATGAAGGTAAACGACATTTCCGTGCGCTGCTCTGGTTTCAGTGTTCCGTTGCGCCAGAAGCAGCTTAGTCATGCTGGCCACATGACCCAGAAAAACTGTCTGCGGACAAATGCCAGCTCCCTCGGCCTATAAAGCGAGATGAGCGCTGCAACCCCAGAGTCGTCTGCGACTGGACTTAATTGTCAGGGGTCCTTTACCACTACCTTTGTTAAGCTTGTAATTATGCAATGTTTTATGTTGCAAGTCAACTTGAGCACAGTTTTAAGAATGGAAAGGCAGCGTACAAATAAAATGATGAACGAGTAATGTGAGGGCATCATCAGAAGCCAACATCAGGGTTAGTAATACAGCAGAGAGGGACAATAGTGTAATGGTTGTTGGTAGTGCTACTCTACCTTTGTTTTTAAATGCAGTTTTTGTGCTTTCATCAATGCTTCTTTGAGTGCATAAGACTTCAATGACATTATCTGATGCAAGCAGCAGAGTTGCAATTGCTAGCATAGTCACAGTGGCCCGCCTATCAACAACTACCTATGCTGGAAATAAATGGCGTAAATGTACAGCAGACCCATGGATTTCATGCTTCCACATTACCCTTTGTTTACTTTAGCTGTCCCTTCCTGGGACCAGGTTTTAAGGACTTTGTTTATGAAATGGAAACAATTTACCTTCTTCGTCGCTTTCTGACGCACTGCTCTTCTCTTGAGCGAAGTTCTCATTTAGATCCGGTGACTGTATTGAAAATTTGCGTTGTGCTACATCAGCTGGCTTCCTTTCTGAAGGAAGCAGAGAACTCCTCCTGTCCTGTTTATCACAGTGCAATTCCTCTAACTCAGGGCCCTAGTGAAAGAGAGCATCCACACAGTCCATCACGTTTATTTTCCAAGGAGCTACAGTTAAAATTGTATTAGGACTACTATTCACAATTTCCTGATAAAAAAGAAAGAACAGCAGAAAGAACTCTTGAACACATAGGCCCCAAAATATGCATTCTTCATAACAGGTTCTAGGGACGCGGGTGGCGTGTGGGTTAAACCACAGAGCCTAGGACTAGCTGATCAGAAGGTCGGCGGTTCGAATCCCCGCGACGGGGTGAGCTCCCGTTGCTCGGTCCCTGCTCCTGCCAACCTAGCAGTTCGAAAGCACGTCAAAGTGCAAGTAGATAAATAGGTATTGCTCTAGCGGGAAGGTAAACGGCGTTTCCGTGCGCTGCTCTGATTCGCCAGAAGCGACTTAGTCATGCTGGCCACATGACCTGCTGTACGCCGGTTCCCTCGGCCAATAAGGCGAGATGAGCGCCACAACCCCAGAGTCAGTCACGACTGGACCTAATGGTTAGGGGTCCCGTTACCTTTACCTTATAACAGGTTCTATAAAACAGGTTTTTGGATGTCTGCATAAAATGCACCAAGCACTGTTGCCGTGCAATCTGTTCATTTCAATGGAGCATGCACAGAGTTCCCATGCAAAACCTATTGAAATTAAAAGGGTTAACAGCAGCTCTGTTTTTTAAACTTTCCATTATATATTTATAATAAATATGTATGAAGCACCTTGAGTGGGTGTGGGGGAAAATGTTATATAAATATTAATTATTGCAGTAGTTACTGAAGTAAAGTAATTGTTACCACATTTTGCTTAGTGCTGAAACTTTGTGAATACTAAATTAGAATTATGTGCCGAACAGAATGTTGATATATTTTTAAGATAATGAGAGTACTTCAGATCTGTCGTTAACAAAACTTCAGAGATTTCAAATGCCAGGAAAATGTGGGAAATGTGGGAGTGAAAGCAGATATGGGTATTACATATCATAACAGAATTAGCAGTCTGAAATGTGTCGAGCAAAAATATCTGGATTTCAAATTAATTATATGGGAACGATCAGCATGCCTTGAAGTGAAGTATTCCCACCCATCTCAACTCAAATTGCACACAGAGGCACAATGATCAGAACAAGATTTAATCTATCAAGGACAATGTCAAGAAGAAGAAGAAGAAGAAGAAGAAGAAGAAGAAGAAGAAGAAGAAGAAGAAGAAGAGGAGTTTGGATTTGATATCCCGCCTTTCACTCCCCTTCAGGAGTCTCAAAGCGGCTAACATTCTCCTTTCCCTTCCTCCCCCACAACAAACACTCTGTGAGGTGAGTGGGGCTGAGAGACTTCAAAGAAGTGTGACTAGCCCAAGGTCACCCAGCAGCTGCATGTGGAGGAGCGGGGAAGAGAACCTGGTTCCCCAGATTACGAGACTACCGCTCTTAACCACTATACCACACTGGCTCTCAAGATTCCATTGTTGTTGTTTTTCATTTCCCATACAAATTTGTAAGCTCATTAAGTGTTCATATACAGCGCATGATGTGCAGCAGAAAATAGATAAATAGATTTCTACTTCCCTTTCAAATCTGGGGGGGGGGGAGGACAGGACTACCACAAGTTGCTCAAAAATACTTTTATAAGACAACTTCTAGCAACGAATTGTGGGAGTGGGAGCAGGGAAGATGCACTGGAAGAGCAATTACCATATCTATTCTCCCACTGTTTTCCTATGGGCAGATTGAGAAGTACTTTTTCTTTTCCCTTCTCATTGGTTACAGTGTGAAATACTGTCTTTTTCCATCTATAAGATGCTCCCATGTATAAGAAGTTCCCTATTTGGGGGGACTCAGATTTAAGAAAATGGCCTCGGCACTATCCGTGTATAAAATGCCCCCTAATTTTTGACATAATTTATTAGGGAAAAAACCTAGCCTTATACACGGAAAAATACGGTAATTCACTATTCCAGCTACAAAGGTAGCATAGGATACCTTCTGAGGGCATGTCGGAGAAACAAAGGGGCTTCAGACGTGGCAAAGCCGCAATCAGCCCGATTACCCCATGTTCGCCTACACTGCTAGTGTTGTACACTGAGGGTGAGAGAGAGGGGGGTACAGAGACTCCTTCATAGCTTACTTCTGTCCGTATGTTTCCATTAAGAGACTCCGTTTCAACTTCAAGTATCTGTGCAATGGGTTCTCGAATTACACCAACTGCTTTAGGTGACTCCTTATCCCCAGATTCGTCACAAAGGCTAGATCTGCCAGAGACAAAAATAGCAGCAGAGTTAACTTACACTTATTTCACATACATTGTTAGTACTTTTTACCATTTTGGAATTCCAATGTGGCAAGTGCAACATTTCAGCCTTAAGACATCCAGTCTTATTACCGCCAAGTTACTCCATTTATTTTCCTGTGCCTTTGAGTAAATATCAGCTTTTCAGACTTTGTCAAAAGTGGTACAACTAACTTGTGTAACATAAAGATGGAAATTAATGCTGCTTTGTTGTATGAATAGAGCACAGAGTTCCTTACCTCTAGTTTATTTTTCCAATCATCTTTTGTGCAGTCATATACAGCATGAGATATCGACAAGGGAGATTAAAGTCAGGACAGAATTTAGACAAATGTCAAAGTGCTTCCTTATAGATGCCTAAATATGCACTTACTCTCTCACCTACTTTAGATAACCCTTCATTGCCAATCTCACTGTCACACAGTAAGCATAACTATGAGCTCTCATCTTTGTTGGATTGACTTTACACAGAGATTTCTGCAACTTCCACACTAGCCATGACCCAGCTTCCTTCACTGCCCACAGCAAGACAGGGAGCAGAATAAATTTCCGAGAACAACCATGTTGATGGCCCATTGCATCTCGCTTTTTCACAACAGAGTTGGGTCTCAGCATGATTGCCAGCTCAATCCATTGGGAAAGAAGAAAACCAGGGCATTCAGGAATCCATTGGATCCCATTAGTCCTCCACACCGGCCAGGAGAAAATGCTGTTGTTAGTTCAAACTCCACTAGGAAATGGTGTGATGATGGCAAAGGTAATTCACACAGTTCCAGAGCACTGCAAACATACAGCTTCTCGTATTTTCATCAGCAGATTTTTATAATCCAGGTAAAAAGAAATAATGTCCTCCAGACATCAAGATCATGGGCCATCTCCCTATTATTAATTAAATTGGTTATGCTTAGAGGAGAAAGCAGGTACTCAAGTCCACATTAGGTTAGAATGTAGATACTACCCTTGTTGGTTCCTAAAAGGCTTACCAAGGATTTTCTCTTAAGAAAATCACAGCTTGCCCTCTGCTTGAAAGGCTTCACCATCAATTAATATAGTACCAAAAATAGATTTTAATAGAATTGAAGGCTATGATGGAATTTCCTCAATAAGGGATTAGCAAATAAAGAAAATGTCCCATTGTTTGTCTGGCTGAAATTACACAGAGGCAAACTTTCAAGGAGAAGGATAATCCCTTGTCCTTGTAAGTAAAGCAGGAAGTCAAAACTAGGCTCCAAATTAGGCACTGGAGTAGAATGCATTTTACCAGGCCACTAACTAGGTTTGTCTAGCTTAACTGAGTCATGAATCCTATGTGGTTTGCTACAGTTTAGAAGGATGGATCCCTTTTGAAAAAGCAGTTGTTAGGTACTACAGTAGGCTGCCAGATGCAGGCATCTCATCATCTCAGTACAGGATCTTGCCTCCGTGTTGGATTATTCTCTCCTCTTTGACAGGTGGAGCAGTTGAATAAACCAAGGCTGATGTGGCCAAAAGCAATATGCACACAGCACTCTCTACTGCCCACTTCTGTACTCTCTGGTCCATTTCTGTCAAACCTTTGCAATCAGTGGACTGCAATGGCACAGGAATCTTAAAGTGTTTTGAGACCAGCCACTGGCCCAGATCCTCGATTCTTAAAGTGGTAGCATGAAGCATGACCCGGTTTAAGAGGATGTGAATTCAAAGTGGCATGCATGCGGTAATATTCAGCAGCACAGATTAGATACTGTCATCTGGAATTCCCATGCATGCAAATAGTAGGGATGGTATCAAGGGTTATGAAAGACATGGTGTCTCTACTTCACCATTGCTGGGTGTGCAAGACACTGTCCTTGATTCTCCCAGTGATCCACAGCAGCCTCCTGGCTAGCAGCACTCTCAAGAACATGTTGTGCTGTCTCTGCACTCAAGAAAACAGGGTCATATTGATTCCTGAGGCCCTAGGATTGGTATAGTATAATACCCCGGTTCTGGTAGTTTAGCATCCATAGCACTAGAAGTTGAGACAGCATTTTGTTTCAATGTGGTTATCATGTTCACCAGAAACATCATTTCCTTATAGAAAGTTGCCAACACTAAATGTTGATCCAAAAACTAGGAGAGGAAACGTTTCAACCTTCTCAGACCCAGGAATTTCTTGCTGCCCCACAGTGGCTAGTGGGGGGGGGAGGAGAAGAAAGTCTATGAGCAAGCCTTTGAAAAATGTGTTTAATCAGCAAGAAGGACAGGGTTGTGAGCCTCTTGGAAGCTTGACTCTAGAATCTTTGTGTGTTAAGGGTTGCTAATGCATACCCCCCAAATGTGGGGATACAGACATAAACAGACACAAAACAGAAGGGTTATAGTTGCCTTCTCCAACGGCTGTGCTAGCTTGGACTGATGGAAATTGTAGTACAAAGTAGCTGGAGCGCACTGTATTGAAGAAGGCTGGCCGGCCTATAGGCATCATTAAAGATGAGAATAATTGGCATTCTACCCTTCACCACAATATTGTATATAAAAGTACTAAGACATTTCTATACAATATTGTGAAGGATGCAACAAAAATTACTATGCTGTAATATTACAGAAACTACATTTTTCACAAACAAGAAAGCTTCTTGGTATTGTCAAGAGCTGAAATAAGGGATGTAGGCTTCGTCTTTTTAAAGCAAAAACACATTTTAAAGCTGCTGTGAAACAACAGATGTGATAGAAGGATAGAAGTTAACGTCTGCTCAAGCTCTTGCAACCAAAGGAACTCAACTGTTTTACTTACTGTACATGAAGCAAAAATACATGTACGTGTGTGTGTGTGTGTGTGTGCGCGCGCGCGTGCGTGCACATGCACGTGTGCCTATGCATGCACACACCAAGAGGGACTAATAGAAGGAATCATACCCATATATTACCTAGAGCTTCTTTGACTAGAAAACTGATTTAACACAGAAGTCCACTCACTCAATGAATCCAAAGTATAAACAATTTCCACAAAGGACACCCAAAAGACGAAGTTCCCTTCTCTTCCCATGAAACCTGAGCAGATAAAGTAGATCTTGCACTTGAACTGCTAAATGTATACATGATCTTATTAGGTAAGCGTCAGCCCCAAGACAAGTAAAAATAGCACCTTCGAAAAGGAATATGCTAAATCCTTGAAAACACCTTTCATTGGATATTTAGCATCATACTTCCACACATTCCTTTTCAGTTTGGTTTAGATATCATCACTAACTTGCCCATGCAAGTTGCCAAAAGGCCTCTACCCCTGTAGCAGAAAGACATGGAAGCCAGTTAACATTTACATGCTCTTTACCCTATGCAACACCTGCACGTAGCAGTGCCACTGCTGCATGGTTTGCACTAAAAGTTCCCAATATACCGTATTTTTTGCTCTATAAGACTCACTTTTTCCCTCCTAAAAAGTAAGGGGAAATGTGTGTGCCTCTTATGGAGCGAATGCAGGCTGCGCAGCTATCCCAGAAGCCAGGACAGCAAGAGGGATCGCTGCTTTCGCTGCACAGCGATCCCTCTTGATGTTTTGGCTTCTGAGATTCAGAATATTTTTTTTCTTGTTTTCCTCCTCCAAAAACTAGGTGCATCTTACGGTCTGGTGCGTCTTATAGGGCGAAAATACGGTACTATGGCATCCAACCAGCAACACGTGTGTTGCTACTGCTTGAACATGCAAGCCAGCATCACCGCGGATACAACCTTTTCATCAATCTAAGCAAGCAAGTGGTAATCTCTAAACTAGCTCGGAATTAGAAGGGCAAAATAGAAGTTATACCTGCTTTATATCTGCATAGGAAGAGGATCGTGCCGAAAAATGAAAACACCACTAATAAGCAAAACTCTATGTGCGTTCAAAAGTAGCCTTTCAAATGACTTGCATAAAATGGGATGCCAATAATATGTACCTTCCTTTGTGGTAATCTGCAGCATATTCTTACCTTGACTGTCCATTCTCCTCTGATGAAGAATAAATGTTTTCCATCTCTTCCGTGTTCAAGCCCAGCTCAGAGCCATAGCTTTGCTGTACAAGCTGCCAGAATTCTTGCTTGGTCAGTCTCTGGAAAACACAAAACAAAAAATTAAGTACGCTTGGTCAGTAACCACAGTAGATGGCTTGTCTTTTAAAGTTATATCCTATTTAAGCAGAGGTAACAAATGCTCTTATTCACTTAAAAAATAATAATCCCTGTTGCTAGTAATGTTCAATCTATGATCCACAGTATATCTAGCTGCATTTATAAATAAAAATGTGAAACAGAGCTTTCGCTCTAACACCCATTTTCAACTCTAACAGAAAACTAACAATACAAACCCATCATTATAGATTAATTATCTTTAAGATAGTACACTCCCGGTACTTTTCCATATGGCTATTGAGATCCAAGACCACTATAGTCTTTGCCCCCTCCCACCCCAATTCCTGAAATATTTTTTTTAGAAAAAACCTTCTCCAAGTCGTTTTAACTGCTGTGAACAGCTGCATCCTCTCAGCTGACATTAGTTGTACAACAATACCACAATCCCCTCTTAGCCAGCTGTCTACAGGTCAAGTGGCTTCTTCACTCAACTGCTGAAGAGGCTCCAAGCATAGTGACAACAGCAAAATAGCATGTGAACCAAAGCAATGTAGAGTTACCCAACTCAAACACAGGAGTCAAAGATAGCTCACTACGTTAACAAAAAAAATCAGATCCTATGTTGATCATGAATTAACCATCACTGAACTGTTTTCTCCCTTGTCTCCTCTCTTGCCAGAACATATTCACAAACCTGCCTTGAAATGATGTACTAGGATTACATGTTTAATGTTAAAGCAGGACGCACAGGGTGGTATAAAACTCACTAAAGCATAAGTACGCTTGCCATTTGTACCTAACTACTGACAAACATCAGAAGCATTAAAAAACTTTCCAAATATGCTTTCTCCTAGCCTAGGAGAAATAGAAGATTTCCTCCACCTCATTGAGATGTGACACAATAGTGTTGTGAACTGCACTTTCTGTTCACTGTGAGTGGCCAGGATTGTTAACTAGAGAACCTCAATGGTCCTTAATGACCAGAAATGTTTTTTTTCTGATAGCCAGAAGGCCTTTGTTGGCCTATGGAATATACATTGGTACCTCGGGTTAAGAACTTAATTCATTCTGGAGCTCCATTCTTAACCTGAAACTGTTCTTAACCTGAGGTACCACTTTAGCTAATGGGGCCTCCCGCTGCCGCCGTGCCGCCACCGCGCAATTTCTGTTCTCATCCTGAAGCAAAGTTCTTAACCTGAAGCACTATTTCTGGGTTAGTGGAGTCTGTAACCTGAAGCATCTGTAACCTGAAGCGTCTGTAACCCGAGGTACCACTATAGTACCAATCAGAATTTGGAAGACAACACCTCTCAGAGTTAAGGGAATAGTCTGAAAGCACATGATGCGACAACCTTTTTGAAGTTAAGCACGCTATGGGCTCTGGTCAGGATGAAGATTGGAGACTGCCTACAATCTATATGTAAGCTACTTTCAGTTTCATTATGGAATAGCAGCAGGTTATAAATTTAATAAATAAGAAGAGTTGCAGAGAAACAGTTTGGAGCTAGGATTTGCATTTTAAATGGAGAGAAGATCTCTCTCTCTCTCTCTCTCTCTCACACACACACACACACACACACACAGAATCTGGAGGTGCAGGGTCCCTCTCTGACACTTGGATACAGGTTTAGCAGACTAGCTGCCTGTCGTAGCCTTGTATTTGCTACCAGTATTCTCTGCTTGTATATTTGTAAATACTGTAAATAACAAAAGGTGTCAAAAGTCTGTAATGTACTCATTCAAAACATATCAGAAACTAAACTCTGTAACACAGCCAATACCAAACATTCCAGAATTTCTAAATTCAGGTGTTAGCAGAGGAGGCAAGTAGCATGAGGCCTATGCTTTCTTCCCCTTTTCCGCCATTATTTTTCCATCCCTCTTTGCCCGTATTTGTTTATATGACCTTGAGTGTGGGCCAGTTGACATTTCACGTGGCAGTCACATTTGCTGTGGTAAATAACTGAAACACCCAATGGCCTGTTCGCACAAAACAGTCTAAGCAAAATTATGATTTAGCTATGGCTTACACTGCGCTACTGGGCCCAGTTCAAAATGTTAGTCCTAGCATACATAGTCCCAAGGTAGTGAGGTATGTCTGTCTCTCTCATTAACTTTTAGGAAGAATCTAAAAACATTTCTGTTTACTTAGGCATTTGGTGGCTGAAAGATCTTTTCCTGGCAATACTGGAATTACTGAGTGAGTTCTTGGTTTTTTTTAGAAGTTTTAAACTATTTTTAGAAAATTGTTTTTAAACTGCTTTTAAAAGTTTTAGCTGTATTCTAAGTTTCATAAAAACAACAACAGCAATCTTGAGAAACCTGAGAGCTCTCAGTTTCCCACTGTAGGTGCTGCCCTGTGAAAATTGTAACCAATGAATTCATACATTTTCCATTTCAGCTATTAAAAGTATTGCCATTTCTATAAATATGCTTCTCAAAATGTGGAGGAAATGAGATTTAAAAAATAATTATACTTGTCTTCTCTGTACTTGCATTGTTGAGAAAAACTAATATGCCATTGAAATGAACTTTGGCCCTCCAAGAAGGCAAGACAGCTACTGTACAATCAAGGGTCTTTCGCAGTCAAAGTACAGGCAGCTGGTTTTGAAGGTAAGTAAACTGAGAGAATCTCAGATGAATGACCAACCATACTGTTTTGTGCTCCCCACTTCCTCAAGCAGCGAAAAGCTCCAGGGGCACAGCAAAAGAATTTAGCCTCCTTTGGACATGGGAAATTTAGTGACAGATACAACAGAGTGCATCTGCTCACATGGGAGGGTTCTTAAGTCCTTCACCCAGCCGCAGCCTCCCCACTCCTCATGCCCCATCAAGACCCTTTTGCTAACATAAAGCGGCGGGTCTCAGATTTCCCAAGACAGCTTATCCCAGTTTTATCCCCTCATACCACATCAATGTACATCATTGATGAGGCCTCCTCTGAAACGACTAAATGGAGCTGAAGTGAGAAGGGCATGGAAATGTACTGTTCCATGCATAGAATTCAGAGTAGTAATAGCACTAGGATTGGCTTTCTAATATTTGATTTTATTTACAACAGGAGTGGGGAACCTCCTGTGGCCCCCCAGATGTTGCTGGACTCCAACTCCCACTGGTCATCCTGGCTGGAGCTGGTAGGAGCTGCCCCAATACATCTGGAGGATCGCAAGTCCCCTGACCCTGATTTACAAATATACAGGCATTACTTCAGCGGACAGCAAGTCCCTAAAGAACTATTTGTGCATGCTTCACCAAGTTCTCCCTCTACCTGGCTTTATTCAAATTGTGCGGGTTTTTTTCCTCCCACCCCCAGAAACACACCCCTTGTGTACAGCACTGGTCATAGATGCCACCATTGTAAATGAATTGGCCATTCAGGAAATAGCTACACCCATTAAAGGAATATTAAGGTTCTCCCCCCCCTAAATCCCAACTCCAATCAGGTGATATACCCACTAACAGGAATCAGACAAGCAAACTCACGTTTATGCTCCAACTATACTGTGTAACTCATTCACCACGAGAACTCAAGCTTTCCTAATGAATTAATGGTAACTATTTGCCATTCATTTGAAGCCAGTAGAAAATATTTGCTCAAGCATGCCACGTAAGTCAGAATGTATGGCAGAAAACTTTCCATCAAATAATATATTCACAAGTTACCAATACACACAAAATGCTCCCTCGGGAGAATACAGATTTAAAACTAGTAGGTTTCTCACGCAAGACTTAACCCACTCTCCCTGCATCATTCACCTGCAACTTGCCGCACGAAAAGAAAATGAAACCTTACATTTGCAGTTCCATAATGTAGGCAACTTCATAGTGGCATTCAGGAAACTGGACACATCTTCGGGGAAAAGTTGGCAGAGAGCACTTCAACAACCTCCCGTAGGTTTAAAATCATTGCATAATATTCAGGATTTCCTGTAGTGCCGAAGAACCCTCTCATGGCCACATGGCTTACAAGCTGGTCCAGGCTATACAAGTAGAATGTAATAAAAAGGAAGATCACTGCCCCCACCCCCACCCCCCGTAGACAAATGCCTCCGCAATATAGTGGCAAACAACCTGGAGTGATCAAGAGGTCATGAAGAAAAGCGCTGGAGAGAAAGAGCTGCATTTATGTAACTTCCTACTACAGGCACTTTGCAAGCTGCTGAAAAATGGGCAGGTCTGTTTTCAGAACTGGAAGTGGGACGTGCTTTGCTCCTGCTCAGTTCCTGGGGCCCTCCCACTAAGAAAACAGGTAAGCAGGTTATAGGAAAACATACGGCTCAGGATTCCTAAGAATCTATCAAGCAGGTTCCTCCCCACCACAGAACACCTGGATAGACAGGAAAACAGGTGTGGTTACCCGGCTTTTGAGAGAATTTATCTTCTGCTCCTCATGCACAATTCATTTAAAAATGCCTTAAGTCTCTAACACTATCTCAGGGGAGCTGCTTTCAAGGCTGCTTAGTACGCTAATGCTGCTATTAGTTCCACTCAAAGCCGGTCAAGCCACAGTTTGTTGCAGGGACAGCATTCCTGGGCAGAGCTTCCTTATCAGGTTTCTCTTTAACCCTTTCACTAACATGCACATACATTAGGGGGGCGGGGAGTGCAGGCTATAAATAGAGAGGGGGAAATCACACTTGACTAGAAGGCCCAGAAAGCCCAGCCACTTCTGAAAAAGCAAACCAGTACCAGCCCTTCCAGAGTAGACCAGTCAGCACTGACAAGGCACCCTTTGCCATGTCTGCCCCTCAACTTACCTTCCTTTCTAGGCTGGCGAAGCAGCTGCTGTGATTGAACATTCACACTGCTTGTGATTTTATTACATGATAATTTAATAATTACACAGCATTTGCTGTGAAACTCTTTATCTTCCAGAAAATTGCAGATTCCGGAATTTGAAACCCTGTACAGGGCATCATGAATAAACTGAAGCTCAATCCAGACAAGACTGAGGCATTGTTAGTTGGCAGTTCCCTAGACTAGATGGATGGCAGGTTGCCTGCTCTTCATAGGGTAACACTCACTCTGAAGGACCGGGAACATAGCTTGCTTTGGGTGCTTCTGGGTCCTTTGCTGTTGCTTGTGGCTTAGGAAGCTTCAGTGGTGCAGAGTGCCTTCTATCAGCTTTGGCTGGTGGCCCAGCCATGTCCCTATCTGGGCAGGGATAGCCTAATCTCTGTCATCTATGCTCTGGTAAACTCTAGGTTAGAGATGACCACAACACGTTATACATAGGGTTGCCTCTGAAAATGGTTCACAATTCAGCAGCTAAGGCAAAACAGTTCAAGCATACGACACCAATCCTGGCCTGACTGCACTGGCTACCAGTTAGTTTCTGGGCCCAATTCCATGTGCTGGTTTTGACCTATAAAGCTTTAAACGGCTCTGGACTACAATACCTCAAGGACTGCCTCTCACCATATGAACTGACCTGGACCCTTCTTTGTGTGCCTCCTCCACACCACAAGAGGTCTGGAGGGCAGCAACATGAGAACGGGCCTTTTCTACAGCAGCTCCCTGTTTATGGAATTTTCTCCTCAGGGGGGTTTGGCCGGTGTCTTCATTATACACCTTCAGGCGCCAGGCGAAAACAGTTCCTCTTCAGCCAGGCCTTTGGCTGATTACTATCTTAGAGGCCTTTCAAATGTTACATACCTTGAGGCACCAGGCAAAAACATTCCCTTTCTCCCAGGCCTTTGGCTAATTAAACAATTTATGGCTTTTTAAACTGGAGGTGGGGAGGGATAATTGTTTTTGTTTGTTACTTTGTTATGAATTTCTGTGTTTTTAAATTGTAAACTGCCCTGTGATCCTCGGATGAAGAGAGGTATAGAGTGTAATAAATAAATAAATAGTTTATTAAATTTGTATTGATAAAAGCAATCATTGATATATATGCCTTCTACCCACAATAAGTAGAGGTGTGTGTCTGCCTGCCTGCCTGCCTGCTAACAACCAATCTCCCTGGACATATTTAACTTTGCTTGCTATGAAAGGAATTCCTTTTATTGATGTTTCTTAAGTCTATAGCCTTTATGGTTGTGAGAAGATACCTTCAGCCTTCAAAAATGTGAATCCAGCATTAAAATACCTCTGCAGTTGCATATGCAACCCCGTAGGCATGAGCTATCTTTTGCTAAGAATGTAAGAGCCCTGATGCTCTTACCAAACACCTGATGCTGAACCAAAACAACGATCTCCCTAGTCCAGCATCTTGTTTCTCACACTGGCAACCTTATGCCTCTGGGTCCCGCTATTGCTTTACAGCACCTGGTATTAAAAGGAATGCTGTCTAATCCTGTTGTGTCAGTTCTCTTCAGTTTCTCTAACCAAAACACTAAAGCTGCCCAGTAGTCGGGGTGGGGGGGAATCCCCTCAATCACAGGAAGATTATGGGTGAACAAGAAACACCTAAAAATATCCAATAGCTGTAAAAAAAGAGAGAATACATAGAAAACCTACAATAGGATGATCTACGTAGACAAAAACACACACAAAGTACCTAATTCCCAATGAATAACAAACACAAGAAAAAAGCTGCTTCACAAACAAGACAGTGGATCTGTTCACCAATTCAAGAGAGCGATCTTTTCTCCTGAATACATTTCTCAGCCCCTTACCAAATGGGTAAGCAGATTCAGTTTAGGGTTTGGATGACACATTAAACTATGGCTAATCAAAAGCAAGCGATAGCTTTCCATCTTCCTGTTGCCATGTTACACTGACAAGCATGGAAACACAAAGCTCGGTGTAGCTCCTTCTCATCCCACTAAACTCAAGTTAATATGATGTTTGAATGTGGCCAGTGTGTTTGAATTCTCTCCCGTATTAAAAATAAATAAACCCCTGAACAAACTAGTACGCTTAAGAGAAGTTTAAATGTTTGGGTTTTTATTTTGTTTTTACGTGAGAGAGAATATTTCAACATGTCATCTTCCACCTGCTACTTGAAACGGCCTATTTTAGGGAAGTAGTGTGCCATGTGGCATTTCTGAACATGTTTAGAACTGCAGTTTAAGTCTTTCTAAGAATATTTTTAGAATAAACCAAAACCTGTTTAAGGATTCAATTCAGTTTTTAAAATAAAGATGCCTAAATCCCTCACTTGGAAACGATTACGTTTGGTAACAGGTAAGTCCAGGGGCCATGCGTGGTTCTGAGGCCTCAGGACTCTTTCTAGGCCACATCCCCTCAGCAGCCCTAACTCTGCAGCCTCCTTGGGTGCTTTTGCCTGTCCTTGAGGAGACATGTATGCATAGAAACCTCTGACCTTTGGTGTTTGGGTGTGTGCACAGAAACCATGGCTGGAATGCAGCCTACTGTATGGTGCAGGGATGGGGAACCTGTGGCCACTAGGTTGTTATTGGAATCCCAACAGCCCCAGCCAGCCCTAGCCAGGATGATGGGAGATGAAGTCCAGCAACATATGGAGGGTCACAGGTTCTACATCCCTGCTAAGAGTCACATGATCTAATGCTCTACCTGTTTCGGCATCTGGCTTAACCCACTGCTGACATGTGGCCCACAACAGGTTGCCCATGAGGGGAATACATTACTCAGGCTGAAAAAGATTTCCTATCCCTTCTTTTCATATCCTTATAGATCACAATATGATTTTGTGTGTGTGTGTGTGTGTGTGTGTGACTAAGATCTCTCCACATCCCAAAGCAGAACTACATCAGGCCTCATGCCAAACCTTGGTAGGCATTATGTGAGCACACAGTTCGGCGCCGTGGGCTTATACTGCCCTCACGTGCCCTCATGTGAAGGCAATTCACTCTCTAACAAAACCTGATCTAATGCAAAAAGTAATGCAACATAAGGCTCTCAAGAACCTACAAGCACTAAAGACCACCTGTCCAAAAAATTACCTTCCTTCTCTCCAACCCTGTTATATAGTGGAGATGTTTAACTTGCATTTATGCCATTTCGCCACGACATCATGTTTTTCTAGCTCTTATTTATGAACCAAATATCACCAAGAAGGCCAGAGCACTAGGATTGACTTTACTGCCTGCCACAGGTATAGACTTCTTATTGTGACAAATCATACACTGAATGTTTTTTAAATTAACATCTAGTCACCTTTACTGTTCTAAACCACACCAATCTTGCACACAAGCACCCTTATGCACTTGATAGCCAGTGCTAATTTTTTAAGAATGCATAACTTAACAAATGCAAGTCTTGGAACTTAGTTGTAGAGTGCAAAGGCAAACAACTAGCAATATATGTTAGAATTCGAGCATTTTAAAAAATGGCCAGTGCAGACATTTCCCAAGCGTATCAAAGCTTACCTTCTCCAACAATGAATTCTGCCACAATCTAAAGATATTGAGGTAGCTTCTGTCTCTGGCACTGAATGAAGTAAAGAAAAACTGCAAAGAAAAATGACAATTGTGTACAATTTGTAATATGATCTGAATGTTGCATATCCTCATCCCAAGGAAAATACATGGAACTAAGGCTACATGATTTCAGTTGATTTTGTTGCCATTAATAAGGCTGTCCCCATCCGGATGGATTTCAGAGGACAACTTAACACACATCTGTTCACACAGGCATTTGGGGGAGGTCCGTTATTGAGAAGGACTATTTCTGACGCTGCTGCTGAGCTGTTTTGATTGGCATAATATGTTTTTAAATTGTGCTTAAATTAATTACTTAAATCACCAAACGTTTATTAGGCACTACAAGTATAGGTTATCATAAAACTTAATAAAACAGCTATGTAAAATATATAATGACACAGGTTTTAATTGGGATTTCTTCCCACTAAATAATGCCATTGACCACTCTAAGAGATACTACTGACAAACACTCAGCCACCCTTGCAGTTACTTCCAGGTTAATGTCAGACAGATAGAATCTGATAGTTTCATTGTGCCATGGTGTTAGACTACCCAAAAAGGGGGAAAGCACATGTTTGTGTAGCTGGTTGTACAATGGACGGTAGAAAAGGATATGTTCTACAGTGTCCAACACATTCAAAGAACATCCACAATGTCTATCATTTCTGGGGATGTTTAAATATCTGCCCTTGACAAAAGCTGGGGGGGAAACATTCAGTCGGGTTAACATAAAGGCCTGCTTTGGACTGGAATTATTAATTTTGAGATATAAGTGACCCTCTTATCTGTTGTATTTAAACCATAGAACTTGAGGGAGCAAATTTTATTTGCAGCTGACTCGATGTTTAGTTTTTCGATGTCCCTTAATCTGGTTTGAATATTGCGATAAATATATTGCTCACTTGAATTATACAAGGGTTCCAAGTCAATACCAATATATCTGATTTTGCTATGTAAGAGTTGGAATCCTCTGGATTTATAAGAGTCCTTAAGTAAGTCAGAGAGCAGACTCAAAGTTGGCAACGGAAATGGCAACGCAACCAGTATTTTATAGGGCTATCCCACACCCATTATTCCATCATGTGTATACCTAGTTCTTCACACATTGTCTCATACTTGATTGAACTTGGGAGCCGCAGGATATGTCTCAAGAAACTTGAGCGTATTTTATCTAAATAACTATTATATGCTTGTATCCATATTGGGATCCTAAAAAGTAGCTGGGATGACACTTTAGCTTGAAAAATGTGTGTATTTTAAATTGTTTTATGGTTTTATTGTGTGTGCTCATCACCCAGATATTACACGATGAGCAGTATGTTTATAAATATAATAACAAAATAAAATGTTTACATTGAGATGCTATACAAATCTAATCAGAAATATATGGAAAAATTGGTTTTTAATACGTAAAAATTTAATGTTATAATATATCAAGATTAAAGATCAGGATTAAAAAGGAGGGAAAGGAATTGCTGGATTAACAAATTGAATTGGAATACAAAAGAGGGAGGTATGAGGAGGTCCGGGAAACAAGTAAACGTAAGAGAAGTGATGAAAAGATGGAATTGTTTTTAACTGGGTTTTTTTTCTTGTACTTTGTCTTTTTCTTTCTTTATTGTTATTTTTCTTATTAATGTAATCTTTTTCTTTTGAAATTTTAATAAATATCATTTAAAAAAAACAAAACAAATCTAATCAGAAATAAGTCCCACTAAGCTCAACAGGGTTTACTGCCACATAGGTCATTAGGGCACATGGGGCACTACCCCAGCAACTTCAGATAGCCCCCACTTATACTGAGTCCAGGGGGTGGCACTGGCTGTCACCTTCTTCTTCCTTAGTCTCAGTGTTGCCAATGTAGAACTCAGCCAGGTAAAGAATGGAGGTGAAACTAGATGAGCAGGGGGGCAAATCAGGAGGTAGCAGCAAACTGATCAAGAGAATGCAAGAGGGATGCAGATGACAGCAGACCCACCCACCTCAGAAATGAATGCATTTGCAATCCTGACATTCCCACAAAGCAAGGAAGTCCTGCAAGTGAGCTTGCCACGCCTTGTCTTTAAAAGCATGGCTTGTGGGGTGTGGAAACAATTGGGGCATCATCATTGTTTACATCCAGTTCTTAGCATCTTGTCTGATTCCTGAACTCCTGAAGTGTCTGATTCCTGAACTCCTGAACTGTGTGTCTGCTGCCTAGCTGGTACTGTTATATGTTTGAATAAATATCTATTTTTCCCCCCTTACACATAAGAATCTCTGTCTGTGTGTGCTGAGCGAGAGCCAGGACAGTTTAGCATTTTTTTAAGAAAAAGAGTAAAGTATAAATTGAAGAGCATCACACCTTCTCCCCTTCAGTTGCTATCTGGATGGCATTTGGGATGAGCCGAGCTGTCTTCTCTTTTGTCATGAAGGTGATATCCTTCAAGGCGATAGAAATCTGAAGTTCAAGAACACACATGAAGTAAAACAATGTAAGACCTCAGACGAAAGCTTTAAAGACATAGTATGTCATAGTATGTAAAACATTGGTTTTCAGACTTGCTATCCACAAGGAACCTTTTTTATATCAACTTGTCTGCAGCAGAACCTTCTAGGTGTGGCAGAGAATTCTGGGCACACAAAAAAGTGGGGTGCAGATCACTTTAGGAAAGTAAGGACTAGCCCAAGACATTTTGCCACCTGAGGCAAAGGAGTGTCCCTCCCCCACCCCATGTCCAGAAGCCAGTCAAACTGGCAGTTAAATATCACTTCAACATTGGCAATGAATGGGACAGCATCTATCACCACACTTGAGGAAGAGCAAGGCCACCTCAGCCAGCCACCTCACTTTGCCTAATGGTAGGTCAATCCCAATTTTGCTGCCCGAGGTCATTGTCTCACTATGCCTGATGGTAGGGTCAGTCCTGAGGAGTCATTGCAGGCACACACACACACACACACACACACACACACACAGGCCTTACTGTGGTCTCCCATCGGAAGATGTTGCTGTGGAAACAGAGCCAGTTTTCAGAAAGATACAGACGTCCTTGAAGGAGGATATCCTTCTGGAGAGCACAGGCATAATCTAAAAAGGGAAATGATAAAAGAGTGTATCTTTTTAACAGAGCTCAGCTAAACTCATGATTTAGCTTATCAGCAATGTTGTGCTCCTAAGGAACTTCAAGCAGCTTTAAGTATCTTGTGGGTGGTTGTTAAAATGAAGGAAATTTTCTTCATTTGTCAGAGGGATACCTGAAACATTTCATATTCTGAGCAGCTTTAGAAAAAAAACCTTTTAAAGAACAGCGTACAACTATTTTAAGATGTGAGGAAAATTAACGTGCTTCATTCCTCAGTAGACCTACATGCTTGGCAAAACTTCAAAAACAGGTTGAGGAAAAAAGGCATGTCTGTGCTGGAAAAAGGATATCCTTGAAACTTACATGCATATGAAATCATGTATCTGACCCTGCTCTTTTACAGAATGGTCATCAGGTTAAGCCTAATGTTGTCTGCTCGTAGTCTGGATGCCCACGGACTTACATAATTTAAAAGGTGAGCTCACTGTGGAAGTGCATTCACCAGGTTTTATTTAGGTATATCATCTTCTCTCCCATAATGAGTTGAGCAGAAACTGGTTCTGCCAGTTTGCAACAAAAGATTGACTGGAAGCTGGTGACATCATTACTTCCAGAACCAGTTTTTCCAAGGTTACACACTTGAGGGCCAAACTGCTCCTAATGTTATATGTGTGAATGCAGTTAATGTGTCCTCTTTTATTTTTAATAGCAGCTGCTGGGAGGAGCAGGAATGAAACTCTGTTACATCCTTTCCCTCCATTCCCATGGTCTGGGTGTCAGACACACGTAAGTTACTGTAGGCCCCAGGAGGGAAGCAGCCATTAATACTGGCATTAATAATGACAATTTCCCTCCTGGAGAAAACAGCAGCTTTGAGGTATGGACATTTTTCACAGGGAACATGGCATGGAGAGAGAAGAGAATAAAACTTAAAACTGAAACCCTGCAAAGCACATATTCTGCTACCAACTCTGGCCCCTCCTCAAGATACCAAGATTTACCCAGTTCTAAAAAGATTCCTCCTGTTACAGGCAGATTGAGGAAGCAATCCAAACCCAAGATCTGCTGGGATGAGTCAGGTTTGGAATAGGCAGATCTCCAGGGGAGTCAGGGCTCAGCTGGGCCTACATCAGCTGAAATTCCTCATCCTTGCTCAAATGGAGGTATGCCATCTTAAGTCATCCATCCCAACTCAGTGAGGGATTAGCCAAGGCTAAAAAGAGCCATTCTGGGAGAGAGGCAGGGGGAGACCCAGTGCCTTTTTTTTAGAAAAACAGGTGCCAGTAACCACCATGAAGTTGTTACAGTAAGTACCATACTTTTAAAAAGAGGTGCCGGTACTGTGTGCCCTTGAGTACTTCCTGAGGGGGAAAGCACTGGGGAGATCTACCCCATTGCAAACTCTGTTCAGCTCAGTCACCCACGGGAAGTGACACTGGCAAAAAAGGGTGGTGTAAGTCAAATTCTATTTTGAAGGCTTGTTTTCCCTCTGCCAGGCTCAGGCCACTTCAGCCATCAGTAGCTCCTGTCCTTCAGGGGGTAAATTACACAGGCATAATATAGGGACTCCTGACCATTAGGTCCAGTCGTGACCGACTCTGGGGTTGCGGCGCTCATCTCGCTTTACTGGTCGAGGGAGCCGGCGTACAGGTTCTGGGTCATGTGGTCAGCACGACTAAGCCGCTTCTGGCGAACCAGAGCAGCACACAGAAACGCCGTTTACCTTCCCACCGGAGCGGTACTTATTTATCTACTTGCACTTTGACGTGCTTTCGAACTGCTAGGTTGGAAGGTGCAGGGACCGAGCAACGGGAGCTCACCCCGTTGCGGGGATTCGAACCGCCAACCTTCTGATCGGCAAGTCCTAGGCTATGTGGTTTAACCCACAGCCCCACCCAGCATAAATCAGGCTTGCTTCTTGCAGCTCAGGTTTCCCTGCCCATTTTACAAATTGCTCAGACTTCACACTGCACTTGAGCCCTAAAAGTGGAATCTTATGAATAAATCTGCATCAGTATCTACTGCTACCCAAAAACCACACATTTTTGCCACCACCTGTTCCAAAATAGAGTGCCTCCGTATCACTGGGACCTGGCAATCTGAACAGATAAAACAAAAACTTTCAGGGATTAGGACTCAAATACTGTTTTAATAATTTGAGCCTCTCCATCAAATACACTAGCTGTGAGTGGGGCAGGCTTTCTCCCTATGCAGACAGTGCTTCTCTCATTGAGGAATAATTATTTCCAAACACTATGCAGTCTAATTTATTTATCTACGGTATGTTAAAAGCTTCTATACCGCTTCTCAAGGCCAAATTGCCTAACAAATCAGTTTACAAATCAATAAGCATATACAAACGACGCACTACAAGCATTGAAAGCCAATTACATCCAAAAATAGAATACAAAACTAACACAGAGCAAGTAGTCCTTTTAATTCAGCATCAAAAGTTGACCTCAAAAGGGCATGATTTAAAAGTGGGGGGAGGGGGGTTGCTGTTTAAAAGTCTTTAAAGGCCTGCCTAACATCACTTAGAGCAGAATTCCAAAACTGGGAGACCGCCGCAGAAAAGGCAGTGTTCCATGTGCTTGCAAGCCTAATAGTTTTTACAATAGGGCTCCCAAATGCCCGGATTTTCCTGGACATCACCGGGATTTCAAAGGTAGAGATGACATCCTTGGGAATTTCTGAAATGTGGTGCTTTGTCAACAACTTTGGGGCTTCCCTAAAAAAACCTCAACAACTTTTGGGGTGTCCTCGTTTTTTTCTTTTTGAAATATGGCAACCCTATTTCACAGGCACCTCTGAGTAGTATGAGGGTATGAGTAGGTTAATGTGTGTGCATGCAGTCCATAATATAACCTGGTCCCAACCATTTAGGACTTTAATGTCATCACCAGCACTTTGAATTAGGCTCAGAAACACACTGGTAACCAGCGCAATTGGCTAAGTATATGTTTAACATGATCTGACCTCCTGGCCCCAGTAGCTAGACAGCTGCATTCTGTACTAGTTGTAACTTCTGAACTATCATCAAATGCAAGCCCATGTAGAAAGCTTCAGAGTAGTCTAGCCTGGCAATCTCTAGTGCATGAATAATTGTGGCACGGCCCAACGTCTCTTAATAGGTTCACGGCAAACAAACTGAAGCTGATAAGAAGCAGCTTCAGCCCCCACAATCTGGGGGCTGTACACCCAAGCTGCAAACTTGGTCTTTCAGGGCGAGTGCAATTCCATCAAGGATTGGTTGAACACCTCCATCTAGGGTAATCTGCTTTCCTATTCACAGCATATCTGTTTTAGCTGGCTTAAGCTTCAACTTTTAGGAGTAAGAAGGAAGGCTTCAAGGACAGAGGGCGTGGTGTCATTGAGAACTGTGCTTTCGGCCTTCTTTTCAGATTAAGAACTAGCTCTCCTCCCATTCTTTATTCTTTAAAAGGTTTTGCTCCTTTTTTATCATATGTAATAGCTCCTGACTTCGCGTCACATATTGGAGAACAGTTGATACTGCTGTAGGGTGCAATACAGCAAAGCTTTAAGGTCAGAGTAGGAAACATTTTAATGAATAATAACATTTCCTTTGAATACAATGCTATGACTTTGCACTGTCCTTGACTAGCCAAACTTGCACTCAGTGCAGCCCATGCCTAATCCGGTTGTTTACTCTTCAAATTCAGAATGGTTGTCATATGGAAAGTATGCCTCACGCAAAGAGCCAAATTGCTTGCTTTCCTACACCAGTGCAAACGGCAGCTTGGAATTTTAGAATAAAGTGGAATTGTTTACTACAGACCATACTAATTCTCTATTGGATATGGGCTATTTTAAAGCTTCAGATAATGTTTCAGTAAGGATGTCTTAAAAATGAGATCAAGTTAGCTTGTGTCATGGGCGCATTTGAAAGCTGTGCAAAATACACGAGGGAGATATGGAGGATTTGCAAAGGGATGAAATGAAAGGGCAGGGCCTTGTTGAACATTCTGAGAACAAAAGGCAAATACATCCAGAAGATTAAAGAGCAAAATGTCAGCGCTGTTCAAGCACAGAGAAATTAAAGGCAAGCAAGTAAGGCACAAATGAAATGAAATTAGCAAGAAGATGTTCTGCAAGTACAAATGAACTAGAAACTGACTGCCCCCCCCCAAAGATGTCTCCTTAATCTGCTGTTTGAACTTCTTGAAAATGTTTCAACATTATGCCAAGGTCCAGAGATCTAAGGCTAGGGATGGGCAAATATCTCAGTTTTGGTTTCTCTCCATTTCTCATTTTCCTTAACATCAGTTAAGTTCCCATTTTTTTAAAGAAGTCTTCATGAAAATTCACCAGCATTTCAGTGCTAATTCCTCCTAATAGCATATACACATTTCTGTATTCAATTCTGCCAGGTGCATGCATTTTTGCAAAGCAATTTCTCCTAATATAAAGCATCGTTGTAGACATTTTTATGCACACTTTACCCTAGCATGTGCGTTTTTATGCATATTACCTGACTGGGGAACTGCATTGCAAAATTCTGGAAAGTGTGAATTTCAAAGAACAGCTGGGTTTCAGTTTACATACTGGGGAAACCCAGCCAGATGGGCGGGATATAAATAAATTTGTTGTTGTTGTTGTTGTTGTTGTTGTTGTTGTTGTTGTTGTTGTTGTTATATCAGAAAGTGTGGCTCAAGGAAGCTGTCCTTTAATTTGTTTCATTTTCATCACTACAAAGCATTCAGTATTTTTGGCATTACGTTTCCAAGTTACAAGGTTCAAATTTGCTTTAAATATAACAATGCAGCTTGTAGCTCCACTCATAGGATGAAATGTTTCCCTCTTACCTACTACAAGCCTTTCCAAATCTGGCAGGTGCGAGAATTGTCTCTTAAATTCCTCATTCCTATATTTGTAAGTGGAGCTTGAGATCTGCAAAAAGAAAAGGTTCAAGAAAAAAATGGGGTTTTGTGTTTTATTATCATCAAAGCCTTGCAGAAAAACAAGTGTCAGAATTAATGCAAGTGTACAGTGTCCACACCCAGTGAATTAACCAGGCACTGTCGCCTTACGCACAACCCAGTCTCCAGCCTTCCCTTTGATCTGGCAGAAACCCTCCTGAAGTTCTAACGCCCCCTGAATCCCAGCCATGAAGTTGTACATGGAGTTTGCATGCCATACCCAAGGTTTAACAGACAACACAAAAGGAAATTACTGTTATCATCTCATTGTGCAATGTGCACTTATGAAATATAGCAGTCTGAACGTATCATAGATATTAATGCAAAATGCAAAAGCAGCTGTATTCTGCTATTGGAATCCTGGCTGCCTTCCATCTGTAGAAACGTGCACAAGGCTGAGATGTGGATGTGAGATAAAGCCACAGAATGTGGGTGTGAGATAAAGACTCCGCCTATGTGGCTCAGGACATCTCAGACTGTTTCCAAGGTGTGGAAAGGAACACTAGAAAGGAGCTGTGCTGTAGCAACTCTCACATTTCCAAGGTAGCATAAGAAGAGGTCATAGAGGCCTTCACTGGTAGAAATAGCATGTGCAACCTCACTTGGGATTCTGGAAGCGGCAGCTCAGCCCCTGGCAGAAAATGACATTCCATGAGGACCTAACTAGTGTCCTTCCCTTTCTTGTGCCCTAGCATGGGGAAGCTCTGGCCCAAAGACTAGGCCTCTGGATTTGACCCGCAAGGCCATTCTGGGCAAACTGCACCCAGCTGCCAGTCACGTGGTATCATATGACATCAGGCACTGAGATCTGCTATTTCCATAAGCACAAAGTGCTAAAGTAAGCAATAAGGGAACTCATATCTTTAGTCTTGGCACCGTGAGACCACAGCGGTAAGATCGGAGATAAGCCTCTGCCTGGTTTTTTTAGAAGATGCAAACAAGAAAAAAGCCAAAGGTACAAAAAGCCTCTATCTCTACCTAAAAGACAACTGGCAAAGACTTATATCCAATTAATATAAGCTTCTACTACTGCTTTTTTAATATAAAAGAAAAAGCAGAGGTTTACCTCTGATCTCAGAGATGTGGGACTTTAGAACAAACATTGGAGATGTGCCTGTGCCTGCTACCATGGCTTTGAACTTTAGAGTCACCTGGCATCATATGATTTATACGACATCCGTAATTAACAGGCGGGTGGTCCTCACCTTGCTTTCAAAATGGTCTAAAGCGTATGGCCCAGTTCTGGATCCAACACCCCAGCTTTACCTTTTACCTAGTTCTTCCCCCACCCCTTCCTTAAGCTAAGCTGTTTCAGAATATTGGTGCAAAATGATGGGCAAGATTCAACTAAATAGTTGTGCTGTTAGAAACCAGCACAGCAAGTCCCACTAGTGCAATAAGGCTTTCCCTCTTCCCAGCTCGGGATGTGTGTGTCAGGAGAACACCCAAAACAGCATGTTGGGGTGGGGGGAGAGGGGAGAGTGTTCCAAACAGCCAAGCAGAAATACTTGCACGGATGGAGCAATCTTCTAACAGCTACTTTGAATTCCACCCAACATCTTTAATGTAGAAGTGGAGAACCTGTGGATGATGCTGGACTGAAATTACCAGCATCCCTCACCTTAGGAACCTGCTGGCTAGGACTGATGGGAACTGAGGTTCAATACCTGGAGGGCCACAAATCCCACCCACCCTGCTTTAATCAATTCAGCCAGAAATCTCACAGAATAAGTGGCAAACACTAGCCAGGACCTACTAATTTTCTTCTATGTTTAATAGTGCAGAGGATTAATATAGATGCTACATGTATTCTGTTCATTCTTGCAGGTCATCGTGTGAGATATACATCATTTTAGAGTTCTTTAAGCTCCCTTTGGAACACTGAAGAGGATTTATCCACTAGCAAGCCGATTCACCGTAATTGCCCCTGGGTAAACAAAAAACTTCTGCAAGCACGCTTAGATTATCACAATACTCAGGCCAAAGCAACACTGCTAAAAATCAGCACTCCAGGGGAGTCTTTTCAAAGCTAAAACTGCACAAACTAAATCTCTTGAGCCTCAGCACTGCTAAATCACACCAGGCCTCGTCTACAAACCACTTGCAGGTGTATAAATCTATGACTGTTTCCCCATAAACTGAACAAAGACTACCAAAAATGCAATTGTTTCTAAGCAGAAGATATGACGTCTAAGACAAAGAGAAAAGATATATAGCTTAAAACAGTGGAAAAAGCAGTGGAATGTGTAGGATCTTAAATACGTAAAGCTTTTTATCTTGTGTCTTGTATTCATCAGCATAATCCACATGCTGCTTTTTCCAGGCATAATGATATTTTAGTACAAAAGGCATGTTTGTGGTGGAAGGAAAATTAAGATACTCTGCTTCAGTTGGAATTAAAGCGATTAAAGTCAGGAAAACAGCAAAAGGAAGGGTAACTTCTTCATACAGCGCTTAGTTGGGACTATAGCATCCACTCCCACAAGAGGGAGAGATGGCCACCAACTTTGTTGCCTTTAAAAGATGAGAAGAATGTCTATGTTCTCTGTATGCTTTCAGAGGCACTATGACTTTGAATGACAGTTGCTGTCCATAAAGATGCTAAGGTATAAGCTTGTGACCTTCTGGGTGCAAAGCATGCGCTCTATGGTTCTCTCCACGGACAATCTCTTGCATCAAATCTAGTTTGACTCCAATCCTTGCACAAGTGCACACCCCCTCCCTGAGCCCCTTCCAGTGCAACCATTAAATTGGAAGCTACTACTACTGGTTCACATTAACCATGGTTTAGTGTTATGTCTGAACAGTAAAGTGTGGTTAACCGTAAATATATGTCACCTTCATAACCTATTGTTTGAAGCTGGCTTGCTTCTACTCATCACAGTTAGGACTAACTGTAGTTTGTCTGGGTTCAGACATCACCACAAAGCAGCATTCAGTTTCCAAACTCCTTCTTGCCACTGTGGTGGTGGACAAAGGCATACTTAGGGTCCCTTGTGCCTTTGTGGCAAGAAGTTGCATTGGCACCCTCTGCAAAAAAATAATAATAATTTTACCGCAAGGGCGGGAAGCTTCTTCCACGTTTTATCTCACCACAACACCTATATGTCCTACACTCCAAAGTCTGATAGGTGGTGTGTGTGTGTCCACGTGGAGGGCAGTTTTGCCAACCCTAAGTACACCTCTGCTGGCGAAGGAAGGGGAGAGCATGTGAGCCCAAAGCTCCTTGTGGCTCATCCTCATAATACCAAGCCATGGTTTATTTTTACATGTGAACACAGCTCACGCCTGCTTTCTCTCTCTCACATGCTGCAGCTTTCCTATTACCTTTTATTAACGTAAAAATTCTACAGGAGCGTGAGCACTCTGCATTATTTGCAGGTGTGTTTATTGCTCTCAGAATCAACACCTAAACCTAGAGAGCCCTAGCAGAGCTTCTCACTTGCTTACTCTCCTTCCGTCTCTCATTCAAGAAAGAAAGTTTAAGATACTTAACTTTCATAGGTCATGTGGCTCTTTCACCAAATTTAGTACTGTTTAGTCTAGAAAATAGGTGTTGTTAAATGTGCAAAGATATTGCTGATGCACACATATACGCCACCCTCTTAATATATGCATGGCCGTCATTTCGTGACCACAACATCAAGGTGTGTGAATGAGCCGTCGCAGATCCACCATTTATAAAAAGAGCTTCAACTTCACCTCAGATAAAATGTTTTTTCGCTGGAGCCAGCTGCACATCCAGATGAGAATCAGCTGAATCGAAACATCTCTATCCTTCAAGCTTTAGAAGAACCAGGCCTGTGTGTTCTACTTACATGCATTTTCTGTTCCTCTTCATTTCCCCTGAGCTGCTCTGGAGAGGATAGTCTCCTAAGCAGAGGGCTCTCTTCCAGAGGGCTAATGGCAGACAGAGGCCTGGGCATTAGTGTGATTATGTCCCAGTCTTTGGCTCAGCCCCCCTGTTACTTGTAGAGGCTGAAGGAGAAAGATTTTGAAAAAAATCAGATTAACTGTGCAGTGTTTGGGCAGGTGAGATTTTTTTGCCTTCAATCAGACCAGGAAAACATTCCCAGTAGAATCAAATAAACTAATTTTCAGAAACATTTATGCCAGATGACACAACATCAGTAATCATTTTTGTTACGATTCAGATTAACTAAACACAGTAGTAGTTAAGAGAATGGTATTACTTCACCAGGTACACAAGAGAAACAAACCATTCAGGGTCACATTGCAGAGTATCTTAGAAACCCTGGCTCCAAGTCACTGAATCGTAGACACATTAAAAAAAATTGCCCACACAACACACAGATAGGGGAAGAAAAAAGGATGGGTGGTATTCTACTAAACAGTTAGACTAGTGTGCACTGCAATGTTCCCAGCCTCAATGATCAATCTGGTAAATCTCAAAAATTACAATCTAAAGAAATGGCAATATGGCTGCTGACAGCTGCTAGGCTATCCAGAGCAGAATGCCTGAAAATATATTTGTGGCATAAAGATGTATGGAACCTGGCAACTGCAGAAAATATAACCCCACAATATAAAGGTTTCCAAAGGTTTAGAAGATCTGGAACATTTTTAGAAAATTTTTAGACAAATCCAGAACAGTAGTAATGTGGGGCTTTATCATTTATACCAATAGAAATAACCTCCATGGCTTTTTGGCATGTCCAATGCAAGAAATACAGACCTCTTAATGTTTCTACTAAAAGGTGTCTCCACGTATCTACCAATTTTCATGACAAAATTTGAGGATGGGTACATGGCCTCCTTTGTCATTTCTGATGGGGATGTGGGCTTGGGAGAGCACATATTTCTTTCAAACCATGTCCAGTCATGTGATTCGGGTCCAGTAGGTGTTAGAATTTAATCAGTGCTTGGAGTGTTAAGACTAGGTATGTTAAGTCAGACCCTGTGCATTAAGATGTGCTAGACACTGTTAATCCTTTAATTAAGTCAAGTGTTGGGTCCTGGAGGTTCTGCTGAATATGATTAGAAGGGACCAGATGGTTAAAGGTATACAGGTCGGAACTAAACACTATAAATTGAGAGCATTTGCAGATGACTTAGTATTGACGTTACAGGAGCCAGAATCTAGTACTAAAAGGGTTTTAGAACGGATTCAAGAATTTGGTCAAGTGGCAGGATTTAAATTGAACAAGTCAAAAACCAAGGTTCTAGAGAAAAATTTAACACCGTTTGAAAGAGAGAGGTTTCAGAATGAGACAGGGTTAACAGTGGTTAAGAAAGTTAAATACCTGGGGATTAACATGACAGCAAAAAATGGGAATTTATTTAAAGATAACTATGAAAAATGTTGGTCAGAAGTGAAAAAGATTTAGAAATTTGGTCAAATTTGAAGCTTTCACTGCTAGGCCGTATTGCTGCGATAAAAATGAATGTATTGCCTAGAATGTTGTTTTTGTTTCAAACTTTGCAGATCGTGGACAAAATGGATTGTTTCAAGAGGTGGCAGAAAGATATTTCTAAATTTGTCTGGCAGGGCAAGAAACCCAGAATAAAATTTAAAATACTAACGGATGCAAAGGAAAGAGGTGGATTTGCCCTGCCAGACCTCAAACTTTACTATGAATCAGCAGCTTTTTGCTGGTTGAAAGAATGGCTACTTCTTGAAAACACTGACATTTTGGACCTAGAAGGTTTTAATAATGTATTTGGATGGCATGCATATTTATGGTATGATAAGGTCAAAGCACATAAAGCATTTAAAAACCACATTGTCAGGAAAGCGCTGTTTAATGTTTGGATAAGATATAAGGATTTGTTAGAAAACAAAACCCCAAGGTGGCTGTCACCAATGGAAGCGAAAGCCTTGAAAAGGTCAATATGGAGGTCAAATGGCCGAAATATTGGGAAATTTTGGAACAAGACGGAGATAGACTGAAATTGCAGAGTATTGAAAAACTAAAAAACAAAGTGCGAGACTGGCTTCATTATTATCAGATAATGGAGGCATTTAAATTGGACAGGAAAATTGGCTTCCAGGTGGAAAGATCCAAATTAGAAATAGAATTGCTAGAACCCAAGACTAAGAATTTGTCAAGAATGTATAACTTGCTGCTGAAATGGAATACTCAAGATGAAACGGTAAAATCGGCTATGATTAAATGGGCACAGGACGTTGGACATAACATTATGTTTGCTGACTGGGAACAGTTATGGACCACAGGTATGAAATTTACGGCATGTAATGCCTTAAGACAGAATATTATGAAAATGATATACAGGTGGTACATAACCCCAGTCAAGCTTGCGAAAATCTATCACTTGCCCGATAACAAATGTTGGAAATGTAAAGAAACTGAAGGTACATTTTTCACCTTTGGTGGACGTGCCCAAAGATTAAGGCTTTCTGGGAAATGATATATAATGAATTAAAAAAGGTATTTAAGTATACCTTCCCTAAGAAACCAGAGGCCTTTCTCCTGGGCTTAGTCGGCCAAATGGTGTTAAAAAAGGATAGAACTTTCTTTATGTATGCAACAACAGCAGCAAGAATACTCATCGCAAAGTATTGGAAGACACAAGAACTTCCCACGCTGGAGAAATGGCAGATGAAACTTATGGACTATATGGAATTGGCGGAAATGACTGGTAGAATCCGTGACCAGGGAGAAGAGTCGATGGAGGAAGACTGGAAGAAATTCAAAGACTATCTTCAGAAACATTGCAAAATTAAGGAATGTTAAAGGGATGTTGGACTGAAAGTAAGTGGTTTCCAGATGCACAGGTTAAAGTTAACGATAGATTAAGATTAAAGATCAAGATTAAAGATGTTTAAAGAAATGGAAATTTGATATTAAAAGGGAAAATTTTAAAGTTATATGATATTAAGATCAAGGATTAGGTTTAAAAAGTTGAAGTTATATATTTTAACATTTTATTAAATTAAAGATTGGGATTAAAAAGTGGAAAAGAAACTGTAATTAAGACAAGTGTTGAAAGGTTAATTAAGCTGGCTAACTTCATTGTAAGGAAATTGCCTGGGCTGGTGGGCCATTAATAAGACTACAGAGGATCAAAGGAACTCTATGTGGTGTGAGACATCAAATGGGTGAGGCCCCTCTTCTTCAAGAGATGAAGCCAAGTACTTTAGGTTAGACATTTAGGGTTCAGAGCCGTGACAAATGAGTTATGTGATCTAGAAGCTAAAGAAAAGCTGCAGGCGGGCCCAACCATGGCAGATGTCTGTTTGAATCCAGGGCTATGCCTATGGGAGAAGCAAGACCCTCTTGGAGTGTAATGTTGAGAACCCTTCCGTCATAGGCTCAGGTTGTATATGTGTGTAAATAAACCATATATCATAAAGACACCAGAGTCTGTGCTGCACCTCATTTCCAGAAGCAAACACAAACCCTGGGTAAGCACACCTGGAACGTCGCACAACTCTGAGATTGGGGTGGTGTGTAACAAAAAATTTAACAGCCTTGAGACTGCTGTGGGAGGAGGTTTAAAAATCTCTTAATAAATAAATCCTTGCCAGTCAATAAATGTTTCATAACAATTTCATCTAGTTTCTTTTTGTCCATGCAACAGCTCAACATCTTGCTTATCAAGACAGAAATCAACACTCCGTTCTTTTAAGAATTCTCCATCATGCAGAGATCTTAAAGTCTGCATACCAATCCAGTCAGTCAGTTCAATTACAAAGAAGGTAGGATGTCAGCAAAGGACCAGTATGCTCCTGGAATTTTAAAAGGTGCATTCACACTTAATTTTTCAATCATGCCCCAAAGCAAATTCACTTGACTAGATTTTTGTTTTCCCCTTCTGGGATTGTCAACACAAACAGGGAATTTGCATGACTGGAACAGTCTTAGGACTGTGGCACAGTGCTCAAACATACTTTCTCACCAATGGGAATGAACTCTTCCTTCCCAATGCACAATCCCAATAACAATGGGCAATACACATACACACATCTGTACTGAATTTAAGAAAAGGATGAAACATAGCTGCATGGTATACATTAAGCATAATGTGTAGTTTGACCGTAGGAGTAAACAGCTTACGTGGATAATGGGAAACGTAAGATGCTGTTCACAGCTGGGAAGTAAGAAATAAAAGTAATGTTGCCTGTGCCTTCATTCACATGAGAGCTGAATGGGCAGAGCCAGTGCTGCTGACTCTTCCTCAGTTCCAAATTTGGTCCCTGTTAAGAATTAGTGGCTTACAAGGACAGGGCACTACCATAATTGGCCAAAATCCTCATGGCACCATAACTACTATGGCCGACACAGCTTCATAGCCTTCTTGCTATGACAGCTCTCAGAGTAAAGGATATAGAAGAGGAACAGCAGAAGAGGAATTAGGAACAATAGTTCATCTATCTTCCCATTCCCCAAGCTCTATGGTACTGTAATAAGAAAATATTGCCAAAACAGCAGACTCCCTCTCTCCTTTCTGCCTCTTGGAGCCACTGTGAAGAGATGGGTAGTCTGTTGGCTTGGTGGTGGTGGTGAGAAACCATAACTGTCACTTATAACCATTTCCAGGGGTTGATGTTATGGGGAGTAGAGGAGGAGGCCAGGTGACTGCTGCTTAGGGTTGGGGGAGAAATTTGATTCAGTTTGCATTTAAAGTCCCACTTCCTGAAACCATGTGAGAACTGAAAGGCAGCCATCCTTCAAAATGTGCAAATTTTGAAATACAGTTCTCCAGCCAACCCTTATTTACAAACATGCATAAAACTGTGCATAAAAATGAGTATGTAAGTGAAAATAACATACAATAATGCAGTAAAAGTGCACCTGGATGTTCTGTTGTTGCGCCCATAACCTAGGTTTAAAGTGCCATTTAGCTCCTAGCTTTCAAATCTAACACTGTACCTGACTATACCTGTCAAAGCAATTGCGTGTGAAGACCCCGAAAACCACCCCTAAAATAAAGACACAATAGACACAGATTTTAGTTTAAGGTTTTTGACATTAATTTTGGCCACAACTTTATTGATTACAGCATCTGAGCGGTTGCTTAGGCATTGGTTCCAGACTACCTGAACCTGCACAGTGGCAGGAACAGGACTGACACTGGGCACCACCATATGTCAGTAAGGGAAAGCATCTTGGAGCAGTGAGAAGCTGGCTTCGATCTCACAGCTCACCCCAGATGCTCCCAGGGGGTCTGGCGTGGCCCTAGCCCCTTGACAGGGTTCGGACAAAGGCAAGGTGAGCCCCTGGATTCCTTTAACGGAATTCCCTAGCAGCAGCAATGGAGGGGCAGGCACAGCCAACCACGTCCCCTCCGCAAAACATTGAACCAAATGCCTAACCACCAACTTTACAAAGTTGTGACGATTTGATACACAGTAGGCAAAAACCAAGTGGCACCAACCAATCAGCCAAATGGCAAAATTCCTACCAGGCCCCTACTCCAAAACAGACGACCCCTAGACAGGCATAGCAAGGCCAAAAGAACAACCCTAAATATAGGGAGAGGAGGGAGGCTGATCCGCTGCACGTCGCAAGAAAGAGAAGCTTTCCAGCGACGTGCAGCAGCCTAAATAGCCCCTCAGCAGCCAATAGCCATCCCAACCAGCCAAATTTCTGCCCCAGCAACAGAGAGGCAACCAATGGGGTGTTGTGGCCATCCAAACGGTCCCACCCCACAACAGGGAGGGAGCTTACAGTGATCTCACTGCAACACGTGCCCTCCATGATGGAGGATACGACTTTTCATTGGTAGAAAAAGGAAATACATTTCTGAAGCCTTATACTTGCCTGAGATATAATTCTTTTCACATATTAGCTGTTTTTTCATATGATGCTGAGTGGCAAAGAGTACCAGGCCACATATGTATTTTGTATAAGGTTCAGTTACTCAAGTAAATCCCAGAAACTAGTTCTTCCAGATAAGTAAAGCAATCCTTCAACAGCCTCCCAAACCAAAGTATGGATGAACACACAGAGACATGTAAAGGAGCTTTTCAATAAATCTGCATCCTGCCTTATCCGTATTTTGACTCTTAACCACATCTGTAAATACTTAACAATCACTTCCCTCCTGATTGGGAAGGTGATAGAAGGCATCTGAAAATAGTGTTTCTAACATGACTCATCTAGGCCTCAATACCCAGTGCTCCACACTGGCAGCACTGGTGTTATGACAGGGCGGCTGATCATACTTCCGCTGTGATCTAATCATGTACAGAATCTCCTTGCTTCCGCCACCCTCGTAATTTGCACCATGATTTTCATAAAGCTTCTCTAGCTCTGAAGAAATAAGGTTTCTGTTTCTCATAAATTAGGGGTTTTTTTAAGGGGAAAAAGCAAAAATGCTTTAAAATATATATATATATTTATTGCAAGCCAAAGAAAACAGTTATTTAAGAAGACTAGAAAATGTTGTTTCCTGTTTTAGAAAGTTCCTTCACTTGATATACAGAAACAATAACCACATGGCACACAACAACTTAAAAAGCTGTGCACTTATATTTTGCAGGGCAATGGGCTACCTATTCATGCCAAGTACAGACGCTATGGTGAAAATAAAACCAACTCAAATTATGCCAACCGCCTATACTGTAGCAATTATTTTTAACATTTAATTGAGATCATACCCTCAAATGTGCTTAAAAGCAAAAGCACAAAGAACCCACATCTAAGATGTTTTTCATCGTTGCCTGGCAGCATAAAACTCTTAAATACTTAGGAGTGGGTTATTTTGTTGTTGACGCTTTTATGTATGAGTATTATCTGAACTGAATCTAAAACAATTGCTTTAGTTTTCTTGGCTTTATTTTCACCATGGTTTATGTAGCAGGAATTAAGGCAATTCTGGATCACACACACACACACACACACACACACACACACACATAATATTTATATGGGATGCGGGTGGCACTATGGTCTAAACCACAGAGCCTAGGACTTGCCGATCAGAAAGTTGGCCATTCAAATCCCCGCGACGGGGTGAGCTCCCGTTGCTCAGTCCCTGGTCCTGCCAACCTAGCAGTTCGAAAGCACGTCAAAGTGCAAGTAGATAAATAGGTACCACTCCGGCAGGAAGGTAAACGGCGTTTCCGTGCGCTGCTCTGATTTGCCAGAAGCGGCTTAGTCATGCTGGCCACATGACCCGGAAGTTGTACGCCGGCTCCCTCGGCCAATAAAGCGAGATGAGCATCGCAACACCAGTCGTCCACGACTGGACCTAATGGTCAGGGGTCCCTTTACATACATACTTATATACGTGTGTATGTTTGTGTGTGTGTGTGTATCTGTCTGTCTGACATCTTGTAGGTTTAGGATGGGAATTAAATCACCACAAGACACATAACATCCAGAGGTAAGCTCTCTCCAATGTCCCAGATATACTAGAGGGGTCAGAACAGACCCAGCAGAAGTCAATGAGCAGCATTTGTGCAATATTCTCCTGTACCCATGCCATGCTTGCTTATTTGGGGGAGTGACTTCCTCTGTATTATTGAGCCATGTACTGTAAATGTATTCTGAGAAATACATTATTGCCCATTCTTTTGTATTCCCATTAAACCTCAGAAATATAAGCCCTCTGCAGCTATTTGTCCTTTATATGCCCAGAGCCATATGAAGTGTTGTTTGCAACTCTTTGACCACTGTCTCCCACAGCATCTGACAAAGAGACACGTCACACAGTGAATTTGGTGAGATTTCCCCAAGTACTGATCCTGACTTAGGTGCAGTTCTATAGAGTCAGAGGTGAGTCAGCCCCACCAAACTCGGCGAGACTTGTTTTGAGGAAACATGGATAGAATAAGGCTGTTCCAACAAACTTCACAAAATGCAGTTCCACTCAGGTGATGCTTTCTGATCATCTTTGTATTTGTGCTGGAAGTCAGGATTCCTCCTTCCTTCTCAAATCACCTAACCTAGATATCCACATGTGGGTGTAATGTTAGCAGGGGGAAAAGGTGTGTTGGTCCAAATTGCATAGTCAATCCTCATAATGTATGAGGGAACTCAGCTGGCCTTCACACGCTGAATTCTAACAAGTGCTTTGTTATATTTAAACATTATAGCTGTGCATGTATAGCCTGCAGGGCAGACACACCCAGTATGCAAGGTGGGAGGGTACAGTTTTTCTCCTGCATTGCGCAGAAGAAGAAACCCAGGGGGAAAGGGTTACCCAACCCAAGCCCATAAGATATTGGATGCTCTTGTCTCAAAGTACACACTGGACTAGAAGACAATGTGACAAAAAACCCCAACTGAACTAATAGGATGGATGCCTTTCAACTTTCATATAATGCTTGCTAGGAAAAACAAACAGCAGCAGCAGCTAGGCATACAGCACTGTTAAAAAAGCAGTCTGAATAGGGGACACACACACCAGATATAGCTAGTGGTTCAATCCAGTCAGACTCAAAACAAGTATCTAATAACTTTAAAATTCTTCTATACTCTTCAACTTAGTTCTTGTTGAGGTGCTAAAACTATGTCTATGCCACTTCATTAATAGGTAGAAGCTCAGATTAATTTAGGCTTTTCTGCCCACAAACAAAAAGACCCATGCACATAGAAAACTAGTCACAGATAAACCCTAACGTCTTTTGATTTTTTAAACTAAGTAATCTTGGAAAGTCTGATAGAACCTACCTTCAAAAGAAGAGTATATCCTCTAAGGGCAAATCAGCATCAAATCCACTGGGAGAATATTCCATTGTATGGGGCTGAGGTGTGTGTTGTGGCAAGCATGCCAACGTTTAGAAACATGGTCCGGTGGGTTTAGAGGTACGGTTTTGTTGTTGTTTTCACAGCTCCCTTAACTATATGACCAGGAGTACACTTGGGAAGATCTGTGCTTATCCTAAGATGCCAGATCACTGTTTGGCAGGGTGTTAAAAGTCAACTGTTTTAAACATTTGAGAGCATGCTGCCAGCAATTATATCATTCACGTGTTTGTTATGAATCAGGATGCAAGAACAGGTCGCAGTCAGCTGTGAATAACCCTGCCAGGTGTTCCTGAGACACCTAATTAGCACAGCAAAACATGACAGAAAATGACAGTGCACTACAATTACAGTGGGTTACAGTGCTTAATGTGTTAAGTGAGGTATGTTGCCACCTGTTCTGGCTCATGCGCCTCCTACAGCAGCCTTCCCCAACATGATGGCTCTACAGATGTTTTGGACTACCATACTATGCTTAATTTTGTGAAATGACTGGGCATCATGAACCAACCATACGCAGCACAAGGAGAGCTACTCAGCTTCACCTTTCCAACTCTTTGTCTCCCACCATGAAAGCCAGATTTGCAAAATCCACAAGTTACTAACCCACCTTTCATAGAATCATAGTGTTGGAAGGGATCCAGAGGGTCATCTAGTCCAGGCATAGGCAAACTCGGCCCTCCAGATGTTTCGGGACTACAACTTCCATCATCCCTAACAGGACCAGTGGTCAGGGATGATGGGAGTTGTAGTCCCAAAACATCTGGAGGGCCGAGTTTGCCTATGCCTGATCTAATCCAACCCCCTACAATACAGGGATCTCAACTAATGCATCCGTGATGGATGTTCTCATTTAACTGTTTTATAAATATTTTAATACTAGAAAATTTGTGGCCCCTATTGCATACAAGCATTTAAATGCATTTTAAGGCATTATTATCACACCCTTCTAGTGTAAATGCACTACACAGGGTGGCTTATGGATATAAACATTACAATCACTCATTAAAAACAGAGAAACATTACAAAAGAGTCAGGCTCAACAGCTGATCATCATGAAAGCCACCAAAGGGAAAGTGGACTTTTGGACTTGTAAGCACATCCTTCAACCTTTATTCTAAATGTTTTCTGTTTTTATCAATGATAACTCTTTTCAAGATTTTACAAGGAATTTTGGTATTTGATATTTTTGCTAAAATAGTATTATTGAAATCTACACTGCTTCTCTCTAAGTAACATTAGTGAATTTACAAGCAAAGTTTCCCAGCAACATCTAGTCGAAACCAACAGCCCTGGGGGAAAATCTGTGAGAATCCAGGCTCTCTTCTTACTTGGGTTTAACCACAATAAAAAAAAGGTCTCTAGAGGTGCAATTACAGCTTCATGGAAATATTCACAGCCCAACAACTAAGGCTTAATTAACAATTGCGTCCTACCTTTCTACATCATTATACAGATTAGCCGAAAACAACATTCCCTGCAGAAATCTGTTTCCTGCTAGTTGGCCTCAAGAATCACTATTGGCAAGCATACAGAAATGAAACTTAAATCTCAGTTCCTTGTCCTAAATTTGCATGTTTACCACCCTTTAGAGCATTTTTTGAAAAAGAAAAAGGAATAGAACAATTGATGTGGTCTCTCTGATGTGTGTCAACCCAAACCACTTTTAATTAGAATGAAATCACACCAACGATAGAATCCTATGCTTATTTACTCAGAAGCCAATCTTCGGCTGGGGAGGGCGGGATATAAATAAAAAATTATTATTAGTAGTAGTAGTAGTAGTTCTTTTCAAGCACTGTACTTGCATGCAATAATAAACATGTGTAGAGGAGCCACATTCACAAGTCTGCCCACACAGTGGCCCCGCCCCTGATATGGCCCTGCTCTCTATTGTCTTCTTACTAGTCCTGTCCCCCACATGTTTGAAGGTTTGAAGTAAGGAGCTACAATATGAATGTAGACTCCCATGATTCGGAACCCTGCATGATCACCCTTCTAAGGCTGCATTCACATAGCAGTCTATTTCATTTTCACGTTTCCCTGTCAATTTCCACATTATGTTTGAGCTCTCTCATGATGTAAAACCCACTTCCAGAACTACAGTGGAATATAACGCAAGTTTACCACTCATTTCCATATTATTTGCAAACAGTTCTTCAGTTATTTATTATAAGTAAATAACACACTAAACTTGCACTATATTCCACTATAGGTCCAGAAGAGACTTCAATGCCGTGTGAACGCTCAGATATAACGTGGAACTTAACAGTTAGGGAGAAGTTGTGAAAACAGAATAAACCACCATGTGATTGCAGCCCCAATTGCACAGGGAAGCTGGGCACTTGCAGCAGGCCCTCTACTTCAGACTTTCCCCCACAGCATGTGGTTGGTGAATAGGAAGGGCCAATGAATACACAATAGCAGGGGTGGGGCATGGTCTCATTCTCCCATCACACAATTGTAAGACTATCAGGGAAGAACAACTCAGAAAAGGCTGATGTGTTCAACGGGCCTCATAAGTATGGGTACTCATAAGTACGTTTAGGATTGCCGCCACAGTTTGATGCCTAATGTTCAGAGCTTCAAGGCTCCACCAGAAATTCACAGAAGCAAGAAATAATGGTTTTGCTAAACTCTAGTATAATGGATTTAAGATCTGTAGAGCAAAATTTGACGTTTCCACTACTAGCCATTTATTTAAATATTTATTTATTAAATTTGTATACTGCCCTTCATCTGTGGATCTCAGGTGAGGAGATTCCAGCTGAGGGAATGCTGTGTGATGCTGAGGATCTAGCACGCGACGAAAGATCTCAGCTCAGCAGCTGATTCACTTCATCAGCTCGGGTATTTAACTTCTGACTCAAATTTCCTATGCCAAGAGTATGATTAATAATTTAAAATTGTAATCAAGGATGGCTCAGATAATGCTTCCATGCCTGGAGCAGGTGAGCAAGTGATCGGACTCCCCTGTTTCACAGTTTACAGGTAGAATGGATTTTAATACAGAGAGATTTTTAGCCTGTAGACTTAAGCCACTTAGAAATTATGACTTCTTAGGCCAAACTAAACATGACACCATTCACAAAATTAGCAGTTGGGTGAATAGCTTTTAAGTGTAAACATCAGGTACAGTGACCAATCCAGTCTGGGATCCAGGAACTTTAACCCTTTGCCCCCTGTGCTTCTAAGCAGATCACTTCCACCTGCTGTTTGTACTAGAAGTTTTTATTGGTGTGAATAGAATCGTTCCTTTCCGTGTGCCTCCCCAATCCCAAATTAAGGATGCACTAAGAGAAAAGGGTTAAAGCCCCCTTCCTCCCTCTGCATAGCTTAGTCAATACAGCATGAGACTCTAATCTCAAGGTTGTGGGTTCGAGCCCCACGTTGGGTAAAAGATTCCTACATCTGGGTCCCTTCCAAGTCCCAGCTCTACAGTTCTATGATTCCCCTGACCAGGTTCGCAGCCTGGGTCAGCGACCCCACTTCCCTGGCTTTGTACACCTACAAAACCAATCACACAGCCCTGTAGTTTTGTTTCTTAATCAGCAGCAACTGCAACTGCTGAATAAAGCCCAGTGGCACAGCACTGGAGTGTACTTATTTATTTATAAAAGTATTTTCATACCACCATATCATAAAATATCACTGTGGTGTACCATGATAAAACATAAAGTACCTTGAAAAAACAATACAAATAAGTGATTAGTTAATCCAACAGCCGCAAAGGCCTGTCAGCATAAAAAGGTATTCAAGAGAGGCCTTATGAATCTTCCATATTCTTAAGAACTTAGGAAGAGCCTGCAGGATCAGGCCAATGGTCCATCAAGTTCAGCTTCCTGTTCCCACAGTGACCAACCAGATGCCCACGGGAAGCTCACAAGCAGGATCAGAGTATTCTCCCCTCCAGCAAGTGGAGTTCAGAAGCATTACTGTACCCAGCTATGGATCCAAAGCACAGCCATCAGGGCTAGAAGCTATTGATAGCCTCATCTTCCATGAATTTGTCTAATTCTCTTTGGTAGTCATCACTGCCTCCTGTGGGAGCAAGTTCCCTAGTTTGACCATGTGCTGTGTGAAGTACTTTCTTTTATCTGTCTTGAACCTTCCACCATTCAGCTTCAATAGATGTCTACAAGTTCTAGTGTTAAGAGGGAGAAAAACTTTTCTCTAGCAGCTTCCTCCATGCCACGCATATTTGTATAAACTTCTACCATGTCACCTGTTACTTACCTTTTTTCTGAACTAAGAAGTCCCAAACACTTCAACTTTGCCTCATAGGAGTATCGCTCCATCCGGCTGATCCTTTCGGATTCCCTTTTCTGAACCTTCTCCAGCTTTACAGTACCCGTTTTGAGGAGAGGCAGCCAGAACTGTACACAATATTCCATATGCGGTTGAACCATAGATTTATGTAACACAGCATTATAATAGCGACACTTTTATCTTCAAGTCCTTTCCTAACGATCCCTAGCATAAAATTGGCCATTTCACAGCTGCTGCACACTGGAGCGACATCTTCATTGAGCTATCTACTGTGACCACAAGGTGCTGTTTCTGGTAAGGCACAGCCAGTACCATGAGCATATACGCGAAATGAAGATTTTTTGGTGTCCCAATATGCAACCCTTTGGACTGCAAGAAGATCAAACTGGATGCAAGAAGATCAAACATGGACTGCAAGAAAATCAAACCTATCCATTCTTAAGGAAATCAGCCCTGAGTGCTCACTGGAAGGACAGGTCGTGAAGCTGAGGCTCCAATATTTTGGCCACCTCATGAGAAGAGAAGGCTCCCTGGAAAAGACCCTGATGCTGGGAAAGATGGAGGGCACAAGGAGAAGGGGACGACAGAGGACGAGATGGTTGGACAGTGTTCTCGAAGCTACAAACATGAGTCAAACATGAGTCTGACCAAACTGCGGGAGGCAGTGGAAGACAGGAGTGCCTGGCGTGCTCTGGTCCATGGGGTCACGAAGAGTCGGACACGACTAAACGACTAAACAACAACATGCAACCCTTTACACTTGTGTATGCCGAATTGCATGTGTCGTTTTACTGCCCATTCCCTCAATTTAGAGAGGCCATTTAGAGCTCTTTGCAGTCTCTTTTTGTTTTAATGACCCTGAACAATTTAGTACCATCAGCAAACTTGGCCACCTCACTGCTCACCACTAACTCGAGATTGTTAATGTACAAGATAAATCAGTAAGCAAGCCCTGCAAGCTTACAGTGCTGCTGTCGATGACTCAGTATGAAATAGATTAGTGAGGTCACTTCTCTTCGAGTCAACATACACACAGTGATCATTACAATCTCCCCAAGCTGAAAGAAGGGATTGGCTTATTCAAACTGTTATAGAATGCAGGTTGTCTTGGAATACAGATCACTCATACATAACAGAGAGAACCCATGGAATTACCCAAAAGCTCCAGTCAGTATTCCAGTTGTATGGAGGGGAGGCTTGAATTTTCTCTGTACACACACTAAGGTTTTCCTCCGAGTCCACCAACAGCTGACTGATAAGGCCATGATCCACTTCTTGAAGTGCCTGTGAACAAGGAATAAAAGTGTGCAGCTTAATAAACTGGAGTAAAATACAGCATTTCTAGCTAAACCTCTAATGCTGTGGATAAGCCATGAGGAACAAGGAAGGAACATTTCCAATCTACTTTGGTCTAATTAGGTTATAGAATTTCAAAATCTTTTACCCCTTGATTAGCTCATTGCATGCACATTATGCCTTTCATTTGTTGCACACAGGCTTCACATCTTCAGTTAAGGTTCCACTAATTCAACCAGCACTCAAACTCCTATATCTTGAGGGAAAGTTATTTCTACCCATCCTCTCTTTCCATTCCAGACAGCATGTTCATTGTCAACTGTAAATGCTGCTCACAGTGTTGCTGAAAGACAGTCCTGGACATCCACTGCATTTCCCCTTTGCCGGCACATGCTGCCAAATCCTAAAGGTGTTTGAGAGGATTGTACCACTTCAGACTACCGGTGGGGTGGTGGTGCCCTGGGTGAATGCTCTGTGTCTTAACTACTTGTAAGGAGAAAACGAACAAGGTGGTTCAGTAATTTCCTTCCCGCAAGCAGAGATATGCTTGTGTGAGGATGTATTTTAAAAAATGATTCCCTACCTACAGTCTGAAGTGATACAAACTTTAGCCCATTCTACAGCATGTGTAGATCAGACTATAATCAGCACAGCACTAAGAAATACTACCTTTATTTTGTTAACTTTTTATGTGGGGCAAGTGTTTGACTCCCCCATTCCCAGAAGGTATGTGCTTTCTCACTTTGCGACTGCAGAGCAGGATCACTCAGTTGACCACAGAAGGTTTTAAGTTCTTCTTAAAAACCAGCAAAGCTAACCATCTAACATCAATATCCGCCATTTTGAGAATACTTAGCTTTGGAGTCTGGGACTTTAATTCTCTGGAGCAGTGAAGCTTTTCAGCCCAATGGCCACATTCCCTTCTAAGCAAGTGGTGGGTGGGGCCAGAAACAAAGGTGGGCGGAGCAACAAAAGTTGCTTTTATTTTTGTGCAGTAGTTTGATTTGTACATGCACTCATATCCCTCTGTCCTCCATCCAAATGAACAAAAAGCATTATCAAAAGTCAAGGGTGTATTCTAACCACACAGAAACACTCGAGGAGGGTGTGAAGCAGGTCAGCCCCCACCCCCCCATGCCTGTTTATTTTAATTTTCTTGCATGTGCTAGAGAGGAAAAAATATATGGAACTACTAAGCCATAATTCAGTGTTTCTTTAAAAATGAAAACTGCAGCACAATACCCTTTATATGTGAATAGCATAAAATAAATTTGACACTGAAAAAGAACACACAGGATTATCACCACAGCACCAATATATAGGTCAAGTATGCTGGTCCACATCATGCCTCAAGACTCTTGATCAAAGACTGCCAAGATAGCTCAGTCAGTAGAGCATGAGACTCAATCTCAGGCTTGTGGGTTCAAACCCAACTCTGTGATTCTATGAGTAAACAGTGGAGTTGGTAGGAACAAAGATATGAAGATCCCAAGGGTGGACAAGAGAAACAGTGCTCTTTAGAAAATCAGCTTTCACCCAGCTTAAAATAGGATTCTTAATGTATTATACAGTCAAACCTTGGTTCCCGAATGGCTTAGTTGCCAAACAAATCGGCTCCCAAACACCGCAAACCCGGAAGGAAGTGTTCTGGTTTGCAAATGTTTTTTGGAAACCGAACATCCGACACAGCTTCTGCTTGACCACAGGAAGCTCCTGCAGCCAATCGGAAGCCATGTCTTGGTTTTCGAATGGTTTTGGGAGTTGAATGGACTCCCAGAATGTATTAAGTTCGAGAACCAAGGTACCACTGTATATAGAAACGTATTCTAATGCACCAGCATTATAACACTATACAATTCCAACAGTATTTGCAAAAGGACAACCACATGGTAACGGCCGACAAATGTTTACTTTTAAACTTCTTTTGTAAATGAAGTTTACGAAAGATAATAATGGCAGTGAAAGGTTTCATTTTAAATTCATTTGTAAATGTTTTCTGTGGAAGCATCCTCAGAACACTCAAGAGCTGAGGGGGGTGCGGGTGGTCAAAAAATAAAGGACAAAGCATAGCCCTATCAGGTATGGAGTTTTTTAGCCCTCCTTTACAGGCTGGCTTACAACACACATAGCTTACACAGTCTATAGGATCAAAACGTCTTAAGAACTAGCATTTTAAAACAGGTTTATGTGCATATTAGGATTGCTCCTCCCTCTATTCCCCTCCAGGACTCCAGCACCATTTAACAGCTGTGTGACAGGCAGAAGTTCAACAAGTGAAGTTCTTCCTATTACTGGATCTGCATTGCAGGAAATTTGAACCCTTTTGCTTAAAGATACAGAATTCCTGCCAAGGAAATAAAATGTTGGGCAGGAAAGAAAAAACCCGTGACCCATAGCCGGGTGTTAAGGGGAGTAGCAAGCAGCACATTTTCCCTTCAAAAGGGGAAACTTTTAGACCTCAAACGTCTACCTACTTTATCAGCAACGACTACCGCTAGCTTGCAAGAGAACAAAAAAGAAGCACCTGGCAGGAGAGGACTCTGAATACAGGGACGCTATTTGAAACCTCCAAGTCCGCAGCCATCCACTAATAGACTGAAGAGCCTATTAAATTTTGCTTTTGCAAAATGGGTTGGGGGAGCAGAGGAAGCACAAGTGCAAAGTCAACGGGCAAAGATCGCAACGCTTACCATGGAGAGAAGAAAGAAGATGCAACCTGCAAGCGGGTTGTCTCAAAAATTAGCACCATAGGGCTGCCTGCAACGCCTCTCTCCCCAGCAATTTAAAGGGCCAGCAGCATTAAGCAAAATACACAGAGAGCGCGCGGAAAATGAGTTTCTCTCGCCTACGGCTACGAGAAGTGCCGGCTCCTTTCGAAGGAGGCGATTTGTCCGACCATTGACGCTTTGGCCAAGCTGCCCTGTGCTGTGGAGATGGTTACACTGGAAGGTTTTTGCGAGGGAATTTTAAAAGTTGCACTTACTGAGTGTGCAATATTTTTATTATTTAGGACAAAAATAAGAACCAGGATGGCTGGGATTTCACCCCTTCCCTTGAATAAAAGGTTTGTTTTTCAAAGGGGGGTGGGGTTAAGACCCAGCCATATGTACAAACGAATATCATCTTTCTCTCACTCTTATATACAGTGTACACATTGAAATATGGTGTTGTGGAGGCATTTTCATGAGCGGAGTATTCTCTCAAGTCTGGCGATACCTCCCTCACATGGGCGCAGCCAGGATTTTTGTTAGGAGGGGCAGACTTTTGGGGGGGCAGAACCTCTGATTTGTATTGATTTTGATGCAAAGTCCCCCTGCCCCCGCCCATGCTCCCTCATGTGTAGATGGTCACTATTAGTAATACTGTATATAAGTGGGACAAAACATTGCAGAGTAGTGGTTCTATTTCATTCATATTCAATTTTATCTCCCCCCCCCATCCACTTTGAAGAGACACTCAGCATTCTGTGGCTACTGAAGAATCATAGAATCATAGAGTTGGAAGAGACCACAAGGGCCATCGAGTCCAACCCCCTGCCAAGCAGGAAACACCATCAGAGCACTCCTGACATATGGTTGTCAAGCCTCTGCTTAAAGACCTCCAAAGAAGGAGACTCCACCACACTCCTTGGCAGCAAATTCCACTGTCGAACAGCTCTTACTGTCAGGAAGTTCTTCCTAATGTTTAGGTGGAATCTTCTTTCTTGTAGTTTGGATCCATTGCTCCGTGTCCGCTTCTCTGGAGCAGCAGAAAACAACCTTTCTCCCTCCTCTATGTGACATCCTTTTATATATTTGAACATGGCTATCATATCACCCCTTAACCTCCTCTTCTCCAGGCTAAACATGCCCAGCTCCCTTAGCCGTTCCTCATAAGGCTCAGTCCTCACTGGCTTGGTTTTTTGGGGAGGGGCGGAGAGAAGTTGCGCCCTTCGTTTTGTTTTACTAGATTTTTTTTACTTTTGCACACCTAGGCTCCCGCCACCCCTCCAGCCTGTTCATATCTCTTGTGCTACATAAGCAAGAGCAGACTCCCCCCCCCCGCCGCCGAAGACTGAAATGATATCCTTTATTTAGCGTGTATTTCCAATAAAATAATAGCTCACCTTTCTGACCAAGGAGACACACTATACAGCATTACAGCACAATAAAACCACAACAAAAGACAAAACCAATAAAATAATTTGGCTAGTTGAACCTATGCTATATATATTTTACTGCGTGGTATATCAGCCACAGCATTGCATTTGAGTTCCATGTGCTTCAAAACAGAGCCACCTACAGGAACATAATATGTTAACAAGCTTTTTTAAATGTAAATTTTTTTTAAAAAAATTGTTTGTTTCACCGGTACAATCTCCGAGTGATGCGAGGTTCCAGTGGTTCCAAGCAAGGGTCTGATTTCTTTGTTTAACAAAGCAGGTTCTTTTTTGTAATTTATATTATTATTATTATTATTATTTCATTTTATAATGTATGTCAAACAGTGAGAACAAGTATAACTGACACAAATTAAAAGATGAAAAACACAACTATAAAGGCACATAGTATGGATAGTTGCATGAGTTAAAATAACAAAGTCCAAGTAAAGACTATCAATGTTTCAGTTCCGGATTAGGTCCTTCTCTTTTTATTTTTATTTTTATTACTCCTCCCTATGTTTATAGTTCACATTTTTGTTCTAATTTCCAGCGCTGATGGCTCTTTTCCCCTGTTATGCAGTCATTAGAGCTAGAATATTTTTGTACAAAAGCTGAGATTCACACAGCTTTATCAAAAAGTGTGCTGCCAGAAGTCTCTCAAGTCACAAGAGTTGGTGACTGTGAAATAATTGAACTGCTAATAATCTTACAATATAAATCTGGACCTGAAATGTTGGTGTTTGTGTGAAAGAGAGAATGAAGTAATAATAATAATAAAACTGAAATGTTTCCAGCGAATTGGAAACTTGGGGCTGGCTGAAACCCAGGTCTGCCGCTATTTGTGGTGGCCTCAAAAAATGGATGCTCTAGAGAAGCTGGAATATCAGAGTCTAGGCAGACTCAGGGCTCTCCAGAAGCTGGTATTCAATGGTGCACTCCCATCTGCTGAGAGGCTGCTGAATTTTCACTACCTGCTGTGGGCTCCCTGCTAAACAACCCAGAAGAGCCCACTGGGAGCTCCAAAGTTATTACAATAGGGTTGCTGAGAACCCAGCAGCTCTCTCTAGTGGCCATTGATGCTTGAAGCAAGCATCTCATGCCCTCCCAATCCCAGCCTCTGCTTTTCGTAACAAGCATGGATATAATAGCTCGCTGCTCCATTCTGTGCTGGCAGCAGACCCCTTCGTATAGACAATATTTCTACCCTTCGTTTTCCCCATCCCTGGGGAGCAAGAACTTGCGGGGTTCTTCTGCCTTGGCCTTGAAATCTGTTCCTGCAAAGCTAGAGCTCCACTTGTGAATTTGTAGGATACATAGAAGCCCACTGCTAGGAACCGTGGGGGCTTCAGCCCCCACAATAAAATATTTGAGGAGGCCGGGCCACCACAAAGTTGATGGGCGTTCCCATTCAAATGGTGTGTGCACACTGCATCATACGATCAGTTATGCGGGGTGGGGCTCACCTGGGCCTCCGCAATATTTTATTCAAGTTGGCACCCCTAGTAGAACGGAAAGGCATCTGCACATGTGCAGCAGGGTATATTGTCGCCATCAAGAAATAACAGCTATTAGAATAATAGAATCTCAGCTAAAGCATACGTGACAGATGGCCATCCAACCTCTGCTTAAAAACCTCCAAGGAAGGAGAGCCATAAGGGATAGATGAGTCTTGCCAAAAGGCACGTACAATTAGTAGGCCGAGGGCAGAAGATTGTCCACCTGTGTCCAGTCCAAATCGTATGCCCATAGCAACCCTGCCCTTACTATATGCTGTGGAATACAACTCCTATCAGGCCTGACCACTGACCACACTAGCTAGGCATAATGGGATATGGAAACCACCAGGTCTGAGAAGGCTGCTTTAAATTGTTTGTTTGTTTAGATCATCAGCTGGTACATGGATGAAAGCAATTATATTTAATGGTGGTAATCTGCCCTGTTGCCATGACAATAGATCCCTTCTATGCTAGCATGAGTCTTATTGAATCAAAACTAAAATATTGAACACATAGTTGCTTAGATCTCCTTCTCATGTTATTGAGAATGCAGGAGACAAAGCAGAGAAGATGAAAAATACATTTCAATGGCTTTTGTAACATTCTTTGTTTAATAAAGATCAGGTAAGAAGACCTATGTACAACAGGTCTCCTTTCCTTTCGCTATTTTCCAGCCCTCCTGCCTTCTGCTTGGGCCTGACCTCTTACACTAGATATGCAAAGCCAGCTTTCTAGACAAAGATGTGCCAGAACTCACCATGAATGTCTCCCTTGTTCTCTTATAATGGCAATGGTGCCCACCTGAGAGGTGCCAGAACTGAGTTCTGGTGAGTTCTGGCTGAAAACAAGCCCTGTAATGCAATCTTATAGATATCGTCACATGTGCCTTTTTAGCTTCTGTTGGTAAAAGTAGGCTGAAAAGATTTAGGATGACAGTGCAGGTAAACCACCAAACTCAATTACCTGTGCATACGTTAAATCTGCTGAATTTCTCACCCTTGTTATCAACAGTACAAGAAACAACTCATCAAATGAGATAACCGGTCTCTGAGCACAGGGAAGGGCAGAAAAACATACCGTATTTTTCCATCTACAAGATGCCCCCATGTATAGGACATCCCCTATTTTGGGGGATTCAGATTTAAGAAGATGGGGGGAGATGTATCCGTGTATATGAAACCCCCTAATTTTTGACATTATTTTTTAAGGGGAAAAAACCTAGACTTTTTCACTACAGATATTACATTGATAGGAGCATGGGACATTGCTAGGGACAAGAGATCTGTGACACCCCAGATGTTGGACTACATACCCTTTTTACATTTTTACATTACATTTCCCAGGGCTAAGCCATGAAATTGAAAACAGACTCTAGGCATGGCACAGTTAAGTCCAACTATTCCCATGGGTCATGAGACTATTTATTCTTATTCCCTGACAACACACAAGTTTGTTTGGGCAGTTTTCAAAAACCCCAGTGGCAATTAAGTTAAATGTAGTTACATTAGTCATGGAGAATCAACAATCTGTTTTATCAGTAACTGGAAAAAAAGTTGCACAAGAGGAGTAGAATGTATTTATTAAAAATAACTGTCGTTCACTTTCCCTTCCAAACTAGAGGGGTTTACAAAATACACAAAAGCTTACCAAAGGTCACAACATATTAATATATCCAGATAATATGAATGACATTCAAAACATATTTGGTGTCATTTCAGGGGAAGATTCTTCACAATTCTTGCTGAATAACTAGGGCCACAAGCAATTTTATTAGTGCTGGCTGTTTTCATGGGGGATTTGTGAGGCAAAGGATCTTAGGAAGGTCATTCTAAAACCTGATCGTCAAGTGCAAATTCTGGGTTGTTTAGCCAAGGCACTTCTTAAAATTTCCTCCCTATCCAGCACCCTCTCTGCAGCTCCCCTCACAAAGATTAGAGCAGCTTCCCAATGAAATAACTGTAGGAAGACCAAAAGTGGCAGCCCTCTAGGCAGCAGACAGAGAGCTGTGATGTCAAAGCTGTGGTAACCTTAGTAAGTGTGACATTTACTGGGCAGAATGTGAATTCCTATTCTGTTGCAACACAAAGGCAGAGAGGCACATCTTTTTTCTTTTGCCCATACGTTTGGAGCCAAAGGCAAAACCAAAGAGAATACATTGTCAGCTATGATCAAGCAGAATTTGAAATCCTACAGCTGGGCAGTGCCCCGTCTTCTGATTTCTATCTGTTTGGGTAAGTAACTGAGCTAATGAACTACAGTACCTTCATTTTTAGGAGATTGGAGCAGGGAGAGGGGACCTGTGGTTTCTTCTTATAGTTGCTTGTGGCAAACTAAGGGTGCAATCCTATGCACTCTTACTTGTCTGGGATGCAAGTAAGCTCCACTCAACACAATGGAACATAGCTTTGAGTAACATCCATAGAGTCAGTCTGAGTAGGTTGTGATCTGGGCTGTATCTTATTGGTCTATAGGCTATTTTGTAAAAGGTGGTTGAAGCGTATGCATCTGTAATTATGATAGACAGTCTTTAGTCTTTCACATTCTGTTACGTCTATGGTTCTATAATTTATGAAGTTTGGTTTTATAAGGTGATTTTTAAACAAAAGGGGGGCACACAGTTTTCCATTAAAAAATATATCCTAAAGGCAGAGAAGTTGCTTCTGTGCTAATCTTTTTACATCTGAAGTCAACCCCCCCATTTCTGCTTCTCAACAAGCAGCTATAATTATGTTGCCTTTTTACTTAAAGACAGAATGTGGGAGTTTTAGAGAAGGGGTTTAGCTGGGCAAATTTGTCCTCAGGTTTTGTATCATTAGGACTTTATGTCTCTTCTTGTTGTGATGTACTGACTGCAAACCCTAATGAGAGAGCTGCTATAAATACACTTTTTCTATGTCCTCCCTCACCCTGCAATTTGAAGAGATCTTGCGAGGTTATGCATAAACATTTGTCACAAAATCAGTTAAGGAGGACACAGTATTGTAATGTGTTTATTGCCTGGATACACAACCCTAGGCTGACCACGTCCAAAGAGAATAAGGCTCCTTTGTGTCTAACGCATGTGTAATGGAGTGAATATTGATACTGTTCTAGGTTGAGGGTGCCAAATGCCTGGGTTTAGTAAATGCTGGAAAGTAGGATAAAGTAAACAGTGGCATGAAAAAAATGGAGGCTTGAGGACACAATGGTGTTGAAGGAAACAGAAACCAAGGGGAATGTACAACCGGGCCAAAGCTTTGTGTGTGACCTCAGGAGGCAATAAAAGCTGTGCAACTATAGGCATGGATAAGTGGGCAGGCAAAAGAGGGAGAAATAGGACTGATAGGGTTGTGCAACTAGAAGCTGGAGGGACAATTACAGCCAGCTGTGGTTTCTACTGTCTCTGAACAACAGCCATCCCTAAGGTAAATGCCAAGATGAAGTGATGATGCTGATGGTGGTGGGCTGGGTTTCACATATTGATTTCAAAGAACTGTCCAAATTCTGTGTATGACGCGCCCATCTAGAAAACAAAAAGATGTCAGGATGCCAGCAACACCCTGCCTTCCAACATTGCACAGATGCACACAGGGACACTCCTGTGTGCTTGTATTATGGGAGGACAATATAAATAAATACAAGTGAACTAATAACCTTTTGCAATGTTAAGAGCAAGTCCTCCATGGCAACCTTCACAGTGAAGCCCAGGGAATGAGCTGGTAATTGAACCAAAGATGGGAATCTTTGGCTTCCAGCAAAGCTTGAAACACACACACTTCAGGTTTGATATTTGAAGGTGGCAGATAAATCAAGCTGGTTGTACTATTAAGAGCCAGTGTGGTGTAGTGGTTAGAGTATCGGACAAAGACCTGGGAAATCAGGATTTGAATCCCCACCAAGCCATGAGCTTATCCACACCTCAATTTGCCCTGCCACTTCCCGCAAGGGAAACCCAATCTTCAGTGCTAAATCGAAACAGAAAGGCAATTCTGTAAGTAAAAAAAAATCTTATTATATAAATTTGATCTATGGTGCAGTTACTAGCGCTACATAATACTTATTCCACATTTGAGGGGGGCTCTATCTTTTAGTGTAGCAGCACCCAAACTTTGGAACTCCCTGCCTATTGACATTGAGCAAGTGCCTTCACTGTACTCTGCACCTGCTAAATACATTTTTGTTTAGGGAAGTCTATCCAGACTTCCGGGGTGGCGCCTCCGGAAAATGGCGGAATTCCCTTCGGACTGAAGGGAACCCGCTGCACGGAGGCTTGGGTCCTGCCGCTACGGCGCAGCGGGGACCCTCAAAAACCACAGGCGGAAGAAGCCTGTGGACGTGGGACTCGGCGGGCACCGAGAGCGCTCTCTCCCTGGTACAGGAGCCCGGTAACGGGCTCCGGAGTGGGAGGTGCGTGGTGCTGTGAGTCGACTGCTTCCTCCGTGCAGCAAAGCCGCACTGCCGTTATCGGAGAGCGCTGCCTTTTCCTGGACAATTTGGCATCTAAAACATCTATCCGTGAGTACCTGATCTTGGAAGAGTTGAACTACTTTTAAGACTGGTGAATAAACAAATAATATTGGACTTGAAATTGAACTCAATTGGGACTCGGAACGCGAAGGTCTAAACAGGAAGTCAGCCTTCCGTTCTTTTGTTACGTGAAGAAAGCAAAGACAAAATATACTAAAGCTTGAAAATTAAATTCTGAGAGAACTAGAATTCAACATCTAAGATTTCTGAACCCCCCCTTTGACTGCAGGAGAAGAAGGGGGTTGTATTTGGATTTTTCAATCCTGCGGAAGTGAGTTTAAAATAAAGCAATTTTCCACCGCCCTGAACCAGGAGCGGGCTGTCAGAATTGACGTTTTGAAGTTTATCCAGCTCGACAGTTAGTTAAAAGAAGGGTAACATTTTGATTCTACTGTTGCCTCTTGAATTTGGAAGGGGAATTTTGGATAAAGTGTTTCTGGAAAAAGAAAGATTGTTGCTGTTGCTTTTATTCCTTTTAAAAAAAAAATTTCCATCTAGTGGAATTTAGTGAAATTGCAACGCAGAGAGTTTAAAAGAGAAGGACTATTGGACTATTGTCGTGGGAAAGAATTTTCTTTGACCTTGAAGGACAATGCTAGTACAAAGGCTTGAACAATTGTTCCTGGAAGGTTTTTCAAAACTAAGTGCCCAGCTGGACCAGATGCGTCAGGAGACGACCTTGATGATGGAAGTTACCAGAGCACAGCAGCAAACAAATGAAATTCAGTTAAAGGCTATACAAGCATATGAACCTGCTGTAGTGACGGAGGCTTCAGAGATGGAGGGACCTTTGGACGGGCGAGATCAGCCTTTGAACTTGACAAATGAACTTGGGACAAACCAGATTCGGAAAGATGAAATGTGGTCAGATTTGGAAATGGGGGGATGGATCGACCCCCCTCTATATGGTTATTTGGACCTTCCGAGTCTAGTGATAGGCTATCAGAGGATTGGAGTAGCCGAAGTCTCCAAGCTTTGTGGAAATTTGAAGTGGTATTATCTGCTGTCTGGCTTGGGCAATGGGTTTGGGATGGACTTGCTGCAAAGAGTCAAAAGCATTTTCTTGCTGGAGTATCCACGACTGGAAGGGAATCATCAACAAGAGTGGCGAAAGGGGCAAGAAAGAGACTTGAGGGCCTCGGATACGAGACAACCAGGTTAAGGAGCCGGATTATTGAGGTTAAAAGGACTGACAATCCCGGGTCCAGGGGAGGGGAGGTTGGAAGCTGACTGGACTGAATTTGACTTATTATTTTTTCCTTTTTATTTTTTAATATTGGGAATGTTTATAAATGTTTGAAGGATGTTGAATGAAATTACATGGCTTAAGTAAGGATTGGTAAATGATTCGTAAAAAGGTAATGATGTAAGAATTTGGTAAATATCGAATATAAGCTATGAGTTTTAAAGTTTTTATATGACAAGAGGGAAAATAGAATAAGGAAACGTAATGACAGATTGTTATGAAAAAACAGAAAGGATTTGCTGTAAAAATTAAAAATTAAGAAACAAGAGAGGGGAGGAGGAGGAAGTCTAGAAAGGAAGTAAATAGAGATTGTAAAGGACTTTATATTTTTGTTTTTCTGTTTTTCCTTTTTTTCTTTGCGGCTGGGTTTTCTTTTCTTTTTTGTTTATGTACTATTTTTGTTTTTTGTATTTTCAAAATTTTTTGGAAACTTTTGTTGTTATTCTTTGAAAACTTAATAAATATCAATTATAAAAAAAAACAGATATGTAGCTTGTTGACATGTGTTTTAATCTAGGTTTTATTGTTTATTTTAATTTTTAAAAATGTCTTAAGTAGTTGTTTTTAACTGGGTTTTTTAATTACTGATAACCTCATTGTATTATTTTTCTAAACTGCTTTGTTGTTTTTAACAATCAATCAGTATATACATGTTATGAAATAAATTACAAAATAAAAATCCGGAATCTGTAGAAGGGCTTGGCAACTGCAAATATATAAGCCCTGTGTTTTGATGTTGCTGCATATCTGGTACCAGGACAATAAAAGAAAACAATAACAAGAAAAATGTTGACTTTTGCCAATTTATAATATCTTAGCCTCGGTTCACCATCTGCAAAATAAGGATAATTGTGATGTACCACATAAAATTGTTGTGAAAATAAAGCAGGGAATGAAATTATACCTAAATTATAAGGATTGTTCAAATGATCATTCTAAGGGCATTTTTTTAAAGTGAACCAGTTTAATTATTCTTATGCATAGGTCTTCCTTTTAACTGTGGGATGTTGAAGCTAAGATAGTCGGTCTAGGCACATGACAGTGATTCACAGGCTCAAGTTGCCATAGCAAAAACCCTTGTTGTATTTACCGAGTCTTTATTCTTCCTTTCTATATTGTTTGGTCCAGCCTCTCTTGAAGTGCACCTGTTACTCTCTCTCCACTTGGCTTCACAGGCTACCAAAGATGGCTGGATGACAATGATCTCTTTCAGGGCAAAGGATTTTGTAAACAGTTGAGCCCCTCAGCAAAGGTCATGAAATTAAAATGGATTTGCTAGATATCTGTGATCTTTTAAAAGCTTTAGTCAAATGCAGTAATGTATATGTTTCCATATATGAAGGAGTTATGGTGCATAAACACATTTCACGGACAACATGGTTTGGTTCTGCTTATTTATCATTTTTAAAATTCATGCATGTTGAGAGGGGGGGGAAACAGAGTTGGGGGGGCGGAGTGCTCTAACAACCCCACCTCCAACATTGAAATAATGAATGTGGGGATTGTGGGTCCATGTAGGCTAGCTGCCAATGTGCCCAGCTCTCCACGCATTGGGTGTGTGTTAGAAGGGCCCCATAGCTGTTTACCTTTGGGGTCCCTTCCCACTCTACAATTCCTGGGCCAATCAAAGTCCATCTTGGAGTGAAATGAGGGACTTCTAAACCTCCAAGGTAGATGGGAGCCCATGGGAGCGGGAGGGGCAGTTGGGAACATAGCTGTCAACGTTTCCCTATTTTAAAGGGAAATTCCCTTATTCCGAATAGGATTCCTCGCAAGAAAAGGGAAAAGTTGACAGCTATTGTTGGGAAATCCTTTTGCACTAATGCTAATCCCTGCACTAGTATAAAAATGTATACCACCTGTATCCAGAATTATGGTTGAAACAACTGAAAATGCATCTCTTGTCAGCAGACTCAAAAAGTAAATCAGTACATACCCACCCTTTTATTTATTACCTATTCTCTCTCCCTTTCTATAATCTGCTATGAAGCCAGAACTTCCAGTCCTTTAAACCCCACACAACCCAGTTCGCCCACGCACAGAATCCCGCACATCCCCTAAATAATCACTACCTTCTGTAAGTCTCACCAAGAACATTCGTCTTTCTCTCTTCTTTTGCAGCTGTTTATGCTGGCGTTGGAAATGCAGCCAAGGAGAACAGAGCTATCTCAACCCATTCACCTGCCGCTTCCCCCACGACAGTGTTTCACACACATGGAACGAGTCTTGTGCCTCCATCTGTGTCCCAGAGTCCAAGCAGAGAGAAAGCCAAAGAGGGTGAAACGGTGACCCTTGGATGCCGGTTCCGAAGTTCCCATGGCTCATCTTTGAATAACCTAACAGTGAAATGGTACAAGGAGGATGAAAAAGGGTCAAGGGACCTAATGGAGAACAACATCACTGTATTGGCAAACTATACCAGAGCATTCCTGACAGGGAATTTATCTGAAGGCAATGCATCTTTGACTATCTTAAATGTGACAACCAGCGATCATGGCACTTATTTCTGCCAGGTGACCCTTTCCAATGGAGATGTGGTGACAGGAGGTGGCACAAAGCTCAGGATCCGCAGAGCGCTGGGTAATCTTATGTTTTGTTCATTTCTTTTCTAAATTAGCCCCAATATGCACTATACGCTATCCTACCACTTCAAACAATCATGACTGTGCTCTAGTCCAGGGGTTAGGAAACGTTTTCAACGTTTCCACCGTCCCTCAGACCTTGTGGGGGGCTGGACTATATTTTTTTGGGGGGGAGGATGAACAAATTCCTATGCCCCACAAATAACCCAGAGATGCATTTTAAATAAAAGCACACATTCTACTCATGTAAAAACATACTAATTCCCGGACTGTCCACTGGCCGGATTTAGAAGGCAATTGGGCCGGATCCGGCCCCCGGGCCTTAGTTTGCCTACCCATGCTCTAGTCTCACCAGACTCCTGAGGGAGCTGACAGTTGTTAGGAGACCCCTGTTCCCCCACAGAGCTACTATTATCAGGGAGTTTTATCAACGAATCACTCTTCACAGGGAGCTCTGAGAATCGTAGCTTTCTAAGGGGAATAGGGGGGCCTCCTAACAACTGTCTGTATTCTTAACAAACTACAGTTCTCAGGATTCTTTGGGGGGAAGCCATGGCTGTTTAAAGTGGTATTATACTGCCTTAAACATATAGTGCAGATGGAGCCTCAATAACAGCAGTAAACAAAATAGATTGAGTGGCGGGTGACTGAGTTTAAAGGGGGCAGTGCACCCTTCACCCTAATGGACTAGCCTCCACTGTCATGAATTAATAAAGCATGATGCGTCATGCTGCTCATCAAAAAAAATTGACAGATGCATGGCCAAGCCATAGGGCATATCTACGCTGTAGTTTTATATTGCATGGCTTCCTAGAAAGAATCCTGGGAGCTCTGTGGCTCGATGAGGGTGCTCAGTCCTGTCGAAAGCGTTACAGTGGTACCTTGGGTTAAGTACTTAATTCGTTCTGGAGGTCCGTTCTTAACCTGAAACTGTTCTTAACCTGAAGCACCACTTTAACTAATGCGGCCTTCTGCTGCTGCTGTGCCACCAGAGCACGATTTCTGTTCTCATCCTGAAGCAAAGTTCTTAACCTGAGGTAATATTTTTGGATTAGCGGAGTCTGTAACCTGAAGCGTATGTAACGTGAAACGTATGTAACGTGAAACGTATGTAACCTGAGGTACCACTGTGTTCTCCAAACACCTAGGGAGAGGATATGATGATGAAACTAGTTTAAGTCTGTGGTATAATGTGCATATAAGGCCACATCGCCACCATATAGTAAAAGCACTATTATGCCACTTTAAACAGTTATAACTTCTCCCAAAGAATTCTGATAAATATCATTTGTTAAGGGTGCTAAGAGTTCCCCTCACAGAACTACAGCTCCCAGAGTTCCCTGGGAAGAAGGATTGATTGTTAACCTGTTGTGACAATTCTAGCTCTGTGAAGGGAATAGGGGTCTCCTAACACTCTTGGCACTCTGAACAAACCACAGTTCCCAGGATTCACTGCAGGGAAGCCATGATTGTTAAAGTGGCATAATAGTGTTTTATACATGCAGATGCGTTGATATGCACATCGTTGTGTGATTAATGTATGACCAGTGACATGCTTCTGACTTCTCTAATTATTTGAGTACAGTGGTACCTCGGGTTACATACACTTCAGGTTACATACGCTTCAGGTTACAGGCTCCGCTAATCCAGACATAGTACCTCGTGTTAAGAACTTTGCTTTAGGATGAGAACAGAAATTGTGCTCTGGCGGCGCGGTGGCAGCGGGAGGCCCCATTAACTAAAGTGGTGCTTCAGGTTAAGAACAGTTTCAGGTTAAGAACGGACCTCCAGAACGAATTAAGTACTTAAGCCGAGGTACCACTGTATCAACTTACATGTTTTGTTTGTTTATGTGCTCTTAATATGCCAAAACAGTTTACAACTGTGAAAACCAATCCCTAATTAAAATACACAATAACATTAAAACACCTCTAATTAAAATATGCAATACAGCAATTTATAAAATTAAAACCATCAAATCCCAAGTTCAATTCAGAAGACAGCGGATGAGCAAGCACACTGGTCATGTGGTCATAATTATGTCAGTGGAAAGTAGATCACTGACCCACATGAGGGTAATTAGTAAAAGGATCAGCTGGGCTCCTAAATACAAAATCTGGGGCTTAACACACTTTGCAGCAGGAGAGAGCGCCCAGCAGCAGAGTTTAAACTCACAAAAGTCAAGCAGCAGTATAGCATGGGATATAGGCTATTAAACTCTTTTCATATCTCATTTATTTGCATACAGCGCTCCTCATTTCTACCCCTCTTGTAATGAACAGGCCACATTGTTAAATAAGTTTTAAAAGACTTTACTAACAAAACTTAAATGGCAATTCCAACTGACTCACCTCCACTCCCAGTACAAACCTTGGTAGTACTTGTGTTACCTTGCTAGGAAAACATGGGAAGGCACAGACCATAAGGCCAGAGCCAGGCTGGAGATCTTCTGTAGAGCAGAGTTTGCTGCCAGAGAAATGTAACAGGCCTAATATTTATAAATTCTTAACAGGAATAATTGTCTTATGCTTGTTTTGTCAGTTTAATGTAGATTGTAAAGTCCCTGGAATGGGGACAGCTTACATTCTACATTATTTGTATAGAAACAGGGCTTAGTATTAGCACAATATGAATGTTAAATAGTGGTGGAGTTCATTACTCATAATCTACCAACCTACCTCAGTCACACACTCTTCAAACTGTGTTCCAATTCACACAATTGGTTCTTGCTGTGTGTGTGTGTGTGTGTGTAATATATATATATATATTTGTTAGGCTTTCTCACTCTATTTTAAAAAGGCCCCTAGGCTGTGAATGTCCTCAGTTTTCCTAGGGAGATATTTTTGTCATTTTGGACGTAAAATAGTCTAGTCTGTAATACAGAACATTACACCCCAAGAGTGTCTCTCGTTGTTCCTCTCACAGGTTTAGCAAACATAGATCCAAATCTGCCCCCTCAGTTTCTCAGTGCAGCCTCTTCCAGCCAGTGTGCATTGAGTTTTCCTTACAATTCTCTATATTCAAGACGATTGATTTCTGATGCCTCTGTGCATTTCCCCTCAGGACTGTTTGGCATAGAAGAATCCATTGGAACAATCATTGGTGTGGTGGCAGCTGGCATTGGCGGCATGTTAGTTCTAATAGTAGTTTTAACTCCTCAGCTGAGGAAGTGCCTTCCATGTGCTAAAGCAACGTCGAACCAAGGTATGGTGACAGCAAAATGCTTGTTTGCCAGAATTATAGATGCAAGGCATATTTGTTGCCAAATGCTTTCAGAAAAACAAGCTTTATACTGAATAACAACTAAAGAGATCTAAGAGAGATCGCCAGTGCTGATATATCCAACGACCCAAGCAAATCTTTGAACTTCATTTTCTGAAAGGCTGGCCAGCTGCAAAAAGGGCAGGGGGGCAGCTTTAAGCATGGTGTAGAAGAGGAAATTTCAGCAGATGGAGCTAGTCTCTCAACGGAGAGGCTCTGCAGCACAATTTCTCCCATTGCTATACCTTCAAGATAGCTGATGATAGATCGCTTCAAGGTTGCTATACAAGGTAGTTGACCTTCCAGATTTTGCTGGACTTCAACCATTGGGAGCCCAATAACTTGGGCACCATATTGGCTACCTCTGGATGGAATAACTGCTTATAGGTGATAGCTGAAGGAGGAGCCTGATGGAATTGGTCTGTCAGCAGAGCCAGTGGTGGAGGCCTCCAGTCCTGTCCCTGCATTTACTATAGCCTCGTGGAATTGCTATTGGCAGGTAAAGGTAGCAGTGAGGCTGGGGTTTGAGAAGAGCTGATGGAGGAAACCTGCAGTTGCATCTCTCTTCTATTGTTTATGTATAGACATACAGTACTATGCTTTCTTATTAAATAAACACCACAATTGCTATCTGTATATATCTGTATGCTCAGCGATCTTCAAAGCATTTGGGGTTGTTTTGCCAAATTCTCTCTCTCTCTCTCTCTCTCTCTCTCTCTCTCTCTCTCTCTCTGTGTGTGTGTGTGTGTATACATACACACACATACACCACAAAAACAAAAAGCCCACTTAAAGAGGAAATAGTCTGAATGTTCTGTAAACAGGCACAGCAAGGTTCTTGAAGCAGATTGAACAAATACACAAGGAAGAAGCTGAATTGCACTGAGAAGATTAAGACAGCAGTCCTAAAAATACTTACCTGGAAGGTAGCTACAGTGAAACCAATAGGTGTTTGTAATCTGAGTGAAAGCTTTTCAGATTATAGTCCTTGAGATGGTGTTAGAGCTGGTAGCAGCACACAGCCTGCTACAATGGCTCTGACTTCAAGGACTTACTGCATGATTCTCTGTCTAAGAAACCAAGTGTAGCACAAAACAGTTGGATTGAAAAGCTTGCCACATGTTTAAATTCATCTGGATGTTATTGAGTTGCTGCAGCTGTCTCCATTCTAATTCTTTCAGGACCAATAAAACAACCATAAAAGGTCCCTTCAAGGTGCAGAGCTGAACAAGGCCAATGTAAACACAAGAAATGATTCTACATTACCATGATTAACATGAATTTTGTACTGCTCTTGTATGTTATATTTGTGGCAAGGGTTTGGCCAACCTACAGTGGAGCCAAATAATCAGAAGTGCTTGCACAGCTCAAGCACATTACTACATTAACTTTGTGATCATACAGGGCTGCGTACACATTATACCTTTAAAGTACATTTGAAACACAGCTTCCTTGGCAGTGCCCAGAATTCTTTGATAGGAAAAATGTGCTTTGAACGTGCTTCAAATGTATATTGTGAAAAATGGGTTGTAAAATACTTAGTTGCATTATATTGTGTCATATCCTCTACTTCATTGTTTATTTACTTAATCTTTTTTTCTTCCTCCACAGCATAACTTGGACAGCATGGTTAAAGTAATTGCCAGATGTGCCACCGACTATATAGTTTTCTGAATGTAAGCAAAAATGTCAGTTGTTTGAGTGTTTTCTATAGTCTACCTAAAAATGATATAATAAAAAGGCTTTACCATCCTTTTAGAATATATGCCTCAAATTGTGACTACAGTTTAGTCATAAGATAAGCATCCTTTTCCAAAAAAAACCACAACCCTTTTACAATAGCATCCTCACTACTAAATAAAAGAAGAAAACTATATTAAAGCATAGAAAGGGGGTGGTTGCACTGAGCATTGTATCTTCTCCAGACACAATAAGCCAGTGTGTGGCCAAGATGGCTGAACCTCCTGTTCTCTATCAGTAAAAAGCTCTCTGCTGTATTCAGGGATCTTATGGTGCCTTCCTGCACTTAGAGTATCTCTCTTACACTTCCTGTTCCACAGGACTGTCACTTTATAGGAACACAGCATCACCAACCACAAAGAACCTGTGGAGGTCCAGGATGGTTTGGGCACATGCACTGTAGTTATGCGGACTTACTGTATGCACCACTTCTTTAAAAGATCATAGCATGGCATTTCAAAAACACTTTTGTAGGGCACGTTTTCCATAACAAGATAAAACAAGAAGCCTATGAATCTGTGCAACCAACAGGTGTAGAGGTCATTGTTTAATCTGTCATTTCCAGAAATCTGAAGATACATACACAGTTCAGAAGCTGCTAGTCTAGTTGAATGATATACAAAATACAGAGAGCTTAAAGTGGAACGAAACTGAAGGTTTCCATTATAAAGTAGTCTTAATGCCTACATTTCCCATAACTGCATACAGGGTAAATATGGCCGCACAGAAAATTTGGCCAGAAGGCATAGCGTCGGTTAAAAGGGGCAGATCTCCAACACTTGGCTGCTTCTCTGTCACATTGGCATATGATTTTTTGACATCTGTCTAACATTGTATCTGAAAAAGAGAAAAACCAGGTGGATAGTTAAAATGTAATAACAGCACCAAACTGGAACAACTAGCCACAAATTGTTAATGTCTATTGGCATTTGTTATTCATTGCAGCTGCTTTGGGAATCGTGATAGACCAGGAAGGAAGGAAATAAAACTATAAATCAAAATAAGTAAGTCATTCTTAAAGTTTAGGCTCAGATTTCTGAAAGCAGCTACAATAACAGGTAGCAGATAGGGACAGTTTTCACAATGGTCAGATTTATTATTATTATTATTATTATTATTATTATTATTGATTAAATTTGTATACTGTCCATCCAAAGATCCCAGGGCAGTTCACAACAGAAAAATACAAAATGAGAACACAAAATGGATAATAAAACAAAACCCAACCAATAACCCCCCCCACACACAAACACATTAAAAAAGCCACAGAATGTTAATCAACCAAAGGCCTGGTTATAGAGAAACGTTTTTCCCTGGTGCCTAAAGATATGTAAGCCTCGCTGGGGAGAGCATTCCACAAACAGGGAGCCACCACAGAAAAGGCCCGTTCTTGTGTTGCCACGCTCCAGACTGCTTGTGTAGGAGGCACATGAAGAAGGTCCTCAGATGATGATTGAAGGATCTGGGTTGTTCATATGGGGAGAGGCATTTGGGGCTTTTTGGTCTAGAAAAGAGTGAGTAAGTGACGTGATAGTGGTGTATAAAATTATGCATGGGGTAGAATCCGTGTATAGAGATAGGGTATGGATAGAGATAAGTTTTTCTTCCTCAATGCTGAATGCTGAAAGATCCAGGACAGAAAAAGGAAGTACTTCTTCACACTGTGTGTAGTTAAACTATGGAATTGAAATCAGTGGATTTAAGTCTACTCTTAGTAGACCCTAACACTAGATCATGCATTGCTTATCAAGATAAAATGGATAAATACAATGAAATTAAAATTGTTACCTTACCACATACCACAGTATTGTCATTACAGGTCCATTTATATCTACGTATTATGGGGTTACAGCCTTGTTCCTCTGCGAAGCCATAACAGCAGTCATGTTCATGACAGCACCTTTAAGCAATAGAGATTGAATTGTACCCATTATATTTTGTGAGCATTTCTTCAAGGCCCATCCAAGATTTAAAAAGAGGCATGTGCCAATACAGAAGTACCATATTTTTCGCTCTATAAGACGCACCAGACCATAAGACGCACCTAGTTTTTGGAGGAGGAAAACAAGAAAAAAATATTCTGAATCCCAGAAGCCAGAACAGCAAGAGGGATCGCTGCACAGCGAAAGCAGCGATCCCTCTTGCTGTTCTGGCTTCTGGATTAGCTACGCAGCCTGCATTCGCTCCATAAGACGCACACACATTTCCCCTTACTTTTTAGGAGGGGAAAAGTGAGTCTTATAGAGCAAAAAATATGGTAAATTCTTCAACTAGACAGGCACTCTCCAATATTGTTTCAAGTACTTCTAGTGTTTCAGGGAAAGCCCATTAAGTTTTTACATTAAGTATTTATCCCTCTGTAATCATTCATTGGGACGCGGGCGGCGCTGTGGGTAAAACCTCAGCGCCTAGGACTTGCCGATCGCATGGTCAGCGGTTCGAATCCCCGTGGCAGGGTGCGCTCCTGTCGCTCGGTCCCAGCGCCTGCCAACCTAGCAGTTCGAAAGCACGTCAAAGTGCAAGTAGATAAATAGGGACCGCTTACTAGCGGGAAGGTACACGGCGTTCCGTGTGCTGCGCTGGCTCGCCAGGTGCAGCTTCGTCACGCTGGCCACGTGACCCGGAAGTGTCTGCGGACAGCGCTTGCCCCCGGCCTATAGAGTGAGATGAGCGCACAACCCTAGAGTCTGGCAAGACTGGCCCGTACGGGCAGGGGTACCTTTACCTTTTACTTTAATCATTCATTTGGTAAACAAACAACAAGAGCGCGGTGCATGCAAATATTACACCTACCACTTTTCTCAGTGAAGCAAGGATTAAAAAAGAAATCAAATTTATCTCTAGTGAAAGTCCACTGGTTCCAAATCAAGTTAAAAGAGGACACACGACATTCCTTTTCTCTCATTGCATTCTCTCAACTTAGCAACATGGTAATGTCATCTGGCATAATAAAGGGCAGGTTTTGTTATGCGCTGATCATGTTACCTATTATTCTCAGTACTCACTCACCAGCACTATGTGATTTTGTCGCTGCTTTGTGCTACCATAATTAGGGATGGGCAAATCTGTCAAATTTGGTTTCTCATTTTCAAATCTCAGGTTCTGTTCTGCACATTTTCCCCAATTTTTGAAGTCCTCAAGAAAATTCATAATCATTTTAGTGCATTTCCCCCCTCTTAATGTACATGTTTCTATGTAAGTTTGCATAATATACACATTTATGCAAAGCATAAATTCCCCTAAAATAATGCATTTTTGTATGTTATTTTTCACTAACATATGCATTTTATGGATGCTTTACCCCAATACAGGATTTTTTTGCACACATTACTTGGCTGGAGAAAGGCACTGCAAATTTCAGAGCAGTGTGAATTTTGAAGGATAGCTGTGTTTTGGTTCTTGTATTGTTGTGGAATATGTGAATTTGGTAGGTTCACCTTTAAATGTGAATGGGATCAAATTTCTGCCCCATCCCTAACCACAATATAGTTTCCTACAGTTTCTCTTCCACAAATTAAACCTGCCATCATTTCAAGGGTATTAAATAAGGTTGGATAAATTCAATTGAAGAATGACACTTGGGGATGTCATTGATGTCCTTACCAGTCTGTTTTGTCCTTAGGCCACCCTCTTCCTCCTGGGCCGCAGTAGCATCCATAACCTAAATATGCCAAAGGAAATCGTCTTGTGCCACACTTTATGGCTCCAGATAACTCAAGGAGGCCTCTTTTGTGTACAGAATGGTTCTTCCCAAGAACACTATTCCAAACTGCAAAGGCAGAAGTAAAATTTTAGTTCATCTGAGTAAAAAACCATTACTCAAAATCTTAGTTTCCCATCTTTACACTTTCCCAGTTCTGAATTAATATATGTATTATTGATAATATCTTCAAAATGCACTATTGCTCACAAAGAGTTATACAACTCTACACACATCATTTCTGCAACCAAGGGTCTGCCTTGCATTCCCATTCATTTCAGTTGAGAACGACATTCCAGGTTAGCTCCATTCACTTAAATGTACAGGTGTCGTCCCCCCACTAATGCGGGGATTACGTTTTGGGCCCCTGCGCACATAAGTGAACTTGCGTAAAGTGGGGAGCAACCCACTTTAATAGGGAGGGCGTGCAGGGAGGAGAGAACGAGAAAGAGACTTGTTATGTACTGAAGTTCTCACCCTGGGCCAGCAGGGGGATACTGTAGTTAGTTATGCAAATGAAGGATCGAAAGTGACGTTCAGGGATTGGATAGTTTCAGAAAGTTGTTACAGTAACGAGGTTCTGGAGCTCTATATAAGCAGGCTGACTGAGCTCTTCAGTTCAGTTCTGTTCCAGCTTACAAATAAAGAGCTGCTTTGGAAGAATCGCTGTGTCGTCTGATATGTTCACCCACAACTTAACAAGACTCACAAGCACCACTGGGGCTGCTGCTTGGAAGTTGCCTGGGGCCGCTGCCCAGCCTGCCCCAAGCCTCCCCTCGATTGGGGCCACTGCCCAGTGCAAGGGAAGGCTAATCTATTTACTTATTTTGCAGCAACCTGCACAAATGTAGTCACACGCAAGTGGAATGCGGGTGCCTGTATTAGGGCACACTACATATCCACACACAGAATTCTGGATCAGATATGTCTAAACGTTATCAGGATCAGCATCATTTTTCCTACAGAACTTCTTTGACGTTATTTAGAGTTATTCCTTTAATCTATATATTTGTATTATATAAACACATTTGGTTCTTGCAAAATGGAAAATGTGTTTCATCATAGCCAATTCTAAGGAAATTGCATAGGCTTTAAATGTTTAGACTCCAAAGGCACTTTGGTTAAAGCATTCTGCTGAATCCAAGACTTAAACAGGCTTCAGAAACACAAGTGTCTCTGCACTATAAACCTGAGGAAAGTGGCAATGTACCTCATCGTCTACTTCAGGATGATTTAACAGGGACATTTAACAACTGCCAAGACAAAAAACAAAATCTCAAACTGAAGACTACTGTCTTAATACAGACCGGCTATTGTTTTTTGATACATTCCTTGGCTATCAAGTATGCATTCTGAAAAAATGTAGCATTCCTTCTCTACTTCACAGTATTCAAGCCTAATTTTAATAAACATGTAAGCAGCAGCTCTGTCTTGAAAAGGAAACACAAACAAACAGCAGCAATGTCTGTGCCATAACTGTGAGGTGATTCAGGTTTTAAAGGCACAGAGTCCACTCTAAACATATTAGTTACAAATAAAACATTGCAGTTAACAGAAGTCTGTTTTAAAAAAACTTTTTAAAAAATGAGAAAAGCCTCCCAATCTGTATGTATAGAAGAAAGGAGTATATATGAATTCCTTGCTTAAAATTATTGTACTATAAGAACAGCATAAATGTTCGAGGTGATTGACAAAGTAGTAAAGTACACAAATTGCAAACTTCACTTCTCAGTATTGAAAGAGCTGACAGGAAGGGATAGAGCATGCAACTTAATGCAATTCTCACTCATTCCTGCTACAAAGTAATTAAATTCCAAGCTGAGTATACTTTTGAGGCTATGTCAATCAATAACTGAATTTGTTTACACAATTAAGACCAGCCCTTTACCTGATGAACTATTTCATTAAATTGTTCTTTCCGACTCAAATAGCCAAGACAATGTTGCTAAGAAAAGTTGAACAGGTTTTTAAATGCCCAGCAGGCCCAGTTTCTTGTAGTTACAAAAATGTGCCTGGCAGTTGGGGTGGGATCTTATGATCTCAACTTTCCTGGCACGATGAAGTTTACACTGGCAGGCATGAAGCTGCAGTAATATAGGCGTCCTCAAATAATTACGGTAAAAGGCCTTGCAATAACGGTCTCACATGCTTCGGTTCTGCTGTGTGCTGCTTCTGTAGTGGGGCCTTATAAAAAGAGCTTTATTTCCTTCCGCCCATCCACCCTGGACTTTAGATGAATAAAAACTAGCTATTCACATTTCGCTGTTTAAAGTACAGGGAAGAGGCAAACAGATAGTTACAGCATGAACAAAGACAATCATTCAGATATGAGAAAGACACCTGGCAATATGCCAAAGCACCTAAGACCAAGCCATTCTATTGACCTAATTCCACTGGAGCATTTTTCAGTGTCTAATAACAGCCTGAACAATGTCCTGGTGCAAATCCCACTGCACTGAAATAAGTCCACCCATTTGAAGGAGTTTTATCATACAGTACTTTGTAAACTTTTGAACTTATGAACTTTCAGACTTGTAAACACAGTGGAACATGTTTCGCCTGCAGTATTTACATGCTCAAACAATGCACAGTTATCATTAAAATCAGACACCGAAAGCCCAGTTCCAGGACGATGATGACAATATGAAAAAGATAAGCTTACTCACCTGCCCAAAAGCTGTTTGCTTTGGTCGATAAGAATGGTGTAAAGCCCAGTAATGAAACCTCTGCACTAAGGGGGGGCACAAAAGCACATGTGTTTTTATGAGGTCAGCAGCTACATTGCTTGGCATCTATTTTGTACTTACCTGCTTGAAACAACAGCAGTGTCACCAGCCGGAGTTCCATTTGGAGGTCAACTCAGAATGACCCCCACCCTTTCACTCGGACACGCATAGCCTGACTGTCTAGAGAGTCTCCCTGTAGTTCTGCTGTCAAACTGAGCCAAGGAGTGGGAGTGTATAAACACTCTGACAAGGCTGCTCCTCTACGGTCTACTCTCAGAGCTAAATATATGTGTGTGTGTGTGTATATATATAGTTAAAGGTGAGACACTTCCTTCTGCGTTTCAAGTGCCCACTGTCCAGAGACTGATGGAAGGCCCAATTCACTAAGAACCTTTACCTTACTAAGAACACATCTGGCAAACACAGCTCAGTGCCTCTGTTTGCACGTTGTTCCTTTTGGGAGGGGTTGTCGGGAGGGAATTATGTCTCTTGGACAGGTTTAGATGCTGCAGCCAATAAGCCGGGAGCTCCTTTCCTAAGCTGTTTGCTTACATCCTCAACTGACCCCTCCAAGTCGTTTCACTGCTGTGTTTGCTACAGTCCAGCTTTTATAACTGGGTAGCATTTGAGTTTATAGGCACTGGCAGGAATTTTCTAATTAAAAACAACAACTACTGCAAATGCCAAGCTGAAACAATAAGCTTCTACCTACAATTTCCTGAGATTTCAACACACTAATTGACGATATAGAAGTGGTTCAGGTAGGCTTGTAAATGTTAACTGTAATTTCTTTGGCTCCTCATTGCCTTAAGGGTGCATCGTAACTTTAAACCAGGGACAGGGGAATGTGACCCTCCTGAGGGCCACAAGTTCCCCATCACTGCTTTAAATTATTGATTTCATATCAATAAACACCACACTACTATGCCTGAGAATCAGACGTTGAGGATCATCAACAGAGTGTGATCATTGCAAAATGGTTGCATGCCACCCCAATCTCTGAGCCCAGGGTTCGGCTTCCTTGGAATGAGGGACAGCAGAGACTGGTGTATTGATGATACTATGGTTTATTTACATGCATATGTTACCTGAGCCTACAGTGGAGGAACTCACAGTATTAACAACCCAAGAGTATGGTTACCAGATTTTTTTCAATGAATCCGGGGACACTTTTTTTTTTTTTTTTTTGAAGCTGAGTAGCAACAGGGAGTCAGTAGTGGGGACGGAGAGGCAAAAGACCCTGGGCCCAAGCACACATGCATATTGTATAAAGGTGCAAAGCCCTTCTTTTGCACCCTGTGAAACATACCGTATTTTTCGCACCATAGGACGCACCAGACAATAGGACGCACTTTGTTTTAGAGGGGGGAGAACAAGAAAAAAAAATTCTCCCCCTCTCTGCCCAGCGCCCCTTCAGCGAAGTGGCAGGAGGCGCTGTGCAGAGAGGGGGAGAACTTTCCCCCTCTTGTTTTCCCGCTCTAAAACAAGGTGCCGTTTAAGGTGCGTTCAGGCGGCTACCTTGGAAGCTTGGAGAGCGAGAGGGGTCGGTGTGCACTGATCCCTCTCGCTCTCCAGGCTTCAGGTTCCTTTCGACCTGCTCTTTGGGGCTGGCGGGGGGAAGCCCACCACCAGCCCCAAAGAGCAGTTCAGGGAGCAGCGGAGAGGCTCCTGCCATAGCCGTGCGTCACCATTCCAGCCGGGAGAGGGTCGCGGGGCTATGGCTTCTTTAGCCCCGCGCGCGCTCTCCCAGCTGGAGAGGTGACGCATGGCTATGGCAAGAGCCTCAATAGCCGCGCGTCACCTCTCCAGCCGGGAGAGGGTCGCGGGGTGCTTCTTTAGCCCCGCGTGCGCTCTCCCGGCTGGAGAGGTGACGCGCGGCTATAGAGGCTCCTGCCATAGCCGCCCGTCACCTCTCCAGCCGGGAGAGGGTCGCGGGGCTATGGCGTCTTCGCTCCATAGGACGCACACACATTTCCCCTTCATTTTTGAAGGGAAAAAAGTGTGTCCTATGGAGCGAAAAATACGGTAAATGTGCAGAGTTTTTTAAAAACTGGGCAACAGTGTACCGCCTGCCCGTGACTCCTGCCCCCTTCCCCCTTTGTTTTGACAGATCGGGGGAGGCTCGGGAGTCATAGGCGGGCGGCTGTTGCCCAGTTTTTTTTAAAAAAAACTCTGCACATTTATGTTTCACAGGGTGCAAAAGAAGGGCTTTGCACCTTGCCTGGCAGAGAAATCACGTGCCTTGCGCCCCTCCTGGGCATCCGCCCGTCCGCCCGTGACTCCTGAGCCTCCCCCAATCCGTCAAAACAAAGGAGGAAGGGGGCAGAAGATCTGTACCACCGGACAGCCCTGGTTCCCCTTTGGCAGTGGCAGCAGCAGCAGCAGCGAGCAGCTCCTGAAGCCAGCCAGAATCAACTGCGCTACCAGGCTGGCTCTGGGCTGCTGAGGCTGCCACTGCCATGTTTTCCAGGGACAGATTTGCAAATCTGGGGACATTCTGGGGATGGAATTTGTCCGGGGACAGATTTGCAGAACTGGGGATGTCTGGTAACCCTACCCAAGAGGGTCTTGCTTCCCCCAGCCACACCCTTGGATTCCAGCAGAAATCAGGCATGGCTCTTTCTCTCAGCTGCCCAGCCTGCTTATTGCCTCTAGCTTCTAGCTCACAACATCAACCCCTGCTTTTGCTTTCTTATTACCAGACAGTGGAGGGAAGGAGGCATACCCATTTGCTCTCTGGCAGAGAGCCACTTATTTTGTTACATTAAAGGCCCATACTTTGGGGGTCACTATAAAGAACCTGGCCTGGCTATTCCAGCAATTTGAACCCTAATGAATCCAGTACAACCCCAATACCCCCTAACTCTCTCTCACACACACCTGCACAGTCCTTAGGATAGTCATCAGAGGCTCTTATCTAGGTTCTCCCACTGAGGTTAAGCAGGAGATAATTTCTGTAGAACTTTTAGTGGATTTAGAACTGGGCATAAACTGTTTTCCTGTTTTATTTTTAGGCCTGTTCTTATACTGATTTTTACAAGACTGTTTTTAGTCCTGTTTTGTTTAGGATTCCTTGCTTTCACATTTCTTCTATGAAAACTGATTTAATTATTGGATAGCAGTGAAAAAGGCAGGTGAAAAAATTGGGTCAAAAAAGCATTTGTGTTTTAATTTTATGAACTGTTTCATGTCCTTTTTTTAGGTTTTTAATTCTCTTTATGAGTTTTATCTGCCTTTTATTGTATAATACAGGTTTTTTTACATTTTCAGGGATTTTGCTAGTTGGTCAGAATCTTATTTTTCTCCTTCTTCTTTTAGAAAAGATGGAACAAAATTATTATAAATAACATTTCTGGGAACCAGTGCCAGCTCCCTTGTGGTAACCTGCTTTTTCCTCATTTCCATTCAGATGAGAGGCGGGGAAGATTATAGACATGGTGACAGCTAGACAGTTGCTAACATTTTCCCATTATTTCTTCCAGGTTTTCCATCTTGATCTTTTGCTGTCCTTCCTCTTTCCCACCCACCCCTTGTATCCCCTTTTGGGTTTCTCCCTTCTTACTCTCACTTTATGAATGGTGCGTTGGTTAAATGAGCCCTGTTGAAGGGTCAGTGCCTGGAGCAAAAACAAAAATCCAGACTGGCCTCGCCTCTCTCAGAATAGCCCTACTGCATAATGAAAATAAATCTGTCATCACAACCTTGTGCATTTCAGTTTCATCTCAGTTTTAGCTTCCTTTATTGCCCAGAATTCTTATGCTCAACTCATAGTCCCATAATCTGGTATTGAGAGAGAAGTGGGAAAATGAAGAGTTCAAATTCCACATATACCCAATGCTTTATTTTCTCGAGCAGTGGTTCCCAACTTTTTTTTGGCCATGCCCCACCTAAGCATCTCTAAAATCCTGATGTCCCCGACCCCCTGTGATATATAATTCTTATAATCCAAAAAGTGAACTCCTATTCATGTGACAGAAGCCTAAAAGGTCATTCGCTGTTAATACCTCATTTTCAAATTGTTGAGGCTTGTTGAAGCTGCTCAGCTGAGGCAAGGGGAGCTGAGGCAAGGGGAGCCTTCCACGCAGCTTAACAAGCCCCCATCATTGGGGCTTGTCAGCTGAGGCACAGAGAGGCCTCCATGCCTCAGCTGAGCAGCCGAACAGCCCCACGCCCATCTCACCAGCTCACATGAACCAGAGCAGCGTTGGGGCTTGCTTAGCTGAAGTGCAGAGAGGCTTCCATGCCTCAGATGAACAACCTAACAAGCTTCCACCCATGCCTCTCTGACTCGTGTGAGCTGAGCAGCTGGGGGCTTGTTTAGAGGAGGCACGGCTTTCTGTGCGTCAGCTGAGAGGCTGAAGAGTCTCAGCAAAGCCCCACTAAGCCTCCAGTTCATGAGGAGACCCTCTCCAGAGCCTGTAGAAAATGTTCCCTTTTGGCTCCCAGGAGGCTCTCCTCCAGGGGTGGAGGTGCTTTGTGGGGCTTTGCTGAGGCTGGTCACTTCTGGGACCCAGCTGAGAGGTGCCAGAATGCTGTTCCGGCAAGTTCCGGCTGGAGGAAAAGCCCTGCAAATACCACACGGCAGCAGGAGTGCCAACTGGTTCTCCTGCTACATTCCAATAAAAAAAAAGAGAATGTGTCCTACCTACTTAACAAGGGTTTCCAGTGATTAACAAAGAAGTCACAACAAAACTCAGCTCATTTATTCATTGCAGGACTAAACTAAATTTATTTATCCATTATGCCTCTTAAGTGCAAAATCTCTTTTTTCATTAAGTTAGTTGGATAAGCCATTTAGCTGTCTACTATAGCAAATAATCAATCACTATTCACATCAGTCCCAGCAAGCATGGCCAATGGCCAGGGAGTTGTAATTTGGCAACATCTGGAGGCCCAAAGGTTCACCGCATCTGCTATTGCCTTTTAGAGGTTTTATTTGCATATTGGGCACTAAAATGATTTTTAAAAATACAAGAGCACTTAAAACCAAATGGCAGTAGTGCCCAGCAGAATGTATGAGCATGAGGTTTCAACAGTGAAACTGCAATCCCTCCCACTTCTTCCTCGATGTGCAAAGGACACAGTGCAATTGCCATTGCTTGCCCCTCTCTGCTCCCCAAGGCCTTGGCCTGCAAATTAGTCTTGTTTGGATCTATGAATGCCTGAGAGAAGTTTGTGGGGTGGGGTGTTGCACAGCTCCATTGAGTTATATGTCATGCGCTCTCTCTCTCTCTCTGCGTGTTGTACAATTCTGCCTGGAAAGCAGATGGGAACTCGTGGTCCCCAGACTAATTTCATGCACATTCTTGCTCTTTAGACTATCCCTCTGGCAAGTATGTGTGCATCATGTGTCTGTTTGTCTGTCTGTGTGTGTGAGAGAGGGAAGGAGGAGAAATGGGGAGGGGATTGAAAGGCTTGCAATGAGCTGCCGTGTGGGAGGAACCC